CCAGCGTAGCTCTGCAAACCGTATCCATCATTTGACTTTATTATTTTTACTGGAGCTCAGAAAGAAAAAAAAGAAAAACAACTGCAGTCAGTTAAAGTGCTGTTCAGGGGAACAGTGGCGACAATATCCTGGCTGGTCTTTCAAGCTCAAGGTCCGTAGTGCACAACACACTTTTTAATCATTGGTCTACATCACTTTGGACAGAAAGAGAGAAGGGCAGGGAGGAGAAGGAGAGGGCGAGTAGGGGAGAAACAACGAGATCAAATCAAATCAACAAACAATGTCACATGCGCCGAATACAACAGGTGTAGACCTTACCGTGAATTGCTTACTTACAAGCCCTTAACCAACAATGCAGTTCAAGAAATAGAGTTAAGAAAATACTGACTAAATAAAAAAATACAATAAAAAGTAACACAATAAAATAACAATACCGAGGCCATATACAGGGGGTACTGGTACCGAGTCAATGTGTGGGGGTACAGGTTAGTCGAGGTAATTTGTACATGTAGGTGGGCCCGTGTAGCTCAGTTGGTAGAGCATGGTGCTTGCAACGCCAGGGTTGTGGGTTCGATTCCCATGGGGGCCATATTTTTTTATGTATGCACTCACTAACTGTAAGTCGCTCTGGATGACTAAAATGTAGGGGTAAAGTGACTATGCATAGATAATAAACTAATAGGGGTATAAGAAAGAAATGGAAGACGTGGGAGGAAGAGAAGGGGGTGGTCCTGGTGATATAAGGGGGATTCTCCGTTCAGCCGCGGCTGTAGAAGCAATCCTTCTCCCAATCTGCCAGTGGGCAGCCTGTCCTCCCCTGAGCTATCCCAAGAATCTGGTCAGCCAGTGAAACATGGCGCCTCCTCAGCTGGCTGTTTGGGCCCTGTTTGGGGTGGTCTCCTGACAACTGACCCCCACCCGACCCTCCTAAACACCCCCCCCCACCCTCACCCCTCCTGCTGGTGGACTGGAATAGATAGGGGCATGACTGCCACACTGGCAGACAGACAGATACACCATCTACACTGATTCGTTTTTTACAATTAGCATGGTGTAAAGTGTATATTGTAACACAGTGTTGACACAGCACAGACCATGTAAACAGAGAGAGGATCATGGTAGCCTTCATTTCTACATGGATAATTTAAATCTCTATAGTACAGTAGTAGTGATAGTAGTAGTGCTGTAGTGGTAGTGATAGTACTGCATTATGTGTGGCTGATAACATAATGGTGGTGTAAGGCCACTACTCATTACTTTCTCTGGACATTAGAATGTCCCCAACTACATCTAAAGCTCATTGTGACCCACAGAATGATGGGGCATTTTCCTGAGATTCAGTTGAAGCTCAAGGCCAGGGGAGTGAGAGTTACCTATTTCCTGTGGCTGGATTTGTGAATGAAGAGGAGAGAAAGAAGGGAGGGCACCAGACCCAGTGATACAGTAGACTAGAGAGACAGTTTCAATGGATTCTTTGGTTGTTGTTAGCCGTTTACTTTGCCTGTCTTCCCAACAGTATCTCTGTAACTGAATGTGTCTGGGTGAGTGGGTGTTTGCCTTTCCCTTCCATCTCTAAATGTACAAATGTACTGTGTTTATTTAGAAGTTATATTCCATTCTGTTAATACAATTGGAATACAAAGTAGTCTACATGTTTTATCGCTTGAAAGTGGTGTCCTGCAGAATCCGAGTGGATTGCTGTTCTTATTTACTCTTTGATGAGGGAGGATAGGGCCCCTCTCAAGGAGGGGGAGGGGACACAAAAAGGATTGACTGGGAGGTCTCCAAGTCCTCTCCTTTTACTGATAATTGTATTTTTCAGTATTCTAACAATAACAATTATGTAGCAGCACTGAGATGTCCTGCCTTCCCCCAGTCTGCAGGTCCAGTGAGCCAACATTGTGTAAAGACAATGGCAGCCTAGGATAGTAGTTTAGGCCCAGACTCATAAAGGGCGCCATTGTTCCTAAGGACCTCCAGAAAATAGAGAGGAAAGAGATTCAGGAACAAAAAAAAATGTGAAAAGAAAATCCGGGCAGTGTGGGACCATGTTCTGTTTGGATTGGGAGGTTCAGGAACCGGGAGGAATGTGGAGAGCCCAAGTGAGCAGCAGAGAAATATTTCTTCCAATGGAGGCAGTTTTTTAAAGGAAATGGGTTATTATAGTTGGCCAGTTTAAGCCCTTCAAATAGCCATGACATCATGACTGGGCCTGATGCTGGAGAGGGCAGACAATGGAAGGTTTGTGCCCGGAGAACCATAGAGAGCTTTGGGGGATTTGGGGAAAGTCGGAGGGTGCCTGGAGTGGGGGGTTAGAAGCCACATCTGGTCCCTTTACCTGCTCCATTCAAACGCAGAGTGTGCACCAAAGTGTGCACCAAGTGTGCGCCAAACTGGATTTGGATAAAAATTTACTGGAGGCTACACTGAGTTCAGGCTCTGTACAAGGTGTATGGCAGTATTTCCCAAACTAGGGTTCGCCTGATTTGAAAATGGGGTTGAGAGAGAAACTCTGAAATAAAATGTAAAAAAGGTGCTTTGTTCATAGAAGCGGGGTTACATCAGTAACCTCTGGTAGCCACTAGATGCGGTTATAATAAACAGAGCGGTTTCTGTTTTCTTCCTACAAATGTGGCTCTATCTTTTGAACTGTTTAAGCTACAAAATATTATGACCCCATCACCCCAACATGTATCCCACTAGGCACAGACGTCAGTTCAACGTCTAGTTTTGATTTACGTTTTGTTGAGTTGTCAACTAACGGGAATTCAACGAGAAATCAACAAAACATTTCACCATGTTATTGGATTTAGGTTAAAAGTTGGGTGAAAAAAAGACGAAATGCCCTTACGTTGATGACTTTTTGCTAATGCAATTAGTGTTCCACGTTGATTCAATGTCATCACATTGATTTTTGGGGTTGAAATGACGTGGGGGATGTGTCTTCTGTTTCCCTCTACAATGCCCACAAGCCGTGCAGGACTCATTAGAACAGAGTGGACAAGACCAGGCACTAAATCAGCCTGGGGGGAAAATAACATCATCATGTGTCACGCCCTGGCTCTGGGGACTCTTATATGTTGAGCCAGGGTGTGTAGGGTCTATGTTTTGTGTTCTATGTTCACGATCTAGTTTATGTGTTTCTATGTTGGCCGGGGTGGTTCTCAATCAGAGGCAACGTGAATCAGCTGTTGCTTGTTGTCTCTGATTGGGAACCATACTTAGGCAGCCTATTGTGCACTTGTCTTTTGTGGGATCTTGTTCCGTGTTGGTTTGTGTTCATAACCGAGGACTTCACGTTTCGTTTTGTTGTTTTGTATTTTGTATCGTGTTGCTAGTACACTATTAAAGAGATGTACGCATATCACGCTGCGCCTTGGTCCAATCATTATGACGATCGTGACATCATGTTATTGCCTGATAATCTTCTGAACTTCCCAATACCTTTCTGATGCATTTCAGTCACTTCAAACCATACTTCCTTCAGATTGAAATACAGTCAAAAGTACTGTCAGATTGATTTACAATAGACTGTCATAGCCCCAATTAAAAAAGTAAATATTGGCCGTTGATTACATCACTTTTTTTACATGGTGGGGTCGCACATTAAAATAAAAAAATCTAAATGGGGTCGCGGGCAAAAAAGTCAGGGAACCCCTGGTGTATGACAATAAAACATATATTTTTTATTTATTTATGAAATGTACCTCATAAGACATATTCTAAGTACTGAATAACACATTCACTTCATTTATGAAATGTGTTTGACGTCAGTATCAGAAACTTCAGAGTTTGAAGCTTTAGAAAGTAGGCTACGTTAAAACTGACAAGCTCAGTGCTGGAATATTTGAAAATTATTTGAAACTTGTGAATGACTCTACTAGCATGAAGTGATTCAGTGCAGTAGTTGCATGTGTAATCTGTCTATCTGACACCCTGCTCTGCTTTGGTTGAACTTCTATAATTGGTCATAATGTTTGGTATTCTGAGGAATGGTAGTAGTTGGCAAGGAACTTGATATGATCCATAAATTCATCAATGTCTACCTCACAAAGTGGATATGCATTACAAATTATCTATCATCTTTCATTGATAATATTTTCACTAAGCCGTGTCTTAGCTCCACCACATGAAGTCAGTCAGTCAGTCAATGACATCAACTCCACAGCTGTCTCCCAGAGCTGCTCTTATGAAAACTGATCATATTACTCCCAAATGTTACAGCGCGTGACCTTAGCATGTACCCCCTCAGTGTATCCTATCTATAAATGCTAATTGTACTCAGATGGAGCCAAGAGTGTTTTACTGTGCCTGTTTGGCTGGGGGCGCTTTGTCTTTGTCAAGTGATCCATGTCAATGACAATGTAAAAAGTTTGAAACAAATAGCATTGAATTCAACTGAAACATTTTTCCACTGCTTGTTGAATCCCTTACGAAATAAGATTGCAGTCAGTGTGCAGTATAACTGCAGTATGCTGCAAATACTGCATCCAAAATAACATGTTTTTTTTTTACTGCAGTATAACTGCAGTTCAACTGCAGTAAACTGCAGTTATTCTGCGATTACTGTGTCCAAAATACCACAGTCGACTGCAGATACTGGGAATACTCTGCCTCATAATTGTGAGAAGAGGTGAATCTCAGTAACAACTTGTGTCTACTCCATAATAACAACTTATTTGATAGTGTTCAGAATGTGAATTGATTATATAAACCGTTTGAAAGCTTTGAAATAACTAAGAAAAACACCCCTCTGAGATCAGAACTGGAAGGTCACTCCAGTTGATGTTAGCCCAAAAAGTCTTTCAAGTTTAACACTAGTGAAACCCTAATAGGCTTACTTCATAATCTCTGTCATCACCGTCTGTTAAGACCTCCAAGGCCTTTTCTGTGTGCGTATTGGGCATAACTTTTGTACCATGTTCAATTATATGTTGAAGTCTGCATCTTTTCTTTGCAATGATAAAATATAAATGTTCTGTTCCCTTTCCCCTACAGATGACTCTGGTGCTGATAAGACTGGGCCAGGGTTCCCTGGTGGGGTGGACTCAGAGTATGGCCCTGACCACCTATCAGGAAAACTAGGTAAGATCATAAATAAAAGCAACATTACTAAAGTTATTTGCATTAGATTGGGTCTTATTTCATGATTCTGTTATCCATCTCTGCAAGGTAGTAAACCCAAAACTCTCCTTCCTCCTTTTCCCAAAGTGCGGCCCCGTTTCACCCAGCCTGCTAAAATGAGGAAACGGGTGATCGCCCGCCCCATGGGGAGCTCTGTGCGGCTGAAATGTACGGCCAGTGGTAACCCTCGGCCAGACCTTGTGTGGCTGAAGGACGACAGGCCGCTGACGGAGCGCGAGGTGGGTGAGGGGCGCCAGAAGAAGTGGACTCTGAGCCTGAGGAACCTGACCCCGGAGAACAGCGGCAGGTACACCTGCAGGGTCTCCAACCGAGCCGGGGAGATCAACGCCACCTACAAAGTGGAGGTCATACGTAAGTATCATACAGTCACAGAGGCCTGAGTCATAAATACACTTAACGAGTCAGTCCAGGATCTCATAACTAATGTATGAGGTAGACTCCTCAGGGGAAGGAACCAGAAAATACTGTATTATATACTGTATCACAGTCCTGCAGACTGAGTTCTATGGACGTTGTGATAATGATACATGTTGGCTATCATGGATGGAAACTCAATGTGAACCTTGATACAATTGCCATGTAACCATAGTAATGTCGGGTCTGGATTTGAGGAGGAACCATAATCTTTTGGAGATCCTTGCTCTCTGATCTACCTTCGTCAGACTGCTGCGTTTGATCATTAAGTCTTACTCATATCCCTGCTCCATGGATGAATGTGCTTGTCTAATCATGTACGTACAGTGGGGAAAAAAAGTATTTAGTCAGCCACCAATTGTGCAAGTTCTCCTACTTAAAAAGATGAGAGAGGCCTGTAATTTTCATCATAGGTACACGTCAACTATGACAGACAAAATGAGGGAAAAAAATCCAGAAAATCACATTGTAGGATTTTTAATGAATTTATTTGCAAATGATGGTGGAAAATAAGTATTTGGTCAATAACAAAAGTTTCTCAATACTTTGTTATATACCCTTTGTTGGCAATGACACAGGTCAAACGTTTTCTGTAAGTCTTCACAAGGTTTTCACACACTGTTGCTGGTATTTTGGCCCATTCCTCCATGCAGATCTCCTCTAGATCAGTGATGTTTTGGGGCTGTCGCTGGGCAACACAGACTTTCAACTCCCTCCAAAGATTTTCTATGGGGTTGAGATCTGGAGACTGGCTAGGCCACTCCAGGACCTTGAAATGCTTCTTACGAAGCCACTCCTTCATTGCCCGGGCGGTGTGTTTGGGATCATTGTCATGCTGAAAGACCCAGCCACATTTCATCTTCAATGCCCTTGCTGATGGAAGGAGGTTTTCACTCAAAATCTCACGATACATGGCCCCATTCATTCTTTCCTTTACACGGATCAGTCGTCCTGGTCCCTTTGCAGAAAAACTGCCCCAAAGCATGATGTTTCCACCCCCATGCTTCACAGTAGATATGGTGTTCTTTGGATGCAACTCAGCATTCTTTGTCCTCCAAACACGACAAGTTGAGTTTTTACCAAAAAGTTCTATTTTGGTTTCATCTGACCATATGACATTCTCCCAATCCTCTTCTGGATCATCCAAATGCACTCTAGCAAACTTCAGACGGGCCTGGATATGTACTGGCTTAAGCAGGGGGATACGTCTGGCACTGCAGGATTTGAGTCCCTGGCGGCGTAGTGTGTTTCTGATGGTAGGCTTTGTTACTTTGGTCCCAGCTCTCTGCAGGTCATTCACTAGGTCCCCCCGTGTGGTTCTGAGATTTTTGCTCACCGTTCTTGTGATCATTTTGACCCCACGGGGTGAGATCTTGCGTGGAGCCCCAGATCGAGGGAGATTATCAGTGGTCTTGTATGTCTTCCATTTCCTAATAATTGCTCCCACAGTTGATTTCTTCAAACCAAGCTGCTTACCTATTGCAGATTCAGTCTTCCCAGCCTGGTGCAGGTCTACAATTTTGTTTCTGGTGTCCTTTGACAGCTCTTTGGTCTTGGCCATAGTGGAGTTTGGAGTGTGACTGTTTGAGGTTGTGGACAGGTGTCTTTTATACTGATAACAAGTTCAAACAGGTGCCATTAATACAGGTAACGAGTGGAGGACAGAGGAGCCTCTTAAAGAAGAAGTTACAGGTCTGTGAGAGCCAGAAATCTTGCTTGTTTGTAGGTGACCAAATACTTATTTTCCACCATAATTTGCAAATTAATTAATTAAAAATCCTACAATGTGATTTTCAGGATTTTTTTTTCTCAATTTGTCTGTCATAGTTGACGTGTACCTATGATGAAAATTACAGGCCTCTCTCATCTTTTTAAGTGCGAGAACTTGCACAATTGGTGGCTGACTAAATACTTTTCCCCCCCACTGTATATGAGAAGCATATTGAGAAGGTAGGTCTGAGAATGAGGGTTGTGTTCTGGTGTGTGGGGGAGAAGGAGGGGGCTGCTCAACCACAAGCCCCTCCAATCTGGAGTTGATTAGGATCCAGCTGTCTGCCAGCCCCCCAGCCCCCTGAACCCCTCCTCCCCCTGAGACGTGTGTCCTGTACAACCAGGAGCAGAGAGAGAGGAAACTAATCACACATACTTCTTGTGTTACATGTGGTATTTCTCTCTCTCTCCCTCTCTCTCTCTCTGTTACAATTACAAGTTCTAAGCCTAAGGCTAATAACTGTATGGACATTACGCTGGTTCATGCAGAGAGTCAGCCATGTTGAAATGTGGGATAGTTGTGACAGTTCGTCCATTATATCTCTCTGCAGAGAGGACCAACTCCAAGCCCATCTTGACGGGCACTCACCCGGTCAACACCACAGTGGACTACGGGGGGACTACCTCATTCCAGTGCAAAGTGAGGAGCGATGTCAAACCGGTAATCCAGTGGCTGAAGCGTGTGGAGTCCAACGAGGAGAGTCGGTACAACTCCACCATCGAGGTGGGCGAACATCGCTTTGTGGTGCTGCCTACGGGAGAGGTGTGGTCACGCCCTGACGGCTCCTACCTCAACAAGCTGCTCATCACCCGCGCCAAGGAGGAGGATGCTGGCATGTACATCTGTCTGGGCGCCAACACCATGGGCTACAGTTTCCGCAGCGCTTTCCTCATCGTGCTGCCAGGTAAGACCAGAGCCAGGCTGCCAGCCCTCTAGAACATCATAACCTTTAACCTTCCCATCACGTACACACAAACTCCCTATATTGATCTTTCAAATGAGTACCTCTGCAACCTGAAACAAGCCATCCCAAACACACTGAGAATGCTGTTAATCGACTACAGCTCAGCTTTCAACACCATAGTCCGCTCTAAGATCGTCATTAAGCTCAGGGTCCTGGGTATGAATACCTCCCTGTGCAACTGGATCCTGAACTTCCTGACAGGCAGACCCCAGGTGGTGAGGGTAGGCAATATCACCTCCGTCATGATGACTCTCAACACGGGGCGCCCCCAGGGTTTTGTGTTCAGCCCCCTCCTGAACTCCCTGTACACCCAAGACTGCGTGGCCATGCACGACTCCAACACCATCATTAAGGGGGGAGGGGGGGGGGGGGGTCAAAAGCGTAATGTTTCTCGGCATGCACATCACAGAGGACCTGACATGGACCAATCACACCGAGGTGAAGAAGGCACAACAACTTTTCAACCTCAGGTGACTGAAGACATTTAGCATGGGCTCGTTTTTATAGCATCGGGTCTCGGAACAACAGGCTCCAAGACAGCTTCTACCACCAGGTCATCAGACTGCTGAATAGATAACCCTAGCTGTCCACCTGCTCAGACCTGCACCTTAAAGACTACAGTGCATTCAGAAAGTATTCAGACCCCTTGACTTTTTCCAAAACATTTTACATTACAGCCTTATTCTAAAATTGATTAAATTGTTTTTTTCCCTCATAAATCTACACACAATACCCCATAATGACAAAGCAAAAACAGGTTTTTAGAAATTTCTGCAAATTTATTAAAAATAGAAAACTGAAATATAACATTTACATAAGTATTCAGACCCTTTACTTAGTACTTTGTTGAAGAACCTTTGACGCTACAAGCTTGGCACACCTGTATTTGGAGAGTTTCTCCCATTCTTCTCTGCAGATCCTCTCAAGCTCTGTCAGGTTGGATGGGGAGCGTTGCTGCACAGCTAATTTCAGGTTATGTTATGTTCGACCTGGTTCAAGTCCGGACTTTGGCTGGGCCACTCAAGGACATTCAGAAACTTGTCCCGAAGCCACTCCTGCGTTGTCTTGGCTGTGTGCTTAGGGTCGTGGTCCTGTTGGAAGGTGAACCTTCGCCCCAGTCTGAGATCCTGAGCGCTCTGGATCAGGTTTTCATCAAGGATCTCTCTGTACTTTGCTCCATTCATCTTTCCCTCGATCCTGACTAGTCTCAAAGTCCCTGCCGCTGAAAAACATCCCCACAGCATGATGCTGTCACCACCATGCTTCACCGTAGGGATGGTGCCAGGTTTCCTCCAGACGTGATGCTTGGCATTCAGGCCAAAGAGTTCAATCTTGGTTTCATCAGACCAGAGAATCTTGTTTCTCATGTTCTGAGAGTCTTTAGGTGCCTTTTGGCAAACTCCAAGCGGGATGTCATGTGCCTCCTTCTGGACACTACCATAAAGGCCTGATTGGTGGAGTGCTGTAGAGATGGTTGTCCTTCTGGAAGGTTCTCCCATCTCCACAGAGGAACTCTGGAGCTCTGTCAGAGTGACCATTGGGTTCTTGGTCACCTCCCTGACCAAGGCCCTTCTCCCCCGATTGCTCAGTTTGGCCGGGCGGCCAGCTCTAGGAAGAGTCTAGGTGGTTCCAAACTTCTTTCATTTAAGAATGATAGAGGCCACTGTGTTATTGGGGACCTTCAATATTGCAGACATTTTTTGGTACCCTTCCCCAGATCTGTGCCTCGACACAATCCTGTCTCTGAACTCTACGGACAACTCCTTCGACCTCATGGCTTGGTTTTTGCTCTTACATGCACTGTCAACTGTGGGACTTTTAGAATAAGGCTGTAACGTAACACAATGTGGAAAAAGGGAAGGGGTCTGAATACTTTCCGAATGCACTGTATTTGCACCTTAGAGACTATCTGCACTGACTCTCCACACATCCAACCCTCACATACAAGCACACACACACACATGCACACATACTCACACACACACAAACATACAGACACACACTGTCAACACTGCTGTTCTATTATATTCTATTTATTCAACTGCGCGACCAAGACACTACCCACTTTATATTTATAATACATTCGTACTTGACATAGCACATCCATAATCTATACTGTATACACTCAGTGGCCAGTTTATTAGGTACATCACCCCGTTCATGAAAATGGTTCGCTCCTACAGACAGTGAGTCACGTGGCTTTGGCTTGCTATATAAAGCAGGCAGACAGGCATTGAGGCATTTAGTTACTGTTTGATTGAACATTAGAATGGGCAAAACGAGTGACCTAAGCGACTTTGAGCGTGGTATGATCGTCGGTGCCAGGCGGGCTGGTTTCAGTATCTCAGAAACGGCATGCCTCCTGGGCTTTTCACGCACGACAGTGCGCATCTGAACATTGTTGCTGACCAGGTGCAGCCCTTCATGGCTACAGGGGGGTCCGACCCAGTACTGGATGGGTTGTACCTAATAAACTGGCCACTATGTGTATATTGTGTACACATCAGCTTACTACTACGCATACTACCTCTTCTATTACTTGTTATTTTTTATTTATTCGATTATTATTATTTGATGTTTTTATTATTGATATTGAATATTGTACTGCAATGTTGCGGGAGCTAGCACACAAGCATTTTGATGCATCATTTATACCTGCTGTAAACTGCGCACGTGACAGAATAGAATTTGATTTGACACTAGGGCTCCCCTAAACCTTCATTTGGCTTTCTCAAATCCCCAAGATCCTGGGATTCTGTCCTGTACAGGGAGATATTGTCCTGTACAGGTAGATATTAAAGATATTTTCAGTGTATGTAATCCAAGATTACGCAGAGTAATGAAAATGATAAAACTCCTCTTTGTTTCCAGTTTTCTTCATCCACTGATTCTTGTGAGCTTTGCATTGGTGAATAATGTAGTATTGACCCACTGCAGTGATTTCATTTCTCAACCAAGACTCTCTGATGTGTAGCTACTTCTTTGTTCAACTCCTCCTCACTTTAGAATGATTGACTGAATATTTTTCGGGTCCTCTCCCCCTACAGCCACCAAGCCACCCATCACCCCGATGTTCACCCCAGCCTCCAGCACCCTACCCTGGCCTGTCATCATCGGCATCCCTGCTAGCATGGTGTTCATCTTCGGTACAGTGCTGCTGTGGCTCTGCCAGAGTAAGAAGCACTGTTCCCCTCCCAGCACTCCAGCTGCGGCTGCCCAGGTCCTGCAGGCCTCTCACCGGCTGCCCTACCGGGAGAGGGACAGGAGCTATGTGGCCCCCTTCTACACCTCCTCCAGCCCAGAGAAGGACTGCCTGGGCTCCATAAACTATGAGGAGTATCTGGCTCAGCAGCAGCTTCTCCTCACTCAAGGGGGCTCTGCCCTACCCCCCAAAATCTACCCCAAAATCTACCCAGACATCCACACTCACACCCACTCCCACGTGGACGGGAAGGTGCACCAGCACCAGCACATTCACTTTCAGTGTTAGCCATGTGCCAAATATAATATAATAATATATGTCATTTAGCAGAAGCCTTTATCCAAAGCGACTTACAGTCATGCGTGCATAAATTTTTTAGTATAGGTGGTCCCAGGAATCGAACCCACTATCCTGATGTAGCAAGCACCATGCTCTACCAACTGAGCTACAGAGGACCAAATGTAATGTTGTCCCCTTCTCTGCGCCTCTGAAGGATGGCATCATACAGCGAGGGTCTGAGCTGTGGACTGAACCTCAGAGAACAGCTCTCTGGTTATACACATCTGGGGCTGCTCTTTGAACTGTCACCTTGCCTGTGCTGGATCTTGATCTAACTGGACATGACTAGGGCTTTATAATGATCATTCAGCAATGTACAACATTCAAATGAAGGTGATCTTGCATGAGCAGTTTTAGTGGTTTGTGCATAAATGGCTGCCCTTGTGATATCTCAACTAAAATAACCACAATGAAAATATGTATGGTTTTTACAGTACCTGCATACCTGCCTGGTCCTTGGTGCTACTTGTTTCATATCAACACCACTAAAAGCCCTCAAACCCTGCTGTGCACTTTGTACACAAATCCCCAAGAGATTCTGCAACGTGTTAACGGCTATTCAGACTTATTGGGAGTGCTATGGGTCGTTCCACCAATTCGGTGCCTTTTGACTCATAAAGAGCACATGTTCCACTTCATAAAAAAAAAGTTTTCCCATCTCAAGAGTTAAAGCTAGATTTCTTAGTTGCTACATCCATTTTTTGGAGTTTTAAATTAATGATATACACCGCACAAAACATTAGGAACACCTGCTCTTTCCATGACATGACCAGGTGAATCCAGGTGAAAGGTATGATCCCTTATTGATCATCTGTTAAATACACTTCAATCAGTGTAGATGAAGGGGAGGAGACAGGTTAAAGAAGGATTTTTAAGCCTTGAGACAATTGAGACATGGATTGTGTATGTGTGCCATTCAGAGGGTGAATGGGAAAGACAAAATATTTAAGTGTTTTTGAACGGGGTATGGTAGTAGGTGCAGGTGCACCGGTTTGTGTCAAGAACTGCAACGCTGCTGGGTTTTTCACGCTCAACAGTTTCCCGTGTGTATCAAAAATTGTCCACCCCCAATGGACATCCAGGCAACTTGAGACAACTGTGGGAAACATTGGAGTCAACCTGTGCTAAATTTGTAAATTGGGAGGTGCCGGAACAAAAAGTGATCACGAGAGGGGGATTACCTGGGGAGCTCTGCGGTACCGGAACACATGAGAAAAAAATCACCTTTATAATAAAGCATTGCATGCATATCATTACATTTGCATAGTGACACAGAGCAGTAGAGTAGAGGCTCTTACAGAAGTTGCACACATGGGAGAAAAAAAATGTTGGCCTAGGGTCCAGGATTTTTTTTTCCTTTTATAAACGCATTTCTTGCCATTCTTTACATGTCTGGAGATTTTGGCATATTTTTTTTTTATGCCGCGTTTAAAACAACTGGCAACTCGGAGCTGGGAAATCTCAGACTTCCGACTTCAGTGCGTTCAAGACAACTAGGAAATCGGGAAAAAACTAACTCAGACTGGGAAAATTTGTTTTGAACGGTTATCCAACTCAGAATTCCAAGTGGGGATCTCTGGCGTCATGATTCGACCTCATTTTTTTTCAGAGTTCCCAGTTGTCTTGAAAGCACCATAATACCGCACAAATGATCGAAATGACAGGCTACTTTGACACTGACAAATTGAAAATCTGAGATCAATGAAAATGACCTTGTCTTGAATCTGTCAATAGCCTAGGCCTATGTGTGTGGAGATATATTGTATGCTACAATATGAGTAGGAAATTATAGTCCTAAAAATGCTTTCCAGTTTTACTGACTCACCCAATGATGCGCAGCTCACTCGCTGGTGATGGCATATGTGCTCGTGCCAAAAGTCTCTCTCTCTCTCGTTTTACTTTGTAAAACAATATTTGGAAGTTGATCAAATATTTTGGTAGCCTACAGCTGACAGATTAGAGTCTTCTCTTTTCAACAAGGGGGGCAGGAGAATTAACGAAGAGGCAACTTGAATGAACTTTGATCACGTTTATTCAAATTTTTACATTGCAAAATGTGACAATTATTTTTCATGCCACGAAAGGTACCAGATCCGGCCAAATTGGTTCCGGAACGAAACAGTCCAAAACTGAGAGGTTTTTAAGGAACTCACCTCACCTGTCTGTCTTAATTGAAAGGAAAAACCCGCAGACACATGGATTGAGTTTGACACCCCTACTATAAAGGCTTGGTTGATGCCTCAAAGATAAAATCACATTTATAGTATGAAGGACCATGTTTATGTGAGAAAAGTTTGACCAGTGTGCAAGAGCCTTCCCCAAGTCTGAAAATGATCATCATGCTTAAAGTCCCACAGGCTGCCACTGGGAATGAGGTCAGTGACTGTTACTAGGGCCGGGACGATAGTGTCCCGATACATGTCCCCCCCACATTCTGAAATTGCATTTTTTTCCCTCCCAGTTTTATCATTGTAATGTGATACAAAATGAGGCAACGGTGTGCTTTAGGACCATGTGGACGCCTCCGAGTGGTCGGGTAGGCTGTTTGGAGTGTTTATCTGGCTAAAAAAAATATGCCCCCCCCACTTCTAAAACCAAAGTTGCGCCCCTGGTTTGTATCATAGCAAGGAAACAAAACACTAAGCCGATTTCAATTCTTTAGGAAAACAGCCCTAATGTTGGAAACAATCATTGACATCCAGTCACATTTATGATCCTGTTCCAGCAGGATCCGGCTCAAATTAAGCACTGGAGTCAACATGGGCCAGCATCCATGTGGAACGCTTTCGACACCTTGTAGAGTCCATGCCCCGACGAATTAAGGCTGTTCTGAGGGCAAAAGGGGGTGCAACTCAATATTAGGAAGGTGTTCCTAATTTGTACACTGTGTATATTCATAGATTTTTAAAATAATATAACTTATGTCTCATGAGCTTAGTTAACTGTCGTACCCCATCAGAACCCAAAATATAAGCTTATTTTACTCCAATGTTTGTAAAAAATCTAAATGTAAAGAGAAACTGTATAGCCTCAAAACATAATTTTTTATATAATGGATGATCAGTTCTTGCATCCATACCTCTGTTTATGAATTTGAGAGTGGTTACATTTCTCCAGGCACATCCCTCAGCTTTTTATCAAAATAAAGGCGGGGTGTGGCTTTGATGTTGTTTCAATTAAGGATTCTAGCTTTAAATGTAAAAAAAGTATATAGTAAGTACCTATTAAGTGCCAAATAAAGTAACAGGGTTGACTGTAACACGGTTGACGATTTCATCTTAAATCAGCCATAAATCCCCTTGTGACTGGGGTAATGGAAGCTTGTTGTGTGCAACAAGGTGTGGCAATTGAATACAAACTTCACACAAAAATGTCAATTGTTGAAACATTTCTAGCCTGTCTATCTATGGGTTACAGGGTTGATGTGTTATGATTGATCCACTCAGTTTTCGACCACTAAACACCAGAAAATTGCCAAAAAGAGTAGAACCAGCTCACCTGCTTTAACACTAGGATTTGACTATTAGATGTTCAATGTTTCTTTTGAAAAATATATTCAAAAATAGTTTCACCATATTCAAACGAGATTTCAGTTCACATAACAGGGTTGACCTTAAAAATGAGTGACAGATGAATGTGAATCACTAATCTTCAGAAATGACCTTCTCAAAGCAACAAAATAACAAGGGCTTTACAATGATGGTGAGATCTTGGGGTTAAAATCTTCCTAGAAGTCACAGAGGGTGCATGGAGGGATATGTAAATATTCTGAATTTCTTGAATTCTCCAAGTTGTCTATATAAAAGGGGTACTTCATTTATTATAACAGGTTTTTAAAATCCAATATTCTACAAAAGGCACTCATTTCGTGGAACAACCCCATATCCATCAGTAACTGTGCTGTTTACCCATCTCAACTAACCTACAGGGGTTAGGGTCAGTTTTGACCTTTACCTCTAAACCTGTTGTAGGGCACAAGATACAGTACTTAAGCTCTGCTAGGTTATGATGTTGAAGGAGGCATGGAATATAATACAAAAGGGCTGGTTTTACACTCATACTCAGGTAGTCCCTTTGATTAAAAAAAAAATGTTTCATTGTTTAAATGCACATCCATGTAACCCTGACCACTATCAATACGTGTCCATCAATAATCACCCCTGAAGGCCTTAAAAGGTATTTGAATCATGTCCATATCGAAGACTGCAAATAATAGAATATTGCTCCAATGTTGACAGGACTCGCTACATATCACTGCCGGAATCCAAATGTTACTTAGGTTACCACCACTACTAGCCTTTTGTATGTGTTTTATAGAATCCTTGCAAGAGGTATGAGGTCAAAAATATCTCCAGTGTTGCAGTGAATATATATATATATATATATATATATATATATAACACCATAATAATAAGTACTTGGGACTGCAGTCTAATCCAACAACAATTGTTATAGATGTAGTCATTTTATATACATTTTAAAAGAGACGTGTATTTAATTTATTTTGTTAAGGCAATGTATTGTTTATTTTTCAAAGTTAGGCATTTTTCATGTATTTTGATGTTGAATGTAAGATTAATTATATTTACTGTAGTTGCAATGTAAAGTGCATTCAGAAATACTTTTCCCACATTTTGTTACGTTACAGCCTTATTCTAAAATGGATTAAATTGTTGTTTTTCTCAATCTACACAAAATACCCCATAATGACAAAGCAAAAACAGGTTTAGACATTTTTGCAAATTTATATAAAAAAACAAACAAACTAATGTCACATTTACATAAGTATTCAGACGCTTTACTCAGTACTTTGTTGAAGCACCTTTGGCAGCGATTACAGCCTCGAGTCTTCTTGGGTATGACGCTACAAGCTTGGCACACCTCTATTTGGCGAGTTTCTCCTATTCTCTGCAGATCCTCTCAAGCGCTGTCAGGTTGGATGGGGAGCGTCGCTGCACAGCTATTTTCAGGTCTCTCCAGAGATGTTCGATCAGGTTCAAGTCCGGGCTCTGGTTGGGCCACTCAAGGACATTCAGAGACTTGTCCCGAAGCCACTCCTGTGTTGTCTTGGCTGTGTGATTAGGGTTGTTGTCCTGTTGGAAGGTGAACCTTCGCCCCAGTCTGAGGTCCTGAGCAGGTTTTCCTCAAGGATCTGTACTTTGCTCCGTTCATCTTTTCCCCAATCCTGACTAGTCTCCCAGTCCCTGCTGCTGAAAAACATCCCCACAGCATGATGCTGTCGCCACCATGCTTCACCGTAGGGATAACGCCATGTTTCCTCCAGACGTGACGCTAAACATTCAGGCCAAAGAGTTCAATCTTGTTTCTCATGGTCTGAGAGTCTTTAGGTGCCTTTTAGCAAACTCCAAGCGGGTTGGCATGTGCCTTTTACTGAGGATTGGCTTCCGTCTGGCCACTCTACCATAAAGGCCTGATTGGTGGAATGCTGTAGGTTCTCCCATCTTCACAGAGGAACTCTGGAGCTCTGTCAAAATGACCAGCTCTAGGAAGAGTCTTGGTGGTTCCAAACTTCTTCCATTTAAGAATGATGGAGGACACTGTGTTCTTGGGGACCTTCAATGCTTCAGAATTGTTTTGGTACCCTTCCCCAGATCTGTGCCTCGACACAATCCTGTCTCAGAGCTCTACGGACAATTCCTTCGACCTCATAGCTTGGTTTTTGCTCTGACATGCACTGTCAACTGTGGGACCTTAATAGACAGGTGTGTCCTTTCCAAATCACGTCTAATCAATTGAATTTACCACAGGTGGACTCCAATCAAGTTGTAGAAACATCTTAAGGATCATCAATGGAAACAGGATGCACCGGAGCTTAATTGAGTCTCATAGCAAAGGGTCTGAATACTTATGTAAATAAGATGTTTTTTATTTTTAATACATTTGCTAAAATGTCAAGAAACCTGTTTTCACATTGTCATTATGGGGTATTGTGTGTACATTGAGGATTTTTATTTATTTCATCCATTTTAGAATAAGGCTCAAACGTAACAAAATGTGGAAAAAGTCATGGGGTCTGAATACTTTCCGGATGCACTGTATTTCATATATTAAAAGGTAGACTCAGTTAAATGTTTCCACAAGCAGCACTGCAGATACTGAGATGAGTGAGATGCAAGACTTTGCTCTCATAGTCACACACAGTACCTGCACAAATCACATTTTATTTGCCACATACGTGTTTAGCAGACATTATTGTGGGTGTAGCAAAATGCTTGTGCACGGGTTCACAGCGTGGTAACCACAGAACCAAAACAGTGGAGACATTGAGCCACATGCTTCAACGCTAGTTGTTGCAGAAATTGACCCACTATGCAGTTTACTTTCTGCTGAGTCTACCTTTAAAGACATTGCCAACCAGGTTAATCATATTGAGTTTATGCAAGTACTTATACACAATTGGTTATGTTTGACAATATTATCGATATACTCCATTAAAAGTGGGGGGAAAAAGTTGATGATTTGGCAACAGTTTGATTAAAGGACAAGCAGATGTACATATTTTTGGTTCATGGCCTCAATTATTAGCGGTTTTCTGTTCCTGTAAAGCACGTGTCAAACTCATTCCATGAAGAGCCGAGGGTCTGCGGGTTTTCGCTCCTCCCTTGTACCTAATTAGTAAGGAACTCCCCTCACCTGTCTGTTTTAATTGAAAGGGAAAAAAGACACTAGGCCCTCCATGGAATTAGTTTGACACCCCTGCTAGAAAGGCTTGGTTGATGCCTCAATGATAAAAATCACATGTATAGTATGAAGGCCAATGTTTGTGAGAAAAGTTTGGGAAAGCTCTTGCACAGTGGTAATTAAAAGTCTGAAAATGATCATTGAGGATGTTGGTAAACGCCTCCGGTCTGCCTACCTGCTTAAAGTCCCACAGGCTGCCACTAGGAATGAGGCCAGTGACTGTTACTAGGGCCGGGACGATAGTGTCCCGATACCTGTTAGTATCATATCAAGGAAACAAAACGGATTTCAATTCTTTAGGAAAAACAGCCCTAATGTTGGAAACAGTCATCCAGTCACATTTATTTTCCAAGCTGTAGCACACAATATTTTACATACAGCAGGTTAAGGATCAAATACTTGTCTGCTTCGGTTTTCATTTTTGCCATGGAAAAAAATATCCTGATACTGGTATTGTCCCAGCCTTAACAGTTACCGGTTCTTCTAGAAAAGGACCATCGGGAGGCTCCTACAAAAGGCAGTACAGCGTTCCTCCCGACTTGGCTAGAAGAGGCTAGTTGTCTACACAGGGTGAGACAGAGGGCAGCCAGGGCCAGTGGTGCTGGAATGAATGACTGGATAGTCAGGCACAGACAGGACAAGCGCTCACAGTCCTTTAGAGTGATGGACCCTGCAAGACTCGCTCTCCCATTTAAGAAAGTTCATATAGCCCTTCTCCCCTCACTACCACCTCATTCAACTCCAATCTAGGAAGGATTTTCTTTCACCGTTTAGGAAGTGCATTGTCCTGCTCTGGGAGTGATATGACAGGACCCTGTGATTGCCCAGGGAAGAAGGGGAACATTGTATCAGGGCAGCTCATTTGTTTTCTTGTAAGCATTGCAGAACGGGATGAGATTTGGCTATAGAGACAGGAGGGATAATGGAGCTACTGAATGGTTGACTCTTTAACAGCACATAGTGCACCACTAGAAACGTCTATGAAGTACACTACTAGCTACTTTTCTGAAATAAGTACAAATGTCACAGCTATGCTCAATTGGAACTTGCAATCCATGCATGAAACCAAAAACACCTCCAAACTGTGCTAGAAAATACAATGGTAAACAGCGCCTCCTTGTGGCTGAAAAGTTGTTTCAGGGGTACAATGAACTTCGAATAAACTTGCAAGGCGCTACAACTGTTCTTGATTAGTGAAACTATTTTATTACATTAATAAAGACAGACATTGATAAAACGAACCAACATGAATCAGTAGAAATGAGAGCTAGTGAAGTACTATTACATTGCTTGATCTCCAATCAAGAGCAGCAAAACATATTTACAGAGCACTACTCACATTTAGATTTGTAAAAAATCTAAACTACAGGACAACAATAAAGACAAGGACATAGACATACGGTTCAACTCAGCCCTTTTGGACTTTAGCTATTAGTTCATCGCAAAGGTTGGTGAGTTCTTCAGTCTCTTTTACCTGAGGGGACAGAAATCAACAATAAGAGCAAAATAAACGTTACTGAACAAGTGATAAAAAACACTGATAAAGGCCGCCTCATGGACTTCTTCAGATTGAGGTGGACTTACTTTCTGGTCAAGGCTCTTCTCCAGTGACTGGGCCTTTAGCTGCTCCCTGCGCAGCTGGGCCTGAAGTGCAGCGACCTCAGACTTTAGTTTGGAGCGAACCTCTGCAATCTCTCCATTCGCCCTGAGAATAAGAGTAACAGTCAGCCCAGTGAACCTATACAAAGCCCAGCAACAATCCACAACTCTAACTGTATTTTGCACACACAAAAAAAAGGTATAGTTTGACAAGTCTTACAAGCCGATTTTCTGCTCTGCATGGGCTTTCAGGGTCTGGTAGCGCTGCTCCTCCTTCTTGATCCTAGCCAGGTAATCTTGAGCACATTTCTTCAGCATCTCTTCATTCTTAATAGGGGCGCACACACACATTTAAAACCAAAGTTCATAAGGTTGGCAAAGAAAAGTATTGGACCTACACCAATTCAATTACATCCTTCACAGCAATGTTACTTTCCTGCACCAAAGCTGAGTCCTGTGTTTTGCGCAATCATGTGAAATGGCAAGAGTTTATCCTATATTTTAATCCTTATCTAGAAACAAGAATTACACCAAAACATAAGGGGGAAAAAAGGGGGACGGTTTAATGAAAAAGCTTTAAATAAAGGGATTCTGGCATTTAAGCCATTTTTCTACTTAGAGTCAGATGAAGTTGTGGATACCATTGTTAGGTCTGCGTGCAGTAGAAGCAAGTTGGATAGTTTTGCGAGCCAATGTTACTAGCGTCAGCGCAATGACTGGAAGTCTACAAGTACAGTAAACTACCTCTAACGTCCTTCATATGGCACGCAGACATAAAACAGTATCCATGAGTTCATCCGACTCTAGTCAAGTAGAAATGCGCCTTAATTGCCAGACTCATGCAGTATCCCTTTGAAACCCAGGCATTTCACATGATTGTGCAAAACACAGGGCCCAATACATAGGGCAGAACATGCTTTTTAATGCGGACCTTCATGCAACCCTCGATGACCTCTTTGTATTTGTCCAGTCTCTTGAAGAGATCCGAGAAGGATCGCTCCATGGCATTCAGGTCCTGTGATACCTGCTCCTTCTCCTGCAGGACTTTAGTGATCTCAGCCTGGGCCATTTCCTTCTCCCTCTGTTTATCAGCTGCAGGAGACAATGACATCACATCAAGTCATGCATTTTACATTAAAATGAGATTCCAAAATATTTATTTTCAGCTGATAACATCCCAAAATTGCATTATAACATACCCAATATCTGAGCGATTGTGGCTTCAAATTCTGACATGATTTTTCTGCAAAAACAAAAAGCAGTGAAACAAAGTTACAATGAGGGAAAAAAGTATTTGATCCCCTGCTGATTTTGTACATTTGCCCACTGACAAAGAAATGATCAGTCTATAATTTTAATGGTAGGTTTATTTGAACAGTGAGAGACAGAATAACAACAAAAAAATCCAGAAAAACTTAAATGTTATAAATTGATTTGCATTTTAAATGAGGGAAATAAGTATTTCACCCCCTCTCAATCAGAAAGTTCTGGCTCCCAGGTGTCTTTTATACAGGTAACGAGCTGAGAGTGCTCCTAATCCCAGCTTGTTACCTGTATAAAAGACACCTGTCCACAGAAGCAATCAATCAGATTCCAAACTCGCCACCATGGCCAAGACCAAAGAGCTCTCCAAGGACAAGAATGTAGACCTACACAAGGCTGGAATGGGCTACAAGACCATCACCAAGCAGCTTGGTGAGAAGGTGACAACAGTTGGTGCGATTATTCGCAAATGGAAGAAACACAAAATAACTGTCAATCTCCCTCGGCCTGGGGCACCATGTAAGATCTTACCTCGTGGAGTTGCAATGATCATGAGAACGGTGAGGAATAAGCCCAGAACTACACGGGAGGATATTGTCAATGATCTCAAGGCTGCTGGGACCATAGTCACCAAGAAAACAATTGGTAACACACTACGCCGTGAAGGACCTAAATCCTGCAGCGCCCGCAAGGTCCCCCTGCTCAAGAAAGCACATATACAGGCCCGTCTGAAGTTTGCCAATGAACATCTGAATGATTCAGAGGAGAACTGGGTGAAAGTGTTGTGGTCAGATGAGACCAAAATCGAGCTCTTTGGCATCAAATCAACTCGCCGTGTTTGGAGGAGGAATGCTGCCTATGAACCCAAGAACACCATCAAACATGGAGGTGGAAACATTATGCTTTGGGGGTGTTTTTCTGCTAAGGGGACAGGACAACTTCACCGCATCAAAAGGGACGATGGACGGGGCCCAATCTTGGGTGAGAACCTCCTTCCCTCAGCCAGGACATTGAAAATGGGCCGTGGATGGGTATTCCAGCATGACAGTGACCCAAAGCACACGGCCAAGGCAACAAAGGAGTGGCTCAAGAAGAGCTCATTAAGGTCCTGGAGTGGCCTAGACAGTCTACAGACCTTAAACCCATAGAAAATCTGTGGAGGGAGCTGAAGGTTAGAGTTGCCAAACGTCAGCCTCAAAACCTTAATGACTTGGAGAAGATCTGCAAAGAGGAGTGGGACAAAACCCCTCCTGAGATGTGTGCAAACCTGGTGGCCAACTACAAGAAATGTCTGACCTCTGATTGCAAAACATGACTTTGGCAAAACCCTTGTTGGCAGATGGGTCAAATACTAATTTCCCTCATTAAAATGCAAATGAATTTATAACATTTTTGACATGCGTTTTTCTGGATTTGTGTTGTTGTTATTATGTCTCACTGTTCAAATAAACCTACCATTAAAATTATAGAGACTGATCATGTCTTTGTCAGTGGGCAAACGTACAAAATCAGCAGGGGATCAAATACTTTTTTCCCCTCACTGTACAATTGGTTGAGGTCTGAAATCAGAATCAGTTACCAAATACTAAGCTTCAATGCTTACCCCATCTCATGATTATCCTGTGATAGCTTGTCATGCTTAGACTTCCATTCATCCGCATTCTCCTTTGTCTATAAAAAGAAACCCTTCTAAATTAATCATGATTGGATTGAAAAAGGATGAGTGAAACGTTTGCGGAAAACAAACACCTACTTGTTTCTGGATCTTGGCAATGGCAGCATTCATGTCTTGCTGACTGTATTTCAGCACCTCTATGATGTTATCGTCAGTGTTGGCTGGTTGGGGGAAAGTAGGGACCAGATTCTCAAGTATAGGGGAATTCTGCACGAGAGGAGTCATAGGACCGACAACTTGAACCTAAAGGGAGAGAAGACATCCATTTAACAGTTTCTCACATTACTTAGCGTTACTACATTATAATAGGATCTTTGAGGACGACAGGCAATTTACGGGTGGTAGGTCATCAAGACGTTTAAGGTTGACAGATTTCAGTCCATTCACCTCCTCGGCTCCAGTCTTCTGGGTCCCCGCACTGAAACCACATTGAAAGAAAACTCCCTCAGACTTTGAGCAAACACCTTGATATTCACCATTGTGTTTCAAACTAATTTTAGTGACAAACTACAGATTAAGCCAAATAAACATTTATTTACAACTAGAGCATCAGTCAGATGGTAAAACAAAAGCCTGTGATCAGGACCAGGAGAGTAACGCACCGTGAAGCAAAGGGAGCAGGTCGTGGGAGGTTGTCGAGTCCTGCAGGGACTCCAGACTTCTTGGGGCTCTCTCTCATGAGGGGATCAAATTTGAGGTACAGTGATTGTTTTCTCAGTGCTGACTCCTTAAACTGAATATAAAAAGGCAAAGTAATTATAGGAAGCCTAAAATGTAAACATAAACCAGGTATGTATTAACAGTCACAATTTATAAAGTACAAAGTATATACTTACAGTGCTGGACCCAAACTGCTCCAGGTAGTCCATCTGTCTGTCAAAGTCATTCGCCATGACTGGAGGGAAAGGGGGACAATAGTTGTGAAGGTGAAGTCGACATTACCGCAACTAACATGCATTTGTCAAGTTATTTGACTTACATGTGGTTCCAGGAACAAACGTCTCATTAAATTCTGACATGCCATTCTGTGGGTTCTGCTGAAATTGGCCGAGTTCGAAGGGTTCTGCAATGCTCAGCGAAGGTGGGTCAGGTTTAGTTGGAGGTTCCTTCTCTTTTTCAGAGGAAGGATCCTGAACTTGACAAGAGTCCATCTGAAGCTTTGGATTCTGTGGAATGTTCTCCTACGATTGGAGAGAGAGAGAATGTCACCCAAGTAGTCGCACTACAATTAATTAAATCAATATTTAAAAAATTGAACAACTTCAAAAAGGCTTACAATTCCTTCTCTTATGGCAGAAAGATCAGGTTCAGTCCTTGATATTTCATATCCAGCAATAGAAACACTGAAAATAGAACCAACAGAAGTTAATGGCGTGGTGCAGCTACAGTGGGGAGAACAAGTATTTGATACACTGCCGATTTAGCAGGTTTTCCTACTTACAAAGCATGTACAGGTCTGTCATTTTTATCATAGGTACACTTCAACTGTGAGAGACGGAATCTAAAACAAAAATCCAGAAAATCACATTGTATGATTTTTAAGTAATTAATTTGCATTTTATTGCATGACATAAGTATTTGATCACCTACCAACCAGTAAGAATTCCGGCTCTCACAGACCTGTTAGAAGCCCTCCTGTTCTCCACTCATTACCTGTATTAACTGCACCGGTTTGAACTCGTTACCTGTATAAAAGACACCTGTCCACACACTCAAACCTCTCCACAATGGCCAACACCAGAGAGCTGTGTAAGGACATCAGGGATAAAATTGTAGACCTGCACAAGGCTGGGATGGGCTACAGGACAATAGGCAAGCAGCTTGGTGAGAAGGCAACAACTGTTGGCGCAATTATTAGAAAATGGAAGAAGTTCAAGATGACGGTCAATCACCCTCGGTCTGGGGCTCCATGCAAGATCTCACCTCGTGGGGCATCAATGATCATGAGGAAGGTGAGGGATCAGCCCAGAACTACACAGCAGGACCTGGTCAATGACCTGAAGAGAGCTGGGTTCATAGTCTCAAAGAAAACCATTAGTAACACACTACGCCGTCATGGATTAAAATCCTGCAGCGCACGCAAGGTCCCCCTGCTCAAGCCAGCGTATGTCCAGGCCCGTCTGAAGTTTGCCAATGACGATCTGGATGATCCAGAGGAGGAATGGGAGAAGGTCATGTGGTCTGATGAGACAAAAATAGAGCTTTTTGGTCTAAACTCCACTTGCCGTGTTTGGAGGAAGAAGAAGGATGAGTACAACCCCAAGAACACCATCCCAACCGTGAAGCACGGAGGTGGAAACATCATTCTTTGGGGATGCTTTTCTGCAAAGGGGACAGGACGACGGCACCGTATTGAGGGGAGGATGGATGGGGCCATGCATCGTGAGATCTTGGCCAACAACCTCCTTACCTCAGTAGGAGCATTGAAGATGGGTCGTGGCTGGGTCTTCCAGCATGACAACGACCCGAAACACACAGCCAGGGCAACTAAGGAGTGGCTCCGTAAGAAGCATCTCAAGGTCCTGGAGTGGCCTAGCCAGTCTCCAGACCTGAACCCAATAGAAAATCTTTGGAGGGAGCTGAAAGTCCGTATTGCCCAGCGACAGCCCCGAAACCTGAAGGATCTGGAGAAGGTCTGTATGGAGGAGTGGGCCAAAATCCCTGCTGCAGTGTGTGCAAACCTGGTCAAGACCTACAGGAAACGTATGATCTCTGTAATTGCAAACAAAGGTTTCTGTACCAAATATTAAGTTCTGCTTTTCTGATGTATCAAATACTTATGTCATGCAATAAAATGCAAATTAATTACTTAAAAATCATACAAAGTGTTTTCTGGATTTTTGTTTTAGATTCCGTCTCTCACAGTTGAAGTGTACCTATGATAAAAATTGCAGACCTCTACATGCTTTGTAAGTAGGAAAACCTGCAAAATCGGCAGTGTATCAAATACTTGTTCTCCCCACTGTACATTGAGGTTATATCGCCATGCTCTCACAACCAAACTGATTGTGCTTTACATATCAAGCAAAACTTCCTTTAATTTTTTAAATATTTTGGGATAATATTAAAGGTGCAGCAAAATGAACATGAACTTACCATGGTGATGGTGCAGTTTCTTGCTGAACAGGCTCTGCCACTTTCTCAGGGGAGACAGCCACTCTGACTGAGGTTGGTGCCTTGGCATCTGGACTGGATTTCACCGTACAGACTGTAGAGTCAGTCATTTTTGCGTTTGTACCAAATGGATTGAAGTTTGGGTCAAACTTGTCAAAGTCGTACCCGGCCTTGGGAAGAGGAATTTCAGAATCAGTATTGGCCAATGGCTTCACTGGAGATTCCATGGATGGAGCGGGTTCTTTTTTTTCTGTAGGTATAGCCTTTTTCTCTCTCGGCTTCACACCAGGCCTTTTGCCAAACTTTTTGGGAGGAGGCTTACGCTTGACCTCACCGCCATCATCAAAATTGAACTCAAGTTTCACCGGGCCATCCTTGGAAGGGGCTGCACTGGGCTGTGGTATGGCATCTTCAGCTGGCTTGTTAGTCTCCTTGGGAGCAGGCAACAATGGTGCAATAGGTTTCATCTCTGGCTGGACAGGTGCCTCTAGGACTGGCTGAACCCCCTCAAGCGTGGCTGCTGGTTCCATTTCCTTTACTGCAGGCTCGTCAACTTCCACCTTTTGAGGAGGGTTATCGCATGGCCACTTTCTTCCTAGCACCGGGGAATTCTGCATTTTGGAGCCTCCCGTTTGGAAAGGGTTGACTGAATCAAGGTTGGCAAAATCTAATTCGTAAGTACCTTTTGGCGGCAAAGGAGTCTCCTCGGCTGTAGAGGTGATGGCCACAGCATCTTCAGCTGGCTTGCTAGTCTCCTTCGGCGCAGGCGACAATGATGCAATAGGTTTCATCTCTGGCTGGACAGGTGCCTCTAGGACTGGCTGAACCCCCTCAAGCGTGGCTGCTGGTTCCATTTCCTTTACTGCAGGCTCGTCAACTTCCACCTTTTGAGGAGGGTTATCGCATGGCCACTTTCTTCCTAGCACCGGGGAATTCTGCATTTTGGAGCCTCCCGTTTGGAAAGGGTTGACTGAATCAAGGTTGGCAAAATCTAATTCGTAAGTACCTTTTGGCGGCAGAGGAGTCTCCTCGGCTGTAGAGGTGATGGCCACAGCAACTTCAGATGGCTTGCTAGTCTCCTTCGGCGCAGGCGACAATGCTGCAATAGGTTTCATCTCTGGCTGGACAGGTGCCTCTAGGACTGGCTGAACCCCCTCAAGCGTGGCTGCTGGTTCCATTTCCTTTACTGCAGGCTCGTCAACTTCCACCTTTTGAGGAGGGTTATCGCATGGCCACTTTCTTCCTAGCACCGGGGAATTCTGCATTTTGGAGCCTCCCGTTTGGAAAGGGTTGACTGAATCAAGGTTGGCAAAATCTAATTCGTAAGTACCTTTTGGCGGCAGAGGAGTCTCCTCGGCTGTAGAGGTGATGGCCACAGCGTCTTCAGCTGGCTTGCTAGTCTCCTTCGGCGCAGGCGACAATGATGCAATAGGTTTAATCTCTGGCTGGACAGGTGCCTCTAGGACTGGCTGAACCCCCTCAAGCGTGGCTGCTGGTTCCATTTCCTTTACTGCAGACTCTTCAACCTCCACCTTTTGAGGAGGGTTATCGCATGACTGCTTTCTTAATAGCACCGGGGAATTCTGCATTTTGGAGCCTCCCGTTTGGAAAGGGTCGACTGAATCAAGGTTGGCAAAATCTAATTCGTAAGCACCTTTTGGCGGCAGAGGAGTCTTCTCGGCTGTAGAGATAGCCACAGCTTCCGCGACTGTAGTAAAGATGGCCAAAGCTTGATCTGGGTCAAGGTTAACTGATGATTGTACAGTCTCTTCCTCACCAGCGTTGGATAACTCAACGGCTGGGTCCTTCGTCATGGTAATCACACTGCTATCGTTTGAGCACATATCGGCTGAGATGTCAGCAATATCATTTTCCACTGATGGCATGAACGGAAGGGTCTCATCCATTGCCGTTTCATTATTGTCAGACTCCTCCAACTTCTCAGGAGAAACTGCTTCAATGACATTACGTTCACACTGTTCTTCAGCCTTGGGGTTTTCAACTAGCTCACTGGGCCTTGCTGGAGAGAGGACCATTTTAGTGGACCCTTGGAAGGGATTGATGGCATCAAGGTTGTCAAAATCCAGCTGATAACCTCCTTTACTCTGAATTGGCATATCATCATCAGGATAGGATGACACATTTGTGAAGTCTGTAGTAAAATAAGTTGAAAATCAAGTAAACATTATGGTTGAAGTAGTTAATGGTGACAAAGCAGTTTCGGGTAATGAATCTTGAACCTTTAGCCAATCAATCAAATGCTTTACCTGATTTTGGCACATCAACAGGCTCATTGATTTCCTGAGGCAACACCCTGTAAAAATACAAGAGGATAGATTAACCTACATTCTCTCAATTTGACACCAGATTATGAAGCAGCATTCTGCCGATGTGACAAAGCTACAGATTTTTATTTAAAGCATATACTTACTCTTCAGGTGTTGTAAACTGCGAAGACTCCAGGGCTTTACTACAGTCATCCAGGCTTTCCATCTTAAGGGACTTTGTTGGTGATACTATTCTCTTAGTGAGAGGGTCTCTTCTTGGAGTCTGAAAACAAACCTGAAAGCAAAAACCAAAAGGGTATCATCTGAAAACAAATGCTCTATTCAAAACAGTCAAATAAAGAAAGTTGCACACTATGCGCCCAACAGGTAAACCTAACCTGGTTCTTTTTATACAGTTTACTCTGTGAGTCAACACCTCGCAAAACATTTTCGGGTGTGTCAGCTCATGCTTTTTACTAGACTATTCAAACAGTCAAGCATAGATCCTCATAATTACAATATTATTTTAGAAGGAATTATTCTGGAACATTTGAAACAACTCCAAGACTAGGCTTCTTGATAACATATACACTGTACCTTCCCTCCCTTTGCTATAGTTTTGTTTGACAGGTTCTCTGCCTGAGACTGGCGAAGGATGGAGGGCCTCCCAGTCGGCTGATCCAAGGAAAATATGTCACAAATAGTATCTGAATTGCTCTGCTTTCTTCCAGGGCAGACCTCATGATTCTCATCGTTCACAGCAGTAGAACTCATCCTATAAAAGAAAGGCACACAGAAGTGAGGGAGCTGAAGCAAAAGTTGTCCTCATATAATAGACATCTGGGCACACTGATAAGAGTGAGTTAAGCACATAAGACAGACAGAAGTCACACTTCTTGCAGTCCAGACAGAAGACCATTCAATCCAACTGATGAGCTCTAGATACAGATACAACATTGAGGGTGTTGTATCTAGCTACAGCGCATTGGGAAAGTATTCAGACCCCCTCCTTTTTTCCACATTGTTACGTTACAGCCTTATTCTGTGGTCCTCTGTAGCTCAGCTGGTAGAGCACGGCGCTTGTAACGCCAAGGTAGTGGGTTCAATCCCCGGGACCACCCATGCGTAAAAATGTATGCACGCATGACTGTAAGTCGCTTTGGATAAAAGCGTCTGCTAAATGGCATATTATTATTTATTCTAAAATGGATTAAAATTGCCCCCCCCCCCCACATCTACACAAAACATCATGACAAAGCAAAAACAGGTTTAGAAATGTGCTAATTACAAATAAAACTGAAATACCTTATTTACATAAGTATTCAGACCCTTTGCTATGAGACTCAAAATTGAGCTCAGGTGCATCCTGTTTATATTGATGTTTCTACAACTTGATTTGAATTTACCACTAGTGGACTCCATTGCTTGGACATGATTTGGAAAGGCACACGCTTGTCTATATAAAAAAGGTCCCACAGTTGACAGTGCATGTCAGAGCAAAAACCAAGCCATGAGGTCAAAGTAATTGTCCGTAGAGCTCAGAGAGAGGCACAGTTTTGGGGAAGGGTATCATCAAAATTATGCAGCATTGAAGGTCCAAGAACACAGTGGCCCCCATTATTCTTAAAATTGAAGAAGTTTAGAACCACCAAGACTCTTCCTAGATCTGGCTGCCCGGCAAAACTGAGCAATCGTGGGAGAAGGGCCTTGGTCAGGGAAGTGCCCAAGAACCTGATGGTCACTGACAGAGCTCCAGAGTTCTTCTGTGGAGATGGTAGAGTGGCCAGATGGAAGCCACTCCTCAGTAAAAGGCACGACAGCCCACTTGGAGTTTGCCAACAGGCATCTAAATGACTCTCAGACCATGAGAAACAATATTCTCTGGTCTGATGAAACCAAGATTGAACTCTTTGGCCTGAATGGCTAGTGTCACTTCTGGAGGAAACCTGGCACCATCCCTACGGTGAAGCATGGTGGTGGCAGCATCATGCTGTGGGGATGTTTTTCAGCAGCAGGGACTGGAAGACTTGTCAGGATGAGGGAAAGATGAACAGAGCAAAGTACAGAGAGATCCTTGATGAAAACCTGCGCCAGAGCGCTCAGGACCTCAGACTGGGGCCAAGGTTCACCTTCCAACAGGACAACAACCCTAAGCACACAGCCAAGACAATGCAGGAGTGGCTTCGGGACAAGTCTCTTAATGTCCTTGAGTAGCCCCAGCCAGAGCCAGGACCTGAACCCGATCGAACGGGTGGTATCACAACCGGCCATGACCGGGAATCCCATAGGTCGGCGCACAATTGGCCCAGCGTCGTCCGGTTAGGGGAGGGTTTGGCCTGGGGCTTTACTTGGCTCATCGCGCTCTAGCGACTCCTTGTGGCGGGCCAGGCGCCTGCAGGCTGACCTCGGTCGCCAGTTGAACAGTGTTTCTTCCGACACATTGGTGCGACTGGCTTCCGGGTTAAGTGGGCGGGTGTTAAGAAGCATGGTTAGGCGGGTCATGTTTCGGAGCCCGTTGGAGAGTTGCAGCGATGAGACAAGATCGAAATTGGGGAGAGGGGGGGGGGTAAAATACACTGTATAGTGTTGGATCCTTGTTGACAATGGATGTGTGTAAACGTCACCAACCCATAGAAGTCTTCATGTGCAATTAACTTTGAGAGAAAAGTTGAAAGGGTCATGTGGCTACCAGTGGGGAGAAATAAATATTCATCAGGCCACCAAAAGAGTTTTCGGTCTTTGTTTACTAACATTTCAATTAATATCTGAGGTATTGGCTGAATTCATATGACCAGATTCTAAATTGTAGACATGACAACACTTGATGGCATGCCAAGAATGGAGGGGTGTTTAGTTGGTGACGGTATTCAAGCAATTTACCCACTAACGTTATGTCCTCACACCATTATTTGGCCTGCCGTTCCAGGGCTTGTCACTTTTCCCTACACACTCGGTGGATCCGCCTGCCAAAGACCACACCAAATTTGCAAAGCCCATTTGGAATCCTTCAGTTTGGCTAAAATTAATTTTCCTTGGTGCATAGCCTACTAAACTAACGTTAACGTGATTGCAGCATTCTTGTGGATTGGCCGGTTGGTCCTTCAGCAAGGTTTGGAACAATGCCATTAGCTAGTTTTGCTCTTGTTGAAGTGCAGGAATGTCTGATTGTGAAAAATGACCATTTGTGTAAAGAAATCGCCTGGCTTGTTAGCTAACTTACAACTCAAATAAAGCCTGCTCACAACACGTTACATACTTAACGTTAGCTATTCATCAGCACGTTTTCCAATGTGCAAACTAGTAGCTGGCTACCGTTGGTTAACGTTACGTCGTTAGTAGCGGACGTTGTCAGCTTCTGCCAGTGCGGGTTAGACGTTGATAGCTAGCTAGATAGCTAACGTTAACTAGCAAAACACCATTAGCTATCTAGTTAGGCAGTTCAGCGTAACAATTACCAGTTTTGAATTATGCTATTGACCTTAGTAAGTAGGACTCAGACCTGGGAGGGAACTAAAGTCAGTTAGTTAACGTTACTGTATGTAGTTAGTCAACTACTAGTAGTGTAGCGTCAGGCTACAACTTAAGAAATAATGCATCACATCGATGAAGAAATGTTGCGAGATAGACCACGTCAGATAAACAATTTAAAAGCAGCGTGCATGTCAAAGCTAGCTCATTTTCCCAATAATGCCAGATAGTTACATACCTCAATTAAGAAGTCAGATAAACATAAAATAACTTCTCTTAACGCCAACGACCTCCACACACCGTTTACTTTTTCGAAATACCCTAGATGAGCAAGTGACCAGTAGATTTCGAATTTAAACGCCTCGATTTGGACCAATTAAATAGACTGAAAAATATGAAATAGGGCGGAGCTGCTTACGAAATAGCCAATAGCGTTGCATGACTTTGAACCAAATCAGCGAACCAGCGAACTTGCATCAAAGTGAAGTGCTGGTCGCGACCGTAGGGGGCGACAAAGACGATTAAAACAAATATTTCTGGGTCGCGTTTGACGCGCCGCATGAAAAGAGTCTACATTTTATTATAGTAGGGTGTACATTTTACTAAAATAGTATTTATGCTAACTGTCTGTTCAGTAATGGAAAATGATATTTGCAGCCTCTGCTCTGGGAGAGGAAGATAATTATTAGTTTAAAAATCTATGGTGACGTTTTCTATAGGCAAACCTGTAACGCCCAGTAATGGATACCAACAATCTTTGGTTATACAGTATCACCACAGATAGAACAATGAGAACATATTTCGTATCACATTATCTGGTGTACAATCTGTAGCTTGGTCTCTGTGCTCTGAAAAAAGAGAGGTTGCTGTAATTCAGACTTCGTCCAGCAGGCGGCGATAAACAATTGACTGATTCCATAACATTCTTGAAAAAGGCACGAGCAGTCGAAGATCGAGTGCATACCCGCCAAATTCGAAGATGGATTTTAGGAGATGAAGCTAACACTCTATCGCGGAGTTTTAACATTAGCTATTGTGAATGGTTTGCTAGTAGCAAAGCTACTTGTCTGAAAATATTCAACAGGAATACGAAGGGAAAGGGTTCGTTACCTAAACGTTAATATTTGCAAGTGATTTAAAAAAAATACTTAGTTTTTAAATATGTTGGCGCTAGTTGCCTACCTAGCTACTTCCGTTAATATTATTCGCGAGCTAACTAGCTTGCATTGTAGGTAACTTAGACGTCTGATTAAACATTGGTTTATCTTTAAACTAGGCAGTGTCTCTAGTTCCTTGATCAACCTTGACTAACTAGCTAACTGTATGTCTCATCTCTGTTATCAGAATCTGTCGATTGCTCAATGCAGCATCAACAAGTAACCAACAGGTAATGTGGCTTAATAATGCTTAATTCTCGCAAGAGCTGGCCATTGCATTGTTTTACATACATACTCAGTATGTTGCCCTGCCTCATTTGGCAACTTATACTGCCAGTACCTCTTGTTTGTCACGACAATTCCATAAGAAGTTGGCAAGAGAGCAGAAACTGGCACCCAGTCTGTTGGTAAAGTGTATTAACCCATGAATGTTCGTGTTCTGTAATGTAGTGGTGACAATGACTCGATCAAAGTGTTTGTGCGGGTGAGACCTCTGACCCAGGGGACCGGCCTGACCACTGATGGAGACCAAGGCCTCTGTCTCACAGTCACCTCTCCCAACACCATCCGCCTGCACTCCAAGCCGGAGCCACGGACCTTCACCTATGACCATGTTGCTGACATGGACATCACCCAGGTCAGTGTTGGTGGATAGACTGTTACAGTTGAACTGTTGGTGGATAGACTGTTACAGTTGAACTGTTGCTGTAACCTGGAGTAATTCACACGTCAGTAGATAGAGGCTCAAATCAAACCAAGCTGAATTTTAATTGTTCACTTTTTTCGTCTCCTCTCTGTGCAACAGGATTCTGTATTCTCCAGTGTGGCCAAGAACATTGTCGAGTCATGTATTAATGGATACAATGGCACCATTTTTGCCTAGTGAGTGATGTTCTTATTGTTTTACAGTTCATTCATGTTTTATTACGTGCTGTAATATCTCACAGATTTTTCAGTGCTGTAAATTGAGAATGTTTTCCTATCACAGCGGACAAACTGGCTCTGGAAAAACATTCACAATGCTTGGTGAGTGCTGTATTGAATTATTTAGTTTTGTTGCACAGACACCTTCATTTCTTTGCAGTGCCTCAGTACTAAATGTTGCGTGTGTTCTTTCCCTAGGTCCATCTGATTTCGACAACTTTACTGATGACCAACGGGGGGTTATCCCTCGAAGTTTTGAGTACCTGTTTTTCCTCATCAACAGGGAGGTAGAAAGGGTGAGCAGAAAGTAACTGACATTGAAATACAAGAAGTGCCAGTGATTTTGTTGTTTATCTCTGTTTTCTCTCAGATTGATGATTTAAATGCCTTGTTTTTCCTGACAGTCTGAGAATGCCAAGAGCTTCCTGTGCAAATGCTCCTTCATTGAGATCTACAACGAGCAGATCTATGACCTGCTGGACAGTGCCTCAGCCAGCCTGTTCCTCAGAGAGAACATCAAGAAGGGGGTGTTTGTGGAAGGGGCTGTAGAGAAGTTTGTCACTTCAGCTGCTGAAGCTTACCAGGTAGTAAATCATTTCATGTGATTGATTAAATGCCTTGCTTTAAACCATGCTTTTGTCATAGCATAAATTATACTGTCTTAATTTCTTGTGCAAGATTGATTTGACTGACATTGAACTGTTTGCGTTTAATTCATTTATCCCGCTTCCCTCTCAGGTGCTGTCGATGGGCTGGCGTAATCGGCGCGTGGCCTCTACCTCCATGAACAGGGAGTCCTCACGGTCCCATGCAGTCTTCACCATGACCCTAGAGTCCAAGGAGACTGCTAAGGAGGTGGTGAACATCCGCACATCCCAGCTGAACTTGGTGGACCTGGCAGGGTCGGAGAGGCAGAGAGATACACACACAGAGGGTTCCAGACTCAAGGTGATGCTCCAGGACTACGGTTGACTGCTGACTGAACGAACATTCACAACACTGCACACAACAAAGCCTTTAGAGGGCTACATTCCAACTTGTATGTGTTATTGTTATCACTCCTCTGACATCTACCCCCTCTCTTCTCCTCTTCCAGGAGGCCAGCAGCATCAACCGCTCCCTCATGTGCCTGGGTCAGGTGATCATGGCGCTGGTGGATGTGTCCAATGGGAAGAGCCGGCATATCTGCTACAGGGACTCCAAACTCACCTTCTTGCTTCGGGTAAAAGACACTTGTATCTAATTGGATTCTAAAAAAGCTCTTGCTTTCTTGATGTTCCTTATGTGTGCTAACAGAAACTTTTTCTGCAGGACTCTCTTGGAGGAAATGCTAAGACCTACATTATAGCCAATGTGCACCCAGGCTCTAAGTGCTTTGGCGAAACTCTATCCACCTTACAATTTGCCCAGAGAGCCAAGTTGATCAAAAACAAGGTTAGTATGAAAAGTTGCATTTATCACAATTAGTAATTAAATAGGCTACACCTTTTCTCCATATACAGTGATACTGATTGTAATAGATATTGTATCTCTGGTAGTTTAGTGAGCATCTCCTCGTGATTCCTTGTGCTTTATCAGGCCATGATCAACGAAGACACGCAGGGGAATGTGAGGCAGCTTCAGGCTGAGGTGAAAAAGCTGAAGGAGCAGCTAGCTCAGGCTCTTTCTGCCCAGACACGCAGTGGGGGAGATGTGGCCCCAGGAGGGCCCCAGATTCCCATTGGTAAGGTTGCGATTCAGGTTCCCCTTAAAAAAATCTGACCTAGGCTTTGCCACACTGGCTCACTCTGGTTGATTCTTACATGTGTGTACACTAGGGTTGCACGATATTGGAAATAACTGACATTGCGATATTTTGTTTTTCTGCAATATATATTGCGATATGAAAAAATACAGGATGTATGTATGATCCTCTGGGGAAAAATACAGCGACTTTTCAGGTGGAAGTCCTCATTAATAAAGTTTACGGTCAGACTTCTGTAGGGCTCCGTTGTCCGGCTGGACCACAAGTCCGTTGTTGCTGTATAATATTCCACTTGTGACGGCTCTGTTTCAACTTGTGCCTTGCATTTCTCGTACAACTCTGGATGGCAACTTGAGAAAAATAGTTGCGTGATGTCATTACATATCGCTTGTCAAGCGACCGGATCATGTTTTTAAAACCCTCTTTGGTAACCGTGTTAATTGGTACCATGTCTTTGGCGACGTGAAATGTTATTGAATCTGTGATTTCTCTCTGCCGTTTGGAACCTTTCTCGTATGGTGTAATACTGGCAAAGGCATCTGAAATAGATTTTTGCCTTGGAGGGCATTGAGATGCTTTGCACTCGTCATACGAAGATTTGTGGTGCCGCCTTAAATGATCGAACAAATTGGTCGTGTTGCCTCGTGTTGTGGCAACAATTGCAAGGCACTCTCGACAAAGTACCTGTTTTTGGTCAACATCATCCTGTCTGTAGCCGAAATATTTCCATATAATTGACAATGCATTTCTTTTTGCAACCAAATTCTCAATTTCTGTATTTTTTGCCTGTTCCTCGCTCATCATTTCGTCACGCGCAAGCAGAGCCTGCATGGCAACCACGTGCAGCAACCAACTCCGTGTTTAAAATAATAATAAACGGTGTATCCAATAACCCATAAATCAGAGTAAATTACGTTATATCAGACAGATATAATGCTAGTTTAACATAAAAAAAAAAAAATATTGTAGACTGATATGTTTACCTTACTAAATCGCACGTTCTGCGATGTGACTATTGCGGATGCATACATCGCAATGTCGATGCTGAAACGATATATCTTGCAGCCCTAGTGTATACTGTCAATTTTCCCCTGTAACATTAATTCTGAAATGTGTTAGTCTCTCCACATTCTTCTCCCCAGACCCCACTAAAGGCGGTCTTGATGCCGCATACAAGACACAGTTTTTAGAAGCTGTGCGTCTGTGGAAAAAGCGTGAAGACGACAAGCAGGTATAGCTTTCTGTACTTTGAAACGGATGACAAATAAGTCAATGTTATGTCTCAATATTGTTTGTTAGAGGGATGGTAGTTAATACACATACTGTACATCCTCCCCTCCTTAGATGCTGCTCCAGAAGGTGGCTCAGCTTGAGGAGGCCTGGGCCCAGAAGGAGAAATTCATTCACTCCAACCGCATGATTCTCAAGTTCAGAGAGGAACACATCTCTCGCCTGGAGAAGAGCCTAAAGGGTGGCCAGGGATTACTGTCTGACTCACAGAGCCAAGCCCTCGTCGACCAGCTGAAGGAGGAGATCAAGATCCTTCGAGACCAGGTACAATATGTTACCCGGTTAAAGTACTGTTGACCCCAATCTGAATCTGTGAAAAATAATTCAACTCACTTTCACAAAACACTTCAGAAAATGAACAATAACATGTACAACTCCTTAATTTGACATTTGTTGCTACTTCTCATTCCCTCTGTCCTACAGATTGAGCATCACCCAAAGATGACCCGGTATGCAGCGGAGAACTACAGCCTCCGGGAGGAGAACCGGCAGCTCCGCTCTCTTGAGTCTGGGAGGAGAGCTGAGGAGGCTGCAGGCCAAGCTGCTGCAGAGCTAGAGGAGGACTTCCAGAGGGCTCTGGAGACTGAGTGGTCTGATGGAGGTAAGAACAGGAGATGTACAAGATATCAAGGGACTGCACATCATTGTGAAAGTACCTCATTGTAGTGTTGTCAATGTTGCATTATGCTTATCAAGTAACAATATTATAACCACGATCGATAATAGACAGTACTGTGCAGCCGTCTTCATCGACCTGGCCAAGGCTTTCGACTCTGTCAACCACCGCATTCTTATTGGCAGACTAAATAGCCTTGGTTTCTCAAATGACTGCCTCGCCTGGTTCACCAACTACTTCTCCGATAGAGTTCAATGTGTCAAATGGGAGGGCCTGTTGTCTGGACCTATGGCAGTCTCTATGGGGGTGCCACAGGGTTGCAACTTCTTGAGTAGGGGTGGGAGCATATGAGCTAAAATCATATCACATATTTTCCACTGTCTCAGTACGATATCGATATGATCTCACGATAATGACGTAAAAAAGATGAATCACATTTTAATATCCCTTCTTGGTTAAATTATATTAGTTAAGGAAAAATATGTATTTGAACCTTATATAACCAGAAAGAGTGAGGCATTGGACCGTATGGACCTGAAAAGTTTTTATTTGTATTGTGCAAACATGCATTCCGTAAACATGAGGTAGGTAGGCCTATATATATATATATATATATATATATATATATATATATATATAAATTAGATATTAAGTAAAATTAAATAAAAAATAACAGGAGATAAAGAAAATAAGGTAATTACAAATTCAAATACGTGTGTTTGTTTTGGCTACGGTCCGTAGATATGTAAAAAACTAACCGTTTGAAACTAAACCTTTCAAGCCTCAACCATCAATTATCAACAATATCAACAAATCTTCACTAGAACTTTCTTCACAAGTTCCGTGCCAGGAATACCAGCATGTTGACTGTTTCTGGCTTTAGTGCTGCCCTGTGACATGTCACCACATTGCCCCCAGTGCTGAATGCCCTCTCAGAGGGGGCACTTGTGGCAGGGATGCATAAGTATTTCTTTGCCAGACAACTCACACGTGGAAAATTAGATCCGTGAAATCGCCACCACTCCAAAGGATCAGACTCGCTGTCTGCTGCCGTTGCCAGAATGTAGCTATTCAGCTCTTGCTCAATGATCTGCCTCTCTGAACATGAGGCAGGTGCACTGCTGGTCTGCTTAAAGAAGCTCCCAAGGCTCTTCTTGGGCTTCTTGCCTGATTGATGAGCAGTGGAAGCTTCTTTCTCCCTGTCAGTGTGATCCTCTGCAAGAGACGATTTTCCCAGGGCTGTGTTCTCCACCAGGAGGGCTTCGGTCTCTGAGGCAGCTCTCACCTTAAAAAATGAAAATAATTAAACTTTATTTGTATAGCACCTTTCATACATAAAATGCAGCCCAAAGTGCTTTACATTTGAAGCAATAAAACAAGAACAAATGAATAAATACCTTAATGTCCTCCAGTTTCTCAGCGGACATGTACCTGGTCTTGAACCTTGGATCTAGAAAGGTAGCCATGGAGAGCAGCTCATCTGTTGCAGGGTCAGTGTACTTGTTATTCAAGTAATCAAGAACCTTGATCTTGATCTCTTTGGTCAGTTCTGTATCGTCCTTGCTCAGATTTAGAACCTCTGCATTTAACAGATTGATGACAGGCTTCAAATAGGACACGCTCACATACGCTTCTCCTGACAGGGCATCTGTAAAGTCCTGGAGTGGCTTCAGTGCTGCTGTGACTGATTCCAAGACCTGGATGTCTTGCCAGGTAGGTACAAGGTGCCGTGTCTTTTTGTCCCCTGCCAGGACCTGTGTAATGGCCTTTTCCTGCTCCAGGACTCTTTCCATCATTTTCAGACGAGATCCCCACCTTGTCGGAGATTCTGTGATGAGCTTGTGCAGGGGCAGGCTTAGTTCATTCTGTGCTGTCATCAGGGCCTTCTGCTTTTTCCAGCTGTATGAGAACGTGCTAACCACCTTTTTGCAAACCCCTGTGGCCCGGGAAATCGCACACCCCTGTGGCCCGGGAGCGTTTTGGACACTCCTCTCTGGAAATTGGGAATAAGAAATCAAAATAATAGGGTGAAAAATAATCAAATCACAATACAATAATAATTAATAATAATGCATTTTTATATAGAAATCACAATACAATATAACTTTTAATCTTTGTTTGAGGATTTACGGCATTTACATTCAACTGTTACACATTTTACAAATCTGATGTGCTTAGATTTAGCCTACGGTACATGGCTGATGTGAGCTGTATTTTTTCTTAATAATAAGCATCATACAGGGTAGGCCTAGGCTACAGTCCTGAAACTTACCAATAGCATTGTGCAGCCTGTGTCCGAAACATCCAAGGTTTGCCCACTTGTTCAGCTGCAATGCCTTGATCATGTTCGATCCGCTGTCGGTCGTCATACAAACTTGACGCGACTCTTTTAATCCCCAGGACGACAGTATGTCCCTCAGCCCACCTGCAATTATTTCCCCGGTGTGGTCGTCTGGGAAATAAGACGTCTGTAGGCACTTACTTTTCAGTTTCCAGTCACCGTCTATGTAATGGATTGTGAGGCTTATATAAGGTTCTGTGGTACGACTTGACCATAGATCGGCAGTAGTGGAGAAGAATGGAATGTTATTTATCTCACTGTAAACTCTGTCCCAGCATTCTGTGTAAAGCTGTGGCAGGCATTTTTGGCTAAAATATTTGCGGCTCGGGATCTCATATCTTGGGTCCAGAGTTTGAATCAACTTTCTGAACCCCTCTTTCTCCACAGTTTGAATCGGTACCATGTCCTTCGCTATGTGATTTGTAATCGCAGCTGTGATGTCTATCCATTTTTTGCTCGTCTTCTCATAGCAAGTACCGGCAGCAAATGATGATATAATTGATTGTTGAGTGCGAGTCTGGCTTGTCTTCGGGCGAGCTCCTGGGCTTACTGTCTCACGCATTCTGGTGCATTGTTCATACTCACGGACATGTATGTTTTTTAAGTGATTGAACAGGTTGGTCGTGTTTCCACCTTTTGCTAAGACAACACGACGACACAACTTGCATAGGGTAGTGTTTTGGTCGGGGTCGGAGATTTTAAAGCCAAACCAGTTCCAAACAACAGAGGTGCCCCCTTTCTTCTTAACCAATTTATCCTCCTGCTCTTGAGCAACATCAATTTCTGTGTTTTCGCTCATCCTGGATTGTAAAGTTTTCCCCCAATAGTTAACCTGCCTCCTAACTGCAGCTGCCTGCACACTTCTTTGTTGCTAGCACTACATGCGTGCAACAAGTGCATGCGACGTGCGCTCATAAAAATAGGTCAACATATTAACATACATTCTTTTATTCGTAAGAACCAAGAAAGGTTGGATAAAAAAAAAAAAAAAAAGATGTAGCTACTTAGTACTATCACTCAGTTGAAATTTGGAACAAAAAAATATTGATGCAAAATTCGAATTTATGAATTCTGAATAAATCGCGGTATCCATGATATTGCTAAATCCATATCATGGCGCGGCACAATACCGGTTTTTACTATCAAACCGGTATATCGCCCACTCCTAATTCTTGGGCTGACTATTTTCTCCGTGTATATCAATGATGTCGCTCTTGCTGCTGGTAACTCTCAGATCCACCTCTACGCAGGCGACACCATTTTCTATACATCTGGCCCTTCATTTTGGACACTGTGTTAACAAACCTCCAAACGAGTTTCACTGCCATACAACACTCCTTCAGTAGCCTCCAACTGCTCTTAAACACTAGTAAAACTAAATGCATGCTCTTCAATCGAACGCTGCTGGCACCCGCCCACCCGACTAGAATCACTACTCTCGACGGGTCTGACCTAGAGTATGTGGACAACTACAAATACCTAGGTGTCTGGTTAGACTGTAAACTCTCCTTCCAGACTCACATTAAGAATCTCCAATCCAAAGTTAAATCTAGAATCGGCTTCCTATTTCGCAACAAAGCCTCCTTCACTCATGCTGCCAAACATGCCCTCGTAAAACGGACTATCCTACCGATCCTTGACTTTGGCGATGTCATTTACAAAATAGCTTCCAACACTCAACTCAGCAAATTGGATGTAGTCTATCACAGTGCCATCCGTTTAGTCACCAAAGGCCCATATACTACCCACTACTGTGACCTGTACGCTCTTGTTGGCTGGTCCTCACTACATATTCGTCGCCAAACCCACTGGCTCCAGGTCATCTATAAATCACTGCTAGGCAAATCACCGCCTTATCTTAGCTCATTGGTCACCATAGAAACACCCACCCGTAGTCTGCGCTCCAGCAGGTATATCTCACTGGTCATCCCCAAAGCCAACACCTCCTTTGGCCGCCATTCCTTCCAGTTCTCTGCTGCCAATGACTGGAACGAACTGCAAAAAATCTCTGAAGCTGGAGACACTTATCTCCCTCACTAACTTTAAGCATCAGTTGTCAGAGCAGCTTACCGATCACTGCACCTGTACACAGCCCATCTGAAATTAGCCCACCCAACTACCTCATCCCCATATTGTTATTTATTTTGCTAATTTGCACCCCAGTATCTCTATTTGCACATCATCTCTTGCACATCTATCATTCCATTGTTAATACTAATTGTAATTATTTTGCACTATGGCCTATTTAATGCCTTACCTCCATAACTTGCTACATTTGCACACACTATATATATTTTCTGTTGTATTTTTGACTTTGTTTTGTGACTATACAAGTGATGTAATTGATCAAAGCGTGCAAGGGTATTCAGTATAGTGAATTTGACATTTCTCCACAGCTCACCCGTCTTACTCCACTCCGGTAACTGCTGAAAACATCTCTGCCATCTCCATGGAGAGGCTGAAGGCCCAGTTTCTCCAGAAACAGACAGAACTCACAGCCACCATCCAAGCCTTCGAAGAGTATAAGGAACTCACCAAGTAAGGAGGCTCTCTAGAGACATGCATGCTGTCATGATATACAGTATGAACCGTTGACTTCATGAACAAAATACAAATTGTTGCATTAAATCGTAATTAGCTCTTGGAACTTGAAGGTTATTGGCACCATGTTTTTGTTATGTTGTTCTTCAGAGGGTTAAGGATTACTCCTTATGTTCCAGGAAACAGATGTCAGAGTTGGAATCAGAGAAGAGGTACCTGGATAAGTCCAACAAGCATCTGGAGAACATTCTGGAGGCCACAAAGGCTCACAAGAAACTGGAGGTTTCTCAGCTGAACAAGATCCACGTTGAAACTATCAAGGTGAGGGTATTTGCGTTATTTAGCAGCTCGCCGATGGCTCAATGCCCCTCGAGGGCTGTGCCTGAACTACTGTAGAGGGTCAGGTTGGGGTACCTCTAGATCCAGGAGTTTGCCCAACCTTGGTTGAATTCTATGAAGATGGCCTATTAATGACTAATACTTTATTTCTCATGCTAATTTTATGTGACTGTTTTGTCCCCCAGATTCTCACCACGCCCACCAAGGCCTACAACCTGCGGACACGCCTTGTGCCACTCTCCAGCCCCGACCACCTGAACGGGAACGGGAGAGGAGATGAGGACGTGGACGACATCCAGAGTGAGCAGCCTCCACCAGCTATGACGGAAATAGCCTGTGAGGCGCTGACTGAGGAGCTGCAACAGGTCCAGGTACAGCACCCGGGCTTTATCACTTATAAAACGGATAACGTAAAGTTATACTTCTCATTCTCTTGGTGGAATCTATTCATCTATTATTTCCCTTCTGCTTGGCAGGAGCAAGCCAGTCAGGTGCAGACTCGGCTGGACCAGGAGGAGCTGAAGAGCAGGAAGCTGCTGCAGCAGATTGTCAAGCTGGAGGAGCAGGTGACTGGGATGGTAGAGGAGTCCAGGTACAAGGATGAGGTAGGGAACTTCTGTCATGTTCTGGATATGTTATGTTCGTATTCTTAACTTGTCGAGAAGGAACCTGCAAGTAAGAATTTAGTTGGACGGTGTATACCATGTGTATCCTGTACATACGACTAATAAAACTTGAAACTTGCATAACTACGTACAGATAAAGCTGAATCCACTGCTTGAGGAGTTTCACTCCATGTGATATTCATGCTGTCGATACACAAGCCCTGTTTTGAAGATAATAAAGTCACCCCTTCAGCTATATTGGTTTACAGTTAATGACTATATGAAGCTATAGTAATTAACTCTTTATTTGTATGTCCAGCTGCTCTCCACTGAGCGAAGTGGCTGGAACAGAGAACAGCTGAGCCTGCAGGAGACTATCAGCAACCTGGAGCAGAACCTACAGGCAGAGAGGAGGACCAGGGAGGGTAAAAAAAACCCATCACACACTTCACCTAGTTTATACTGAGTTACCCATGGTTCTCTGGCGATTAGTCTGACTGTATGCATCCACTATAGGCAGAACTGTAATACTCAATTGTGTTACTAGTGTAGTGGAAATTCTAACCAGAAAGGAAGAGAGACTGTAGATTCTTCAAATAACAACCTTTTTATTATACGAATTGCAATTCTGGAGTGGTTAACAATCACTCAAAAGGTGTAGAGTTAAGAGCCCAACGAACAAGAGTTGGTTCTCAGCTTTTATGACCTTTGTCTACGTGGCAGTTTAGCAGAGGTGTGAGATCATGGTGGGAACATAGCATACAAACAAGTGATGACGCCAGTTTTTTGTTACTATCTAGCTGCTGCTGCTCAAGCTAGCCTCTGTTCTCTTCATATCTCCACACAGCTGTGCCCTTGACAGATACCAAAAGAACAGGATGGACCAAAAACTGGTCACTCTTAGAGACGGCCCTTTGTCTTTGGCCGCGTGACTAAGTTACACAAAGATCAGAGTGAAAAAAAATACTAGCTTCTTCTTACATGACAGAAACAGACAGTGGAAATGTACAGGTTAAGGCTTATACAGCACATGTGCATAACAGAGTTTGTAATTTTCCCCACCATACTAGTGTTAGTTAGCCAAAAGAAACCCCTCCTTCTTTACCGCCCAGGCACCCACTGTTAAAACCATAATGTACCATTACTTTAGTCAGAGGACAGGAGGATTTTTCTTTTTCCTGGGTATTATATGGTTATCAAAACAATCCATTCTCTCTTGTAGTTCTGAAGAGCGAGGTGCATGACCTGCGGCTGGTGCTGCAGTCCTCTGATAGGGAGCTGGCTGCTGTGAAGAAGGAGCTGTGTGAGGGCCAGAGTGAGCAGCAGAAGGAGACATCACACCTCTCCAGAAGCCTGATCAGCACTCAGCTACAGCTCTCAGAAGTCCAGTACGTATGCATGGCTACAGCTGTCTTGTTGTTTTGGAATCTAGATGTTTGTGTGTGTATCGGACGAGATTTACTCAATTTGATGGAAACCCTGGGAACTCAATGTCACCATAGTACTTTCACCATAGTAGTTTGCAGACTCTCCATCTCCTCCCCCTCACATGTTTTCCCTCTCTCCCCCAGGCGGGAGTGGGAGCAGCTTCTGGAGCAGCAGCGGTCCCTGCAGGATGCCTTTGACCAGCTCCAGGCAGAGGCCAAGTTTGAGGCAGACCAGTCCAGGCAGCAGCTAGAGGAGAAGCAGCAGGAGGTCACAGCTCAGCAGGCCCAAATCACAGTCAGTCAGCTCCTCTTTAAACCAACCAAGCCCTGCTTATCTGTTAAGGACATTCAGAACCGGTCTCTCATTTGTATTCAATTACAGTTAAACCTTTGAGGGTTTTTCTTGATGAATATGTTGCTTGCATTGTAGGAACTGACAAACGCTCTGCAGTCTGAAAGAGAACACACCAGCAATCTGACCTCCCAGTTGAAAGAAGATAAAGAAAGCACTTTAGAGTGAGTTGTATTAAAGGATTGTTTTCGATTTGTGGATGATGAACTTTTTGAAGTGCATTTGTTGACATATTTGATTTGTTTCTCCCCAGAGAGCTTTTACAGACTATGGAGCAGAATGCAGTGCTAAGGAAGCAAGTGTCTGACCTGACTACACAAAGCCAACAACAGGTCTGTTTTTCATCGTTACTGTATACATGGTTATTGTAGTGCCCTAGAGTTGAGTATTTTAGTTTTATTAAAATGTCTTAGAAATTGCTATCACCAGTATGTTTTAGTTTAGTTGAACACTCTTTGACATATTGAATCTTAATCTCCAATCAACTGTAATTGACCCTCTCCATTTGTATTTTACTTTGAAAGGCTTCTAATATGGAAAGCCTTGAACAAAATCTGACAACTGCCAAAGGGACCATAACCAGCCTTGAGCAAAAGATTGAACAAGACAAAGTAAGTCTGCTCACTTAAATGACCTGCCATTCATTCTTATTATTTTGGGTTATAGCATGGATTTGATACCTCTTATTTCAGAAGTCTCTTGTTGTGTTGTGTTTGACAGGAGTTTGTGCTGGAGCTGATCAACCAGACCAGGGACCTCCGCAGTGAGCTGGGAGAAAAGGACCAGTGCCTCGCCATGCTGTCTGGAGATGTCAAGGACCTCACGGTACTGACTCAAGTCATTTGTTTACCTTTTAATTAATTATCATGTTTAACTTGTATACTTCTCAATGCTTACTGTAATTGAGTTTTGGCCTGTTTTGTTCTGACAGGATAAGTACAGTGCTGTGTGCTCTGAGAGAGAGGAGATCAAGGAACACAACTCCAGGATGCAAGCAGAGCTCCAGGACCTGAGAGAAGCAGCAGAAAGGAAGGTGGCTTCTAATCTGATAGAGGTAAGACTTGGAGTTAATTTTAAACATAACAACTAGTGGCCTCTTGAGCTTTGATACAATGACACATTCCTGAATTCCATCATTATGACAACGTCTGCATGTATGTTTTGTCCTCAGGTGGAGGTGCTACAGGAGGAGGTGGTCTATGCCACTGAGGAGGTGGAGCGACTCACCAAGGTGTTAGACGAGCAGACGGGTCTTCTCCAAGCTTCACAGGATCAGACTGCCCAGAAGGAGGCTATCATCCAAACTCTCCAGGAGAAGGTACCAGCCCATTATTTCTATACACGTACAATGAGCCACTGAAAACGAATCAAGGGCTACAGTAGCATGGAAAATGGTAGATTTGAGACCATACAAAATAGATTGGATCTCTACTTTACTCATGGGATTTCCCTGCCTGCTTTTCACCAGTTAAAACAACAGCAAGAAGCGGTTGAGAGGACCATCCGAGGCGAGAGTGCCAATCGTATTCCACAGTCATCCGTCACCCCTAAAGTGCTGCCAAAGGTAACGGATACTTGTGTCTGATGGTTTTTACCTCCTGTATGCATTACCAGGAAGGAACTCTGTCTGATCAAGAGAGCGTTATCTAATCTTATTGATTTCTCTGTCAGACACCTCACACCCCCCGGAACTTCAACACTGACCTGACCCAGGTAATGGAGTGCCAGGAGAGGGAGCTGGAGAGCCGACGCTCCTCCATGGTGACTATGGAAGTGCTCCTCACTGAGCTCAACTCTGAAAGGGCCGCCAAGAACGAGGAGATCCAGAGGCTCAAGGTGTTTTTTTGTCTGTTTGTTTACGGCATGTCATGATGAGTCCTAAACATCCAATCTTGAGGCACTTATTTAACACATTGATATAACGCATACGGCATCTAACAAGTCTGTGTTGATTTCACACAGGGTCAGCTGAATGAGAAGGAAATAATGCGAATGGAGATCCAAGCTCTTCTTGACCAGTTCTACACCAAGCAGAACCAACTGGCTCAGAATGGAAACTCAAATTGGTTAGTCCATTAAAATCACTTATTTTCACCAATTAATATTTGCAACCCAAGTGTTATCAGACAGTTGATTTGTCAAGTGTCTAATGGATATATTTTAATTGACAGTGATGTTTTAAATGAGGCAATTCATCAGAACGTCTTGAGAGAGCTGCAGGAGGAGAGGAGTGAAAAGGTGTGTATCAATCACTCAACTCTCCTGTTCACTTGAAATTTAGTTTTTGTAAACAGAAAATGCCATTTGCAGTAGGTGGTTTTTCATATTGCCTCATTCCTTTCATTTTCAGAGCACAGTAATACAGAGGCTCACTGAAGCTCAGGGAAGGTATGCAAATAACATACTTTGTTCTCTCATCACACAGATGCAATGTGTAATCTACATGTGTTTGCAAATACATTTTCTCTCAAATGCATTTTTTAAAAAGTTTGACATCTTTTGTTTGTTTGTGGTTTTGATTAGAATGCAGAGTCAGGAATCCCTACTGGCCCAGTCTCAGACCTGTGTCCAGGAGCTGACCAATGAGCTGAGGAACCGCTGCCTGGAGCTCAGAGAGCTGAGCTGTAAGGAGCACGACAAGGAGAGACTGCTTCAGGTGAGAACGGCATCAGGGTCTGTAGGGGTTCTGGTTATTGTAATTTTATGTAGTTTTGAATAGACACTATTTATTTTATTTGACCAGGCAGGTCAATTAAGAACAAATTCTTATTTACATAAATAAATGTATCATTTATATGGAATGCAGAAAAGAGCAACTTGCCCCAGTTGACATTCTGGATACTTTTATGGGAGACATCAATCTCCATGCTCCTCCAGACATCAATGATATCAGGAGCTGTCCTAATCCATGATTAGTTTTAGAAGGGTGCTTTGTACTGAATCTAGCTAATGTATGGCGATGGTTTTAGTGTGAAGGTGGGAAAATGTCTGCATCTGCCCTTGCTGTGCCCTACAGGAAGTGGAGGTTCTTCGGAAGCAGGTTGACCACTTGTCTGAGGAGAACGGCAAGCTTGTGGGCCATAAGAACCATAAGCAGAGGATTGAGTACCTGGTTAAGCTAAAAAAGGAGAACACCAAACTTCAAGAGGTAATAATCATATTTAACATTTCATTACCTGGCTGCATGGTGTACCATCAATAAACTTGGCCTCGGCAGTGAAATACTGAGGGGCCATTTCACTGCATTTATAGACTATAATTAACCCAATTTATTATTTTTTTTATTCAAGGAAAATGAAAAACTCAGATCGGAAATGAGTATGCGAGAAAATGCATGAAGCTTGAATGCTTGGAGAGATTCTCATTGGCCACTCAACATTTCTTGTTGACCGTGAACATGTCCCCCAAACAGAACCTTTTCACCATTTTAAGTTGACTGATAACCATGCTATTGTATCATCACATGATAAACAGGTCAGTACATTACCTGTTTCAAAAACTGTGATTCTCACAAATGTATTTTAATATTTCTATATGAATATACTCTTATTTCTACTAAGGCTGGGCTGGCCAATACATTGTGTATATTTTTATTGCAATATGTATGATTGCGGTATGCATATCATTGGATCTAAATATCCCATGATATTTCCACTACCTCTCTGCAGGCTAAAACAGGCAACTTGTTCTCACCTTCTGCAGCCAGTGTAGCCCCCTAGGCCACATTTAAATGGAGGCTGTGCCACAGGGTCATCTGCATTCATATATTACACTTGTTTATATGATATCATCCTTTGTATTGTAATTACTTTTATATTAATTTTGGTCTATATCGCCCAGCCCTAGTGTTTACCACAGTGGCTACCAGAGATGCCACAATAGGGTAGTTACATTGTTTAACAACTGAACTGCTGGATGAAATATATTTCGTATTTTAAAACTGTAAATATATTCTCTGTAGTAGAATAATAAGTAATACGGGTGAATTCGGGATTTTGTCCAGTTGATCATAAACAAAATATATAATTTGTTGTTTTTGTTACCATTATCTTGTCTGTTGGAACAATGTGTGTATTTTCCTCTTTCTATTAGTCTCATCTATGTCCTTAGAATATATGACAGGATCATGTCTATGGACAGGGTGCAAATCATTTACTGTTACTTTATGCTAAACTGTACTGCTTCTTTCTACCATTTCTACTCTTTGTAATAGGATTTGTGTTAATTAGATAATCAAATAAAGAAATCAAAATGTATATTTACGTTTCTTGTGGTTTGCATTAGGAACACAACATTACAGTAGATCAGAGGTGTCAAACATACAGGCCTTGGGGGTGGGTGACGAACTCCATATACTTTTAAAATGACTCGAACTAAATCGAAACTGTAGAAATGATAATCCTCAATAGCCGAAATGAAAGCTAGATAGTCGGGGAGCATCAAATTCAACCTGGACTGAGGGTAGACGTTAGATTACTAAGGAGCAGCTTGCTATGGAGCGGGCAAGCTATTTGCATGCATTGGACAGACAAGTGTAGGGCATGAGATGCAACTGAAATGTTGCAGGTGGGCAGAGAGGGTGAAGGCGTGGCTTGAAGCACTGGGCATCTTGTTTGCATTATCTGAATTAGGCACACAGAATTATACCTACAGAGGAGTGTCTTCTATGAAGGAACTTTGAATGTCTTTGAACTTCAGAGTTGGTTTAAACTTGGACCAGAGAAGCTAGCTAGCTAGCTAACAAGCTTGTGTGTGTGCAGCAGCGGCGCCAGAATTAAAATAAAAACACATCTTACCTTTTTGTAGTCAATAAATCCAATGTGAAACGTGATAAATAGTATCCGTAACTAGCATTGAAAAGGTTAATCCATTCTAATCTAATAAAAAAAATATCTCCCTAATTTCTGAATCACACTTGTAACATCAGTAGGCTACTAGACTATGCTTCGGATGGGTAGAGAAGGGTTGCCTACACACACACACTGGTTTTCGGTTCTGTTCCCTGAACCGGTTCCAACCCCTGGTATGTATTAATTTGAGGATGTCCATCATCCATTTTGTGTGATATGTTACGAATTTGCTAAACATATGATATTGTAGGGACGCTGGTTTATGAACGCGGATATTAACTGCCACTCGAGCATGCTTTTGTGGCACAGTCGACTGCTCGGTGGGCTTCGGCCCAGAAGGTTGAGGGTTTAGAGCCATGCTCCCTGCCTGGAAGTGAAAGTGATTGGACATCGCACCCATGACAGTGCCTCTACTTATCCGGTGAGCGCGTTCCTGTAAGACTGCGTCCTGTGAGGTCTAGAGCGAGGAAGCGCTCTTTGAAAGGAGGGAGTTGTGTAGCGACCCTGGTTTATAAGCGCGGATATCGAATCTGCCACTCTAGCATGCTTTTGTGGCACAGTCGATGGCGCGCTGGGCCTCGGGCCAGAAGATTGAGGGTTCAAGCCGCACTCTACCGGTTTCATTACTATATGTACAGATATCAATTTGTTGTGCCTAACATTAGCTAGGTGGTAAATGTTAGCAAGGCAAGGGGTTAAGGTTAGGTTAAAGGGTTAGGGGAATGGTAAGATAACAACATGCTAAGTAGTAGCAAGTAGTTACTAAAATGCTAAAAGTTGTCCATGATGAGATTCGAACGCACAACCTAGGCTGGACAAATTACATTTTTAACGCTTTCTTTCTGATAACTAGTTAATTGCATCCGCCGTGGAGCCCAGTCTCATAATATTATCATATGTCCCAGCTGCTTGTCGTCGTTTTTAAGTAATCACGAAAAAACAGGCCTTATTTATACGGCCTTATCTTTCCACCCTGCCAGCTCCTATTAGTTATTTTGAGCACCGTGGCACCAACACGCCTTCAGAACGTTCTATTCCCAGCCCATTGTTCTACGTCACAATGGCTGCTTCCCTATTGTTAGCAATGAGACCTGCCCACGCTGGTAGTTAAAACGTCACCAACAACAACAAATTACTCATGGAACTCTGAGGTCGTCTCATTGTTTTCTATAGGGGAAATATATGTATGTCTGTCTATTTCGCAAAATATCTCGCAATGTGTATATTTTGATTTGTTCAAGTCGGGCACAATTTTAATCATGAGAATCTGCTGAGAACACTGCTACTCCTACTGCTCTCTCCTCGTCTGACCATGTGTTCTCGCATACCCCGAGAGCATCTGGTCAGAGGGGTGGTGGCACAGGAATCCTCATCTCTCCCAAGTGGACATTCTCAATTTTTCCCCTAACCCATCTGTCTATCTCCTCATTTGAATTCCATGCTGTCACAGTCACTAGCCCATTTAAGCTTAATATCCTTGTCATCTATCGCCCTCCAGGTTCCCTTGGAGAGTTCATCAATGAGCTTGACGCCTTGATAAGTTCCTTTCCTGAGGATGGCTCACCCCTCACAGTTTTGGGGGATTTCAACCTCCCTACGTCTACATTTGACTCATTTCTCTCTGCCTCCTTCTTTCCACTCCTCTCCTCTTTTGACCTCACCCTCTCACCGTCCCCCCCTACTCACAAGGCAGGCAATACGCTTGACCTCATCTTTACTAGATGCTGCTCTTCTACTAATCTCACTGCAACTCCCCTCCATGTCTCCGACCACTACTTTGTATCCTTTTCTCTCTCGCTCTCCTCCAACACTACTCACTCTGCCCCTACACAGATGGTAATGCGCCGCCGCAACCTTCGCTCTCTCTCTCCCACTACTCTCTCCTCTTCCATCCTATCATCTCTTCCCTCTGCTCAAACCTTCTCCCTCCAATCTCCTGATTCTGCCTCCTCAACCCTCCTCTCCTCCCTTTCTGCATCCTTTGACTCTCTGTGTCCCTTATCCTCCCGGCCGGCTCGGTCCTCCCCTCCAGCTCCGTGGCTTGATGACTCATTGCGAGCTCACAGAACAGAGCTCCGGGCAGCGGAGCAGAAATGGAAGAAAACTAGACTCCCTGCGGACCTGGCATCTTTTCACTCCCTCCTCTCTACATTTTCTTCATCTGTTTCTGCTGCTAAGGCCACTTTCTACCACTCTAAATTCCAAGCATCTGCCTCTAACCCTAGGAAGCTCTTTGCCACATTCTCCTCCCTGCTGAATCCCCCCCCCCCCCCCCCCCCCCCCTCCTCTCTCTCTGTGGATTACTTCGTCAACCACTTTGAAAAGAAGGTTGACGACATCCGATCCTCGTTTGTTAAGTCTAATATCACTGCTGGTCCTGCTCACACTGCCCTACCCTATGCTTTGACTTCTTTCTCCCCTCTCTCTCCAGATAAAATCCTGCGACTTGTGACTGCAGGCCGCCCAACAACCTGCCCGCTTGACCCCATCCCCTCCTCTCTTCTCCAGACCATCTCCGGTGACCTTCTCCCCTACCTCACCTCGCTGATCAACTCATCCTTGACCGCTGGCTATGTCCCTTCCGTCTTCAAGAGAGTGAGAGTTGCACCCCTTCTCAAAAAACCAACACTCGATCCCACTGATGTCAACAACTACAGACCAGTATCCCTTCTTTCTTTTCTTTCCAAAACTATTGAGCGTGCCGTCTTTAGCCAACTCTCTTGCTATCTCTCTCAGAATGACCTTCTTGATCCAAACCAGTCACGTTTCAGGACTGGTCATTCAACTGAGACTGCTCTTCTCTGTGTCACGGAGGCTCTCCGCACTGCTAAAGCTAACTCTCTCTCCTCTGCTCTTGTCCTTCTAGACCTGTCTGCTGCCTTTGATACTGTGAACCATCAGATCCTCCTCTCCACCCTCTCCGAGCTGGGCATCTCCGGCGCGGCTCACTCCTGGATTGCGTCCTACCTGACCGGTCGCTCCTACCAAGTGGCGTGGCGAGAAGCTGTCTCCGCACCACGTGCTCTCACCACTGGTGTCCCCCAGGGCTCAGTTCTAGGCCCTCTCCTATTCTCCCTATACACAAAGTCACTTGGCTCTGTCATATCCTCACATGGCCTCTCCTATCATTGCTACGCTGACGATACACAACTAATCTTCTCCTTTCCCCCTTCTGATAACCAGGTGGCGAATCGCATCTCTGCATGTCTGGCAGACATATCAGTATGGATGACGGATCACCACCCCAAGCTGAACCCTGGCAAGACGGAGCTGCTCTTCCTCCCGGGGAAGGACTGCCCGTTCCATGATCTCGCCATCACGGTTGACAACTCCGTTGTGTCCTCCTCCCAGAGTGCGAAGAGCCTTGGCGTGACCCTGGACAACACCCTGTCGTTCTCCGCTAACATCAAGGCGGTGACCCGATCCTGCAGGTTCATGCTCTACAACATTCGGAGAGTACGACCCTGCCTTACACAGGAAGCGGCACAGGTCCTAATCCAGGCACTTGTCATCTCCCGTCTGGATTACTGCAACTCGCTGTTGGCTGGGCTCCCTGCCTGTGCCATTAAACCCCTACAACTCATCCAGAATGCCGCAGCCCGTCTGGTGTTCAACCTTCCCAAGTTCTCTCACGTCACCCCGCTCCTCCGCACACTCCACTGGCTTCCAGTTGAAGCTCGCATCTGTTACAAGACCATGGTGCTTGCCTATGGAGCTGTGAGGGGATCGGCACCTCTGTACCTTCAGGCTCTGATCAGTCCCTACACCCAAACGAGGGCATTGCGTTCATCCACCTCTGGCCTGCTGGCTCCCCTTCCTCTGCGGAAGCATAGTTCCCGCTCAGCCCAGTCAAAACTGTTCGCTGCTCTGGCACCCCAATGGTGGAACAAGCTCCCTCACGACGCCAGGACAGCGGAGTCACTCACCACCTTCCGGAGACATTTGAAACCCCACCTCTTTAAGGAATACCTAGGATAGGATAAAGTAATCCTTCTACCCCCCCCGTCCCCCCCCCCAAAAAAAAAAAAAAAAAACATATTGTAAAGTGGTTATCCCACTGGCTATAGGGTGAATGCACCAATTTGTAAGTCGCTCTGGATAAGAGCGTCTGCTAAATGACGTAAATGTAAAATGTAAATGTAATCTCCTCTTTGTAATTATGTAAGTCTGGGCAGCCAGCTTGGTAGTGGTGGAAAAAGTAACCAATTTTCATACTTGAGTAAAAGTAAAGATACCTTAATAGAAAATGACTCAAGTAAAAGTGAAAGTCACCCAGTAAAATCCTACTTGAGTAAAAGTCTAAAAGTATTTGGTTTTAGATATACTTAAGTATCAAAAGTAAAAGTATAAATCATTTCAAATTCCTTATATTAAGCAAACCAGACGTCACCATTTCATTTTTTATTTATTTTATTTACAGATAGCCAGGGGCACAGTCCAACACTCAGACATAATTTACAAATGAAGCATGTGTTTAGTGAGTCCGCCAGATCAGAAGCAGTGTGGATGACCAGGGATGTTCTCTTGTTAAGTGTGTTAAATAGACCATTTTCATGTCCTGCTAAGCATTCAAAATGTGACGAGTACTTTTGGGTGTCAGGGAAAATGTATGGAGTAAAAAGTGCATCATTTTCTTTAGGAATGTAGATAAGTAAAAGTTTTCAAAAAATATAAATAGTAAAAGTACATATACCCCAAAAAACAACTTAAGTAGTACTTTCAAGTATTTTTACTTAAGTACTTTACACCACTGGAGCTCGGTTGTCATCAAATGCTAGCCCTAAAATACTTTTTGCCCTTGGAACCCTGAGCTCTGACCATTGTTCTCCTATGGAGAAGCATGCTGGTCTATTTCGCCAAATATCTCTCAAAGTGTATATTTTGGATTTTTTTCAAGTCGGACACCATTTTTAATCAGGAGAATCTCCTCTTTGTAATTATCTACAGTACCAGTCAAAAGTTTTGATACACCTATTCATTCAAGGGTTTTTCTTTATTTGTACGATTTTCTACATTGTAGAATAATAGTGAAGACATAAACTATGAAATAACACATGGAAAATTCCAAAAACCATGGATAGAGGATTTCCCCCCCCACATTTTGACAGTGAGGAAATATAACCAATTTTCAATGCGGCCATTCTAACTTGTTGAAAACCGAATAAGGTCTAAACGGGATCCTTGGTTTGTCACAACGCCGACATTACCATGTTGAAATTGAACAGGGGTAGGGGTTTAAAGCTGCAATACGTAACTTTTTGGGCCACCTGACCAAATTCACATAGAAATGTGAGATAGATCTGTCATTTTCATTGAAGGCAAGAAGCGGTAGATCTGTTCTATGTGCACTACTTCTATGCTTCCCGTGCTTAAGTTTTCTTTTTGCTTTGTACACCCAGCTACAAACAGCTGGAAATACAATATTTGTGGTTATTTAAAATATATTTCACAGCGGTTTAGATGGTACAATGATTCTCTACACTATACATTGCTTGTTTTGTCACAAACTGAAATTTGGTAAACTATTAGAATTTTAGTAACCTGGAAATGGCAGAGCGATTTCTGCATATTGCACCTTTTTAAGGTTAGGGGTAGGGACATCCCAACAATGCAGGGGTGTAAAGTACTTAAGTAAAAATACTTTAAAGTACTAGTTAAGTAGTTTTTTGGGGTATCTGTACTTTACTATTTGTATTTTTGACAACTTTTACTTTTACTTTACTACATTCTTAAAGAATATAATGTACTTTTTACTCCATACATTTTCCATGACACCCAAAAGTACTCGTTACAGTTTGAATGCGTAGAAGGACAGAAAATGGTCCAATTCACTTATCAAGAGAACATCCTTGGTCATCCTTACTGCCTATGATCTGTCGGACTCACTAAACACAAATGCTTCGTTTGTAAATTATGTCTGAGTGTTGGCGTGTGACCCTGGCTATCCGTAAATTAATAAAACTTGAAAATTGTGTAATCTGGTTTGCTTAATATAAGGAATTTGAAATGATTCATACTTTTACTTTTGATACTTAAGTATATTTAAAACCAAATACTTTTACTGGGTGACTTTCACTTTTACTTGAGTCATTTTCTGTTATGGTAGCTTCACTTTTACTCAAGTATGACAATTGGGTACTTTTTCCACCACTGAACCAATGCGGCTCCCGGGGCAAAATCAGGGCTAAATGAATTTGACAACCCCTGCAGTAGATGAATGTTTGATCCAGACCAACACAGACTCCTTAGCAGCGTTGCCACAGTCAAAATGGGCTATATCGTAAATGTTTTATGAAAACCAAAAGTAGGTTTTTGGTCTTATTTTAAGGTTAGGCATAATGATAGCAGTGTGGTTAAGGTTAGGTTTAAAATCACATTTTAAGAAAATACATTTTAGAAATAGGCGGGGTTTATGACTGTGGCGACCCCTTAGCAGGTGTACTGTCACGTGCCATTGAACTAATTTAGAATTCTGCAGCATCACCATTGAACACAGACCAAAAGCACCGGTCGCTGGAGTCCACAAAATAGGAAACATGAAGAAAGCAATAACTGCAGAACAGATAACAGAATGGTTTACATTAGGGACCCAATTTGCTAACATTAGAATCACAGATGAACCTCCAAAAAAAGTAAAGTCGGAGGAGTCATCATCAAGACAGAGGTAAATTGGCTAGCTAGCAAAATGTAGGATTTAATTGCCAGCAACGTTAGCTAGCTTGTACAGTACATGTTCCCTCGCACGTTGTTCATTTGTAGCACGCTAACTACCAGACTGGAACTTTATACTTTTGTGTTAGCTACATTGCTACTAGCCTGACAGACTGATACCTCTGCTGTGGTTCAGTCTGAGATTAATGCCATACATTTGTTTGGAAAATGTCTTCTCACAAGCTCTACAAGCCAGAATGTTGAAAAACATTTTATTTTAACGTACTTTATCGGTTGTCCGTGCAGTTTGTCCTTTTACATGCAGGAATGTGAGACAATATATCCACAGGAAAGTATAATTACATCAACTTTTCAAAGCGCTGGTAGTGTGTTCAGATTTCTCTCACCTGCACGAGCTCGGCAAGTATGCATGCGTTTGTGTATTTTCATATTGTGTGCATGCTTCGGGTGATAGAAATCTGAACGCACAACCAGCGCTTTGAAAGGTTGACGTAATTATACTTTCCTTTGGATATATTGTGTCATATTCCTACCTGCAAAAGGACCAACCTCACGGACAACCGGTAAAGTACAATTTTATTCAGCATTCTGGCTTGTAGAGGTCATGAGGAAACTTCCTGACACAAACGGTAACGATCATTTCTCGCCGATTCAACATCGGATCTTCAGGCTTTTCAATAAGTATTAGCTAGCCAAATACAATTGCATGATTTACCAACATAGTCAAGTATACTGAACAAAACATGCAACAATTTCAAAGATTTTACTGAGGAAATCAGTCAATTGAAATAAATGCATTAGATCCTAATCTATGGATTTCATTTATTTATTTTTTAAGTCATTTAGCAGACGCTCTTATCCAGCGCGACTTAGTTAGTGAGTGCATAATTTTTTTTCCATACTGGTCCCTCGTGGGAATCGAACCCACAACCCTGGCGTTGCAAGTGCCATGCTCAACCAACTGAGCTACACGGGACTACATGACTAGGCAGGGGTGCAGCCATGGGTGGGCCTGGGGGAGCATAGGCGCAGCCAGGCCCAACCAATCAGAATGAGTTTTTCCCCACAAAATGGCTTTATTACAGACAAATACTCCTCCCACAGGTGAAGAAGCCGGATATGGAGGTCCTGGGCTGAGGCCGGTTGGATGTACTGCCAAATACTCTAAAATGACATTGGAGGCAGCTTATGGTAGAGAAATGAACATTCAATTCTCTGTCAACAGCTCTGGTGGACATTCCTGCAGTCACTGTGGCCTATTGCACGCTCCCTCAACTTGAGACATCTGTGGCAATGTGTTGTGTGACACAACTGTATATTTTAAAGTGGTGTTTTATTGTCCCCAGCACAAGGTGCACCTGTGTAATGATTATGCTGTTTAATCCGTTTCTTGATATGCCTCACCTGTCAGGTGGATGGGATTATCGTCACGCCAGGATAAACCTTCACAAAACACAGCCCTTATTTTAAGTGTTTCTAAAATCCCCTATGGGGAAAAATGAATGGTGGAAAAACAATTGGAAGATTTCTGTTTGACCGCTAGGTTTTATGGGAAGTATGACTCATGCTGTGGTACTCTATAGCCAGGTGCCAAAATATCTAAGCACGGGTTGACTTGTCAAATCAGTCAGTGCAAATGAAGTAGGCTAGCTAGTAGACTATCCTGTTGTAGTAGCTAGTATTGAGATGCACCCCTAGTTCAGGTGTTGAATGTCTGAATCTGCCCCCAAGTCCCCTTGTCCAGTGCAATATTTTGTTGCAGTTCATTCAAATGAATAAATCTGTAACATATTTTATCCACATTTTTTGGGAGATTACAGCTCTTTCAGGCATGACCTAACAAGGATAGAAGGTAAGCATGGTCGTTAGTTGGGTACTACTTTACCACCCTGCCTCCTCTCACAGCATGGTGCTGTAGGCCTCTGTGGAGTTGTGTGGCACTGGGTGGTGGTAGTAGTAGGGAAGGTCCCAGTCCCTATGGGGAGTGAAAGGACTAGAGCCTCTCATTGTACGGTCCACATAGCCAGAGATGGTTGGGATCTCCTCTCTCGGGGACACACCACAGTCGGGCACAGTGGGTGTGACAAAGCCCTGCTTCATTTGGAATCGGTTGGTGCAGGCCTCCATTGGCCCAAGCAGTGTTGGCTGCGGCAGGTGCTCCTCCTCTTCTTCCCCTTCCTCTTTGTTGAGGAAGTCTCTCAGCACCTGCTTGAAGACGTACACCAGCTCCCAGGGCAGGATGTTGTTGCTGGCCAGCACTTCACGGAACCTGAGAATGGGATAGATAGAGGGATATAGTGGGTTAATAAACTCTTTAACCCAAACTGCATTATCCACAATTATGAGGCAATTTTAGAGAAGCTGTTTTGGCTTTCATTTACCCATTAGACCTAGTTGACAAAATTATGCTTAAAATGATGTAGGTTATTTCATCAAAGTATCATGCATTGTGTGAGGTGACAAGGCAGAGGGCATATTTATGAGCTCACTCCAATCTAGTTGTCAGGAGGACATTTTGCAAAGAAGAAAAATCCATGCAGTGAGAAAGTCCACACCGAATAATATCCCTGGAATAATCGGGCGATCTTGTTACTGTTGTAATGTGATTATGCAAACAGTCACACCAGGATTGTATGGCGAGTTCTTCAGGGGACTCGAGTGTTCGTGTCACTTCTGTCAGTGGTATAACTGGGCGTGAACAATTTATTTGACAGTCGTGAAGATCAATCATGTGGAAGTGGTTACGCACATCTAGTTAATTTACATACATTTTTGCTAGACCCTTGGTGGATTTAAAGGTTATTTCAAGTATTTTTACAAAGGTCATGATTCCTCATTTAGCCCTCCAAAAGACCAAATCTATGTTCATACAAATGTCACCATCACTGTAAAACATTGTTGTGGGATGTGTTTTTATTTTAATAGGGATACGATATTGCTGATGCAAAGCTCTTTCCCTGGGGGTTGTTTTTGCTGTGCTTAGCCCCATAGGGTCCACTTCACCTTTGCATGTTTCCACCCCATGTAACCTACTTCTGTGACAATAAAACAAAGTGGCTTCCCTGGCAGATTGCTCTGCCTCGCTCTCCTTGAGACTCGTCTCCTTCGCCTATTGTCACCCTGGTGTGGTGACATTGGCTATTTTGGACACAGCGTGCTAATATGAAAAGGGTACTACTGTATGAAGACAGTGGTGTACAATGTACCTGGAGAGCACCGTGGCTGTGTGCATGGGCTGGATCTGGGCACACAAATGCTCCAACTGGTGACGCTCTGATGCGGGGATCAGCGTGCGTAACCTGGGATAGCTCTGGAGCCAGTGGGGGTATCCCACGGTGTTGTGGGCCAGCCTGTGTTCCCGCTCCATCTCCCGTGCCAGGCGCTCCCTCTCCTCCACGTGCCACAGCAGCTCCCTGATCAGTGTGCTGCTGGGTAATACCCCTGTGGACTTAGCAGACGTCCCCTCATCTTGAGCCTGTTCTCCTTCAGCACGCAACCATTTCATCCAGCTGAACAGTGGCATGGCGGAGGAATACTGTGGTTACTGCAGTGAGAAAATAAAAATTATTGTACATCCTGAATCAAAATTGACACTGCTTCCCTGTTCTCCTGAATTCTGTTTTAACAGAACTGTTGAAGGAATTGCAATTTTATTGATTGATCTGCACTCGTTGAAGACTTGACATACTCCCGAGTGGCGCAGTGGTCAAAGGCACTGCATCGCAGTGCTAGCTGTGCCACTAGAGATCCTGGTTCGAGTCCAGGCTCTGTCGCAGCCGGCCGCGACCGGGAGACCAATGGGCAGGCGCACAATTGGTCCAGCGTCGTCCAAGGTAGGGGAGGGTTTGGCCGGCAGGGATGTGGGTTCAGTATGAAAAAAAATTATAATAAATGTATGCATTCACTAACTGTAAGTCGCTCTGGATAAGAGCATCTGCTAAATGACTAAAATGTAAATGTGGAAATTGAGAAATGGATCACCTCCATACAAGCTGACCTCTGGACCTCTGTCATCATCAGTGTTCTGTTAGCATTCAGTGGCATTCTCACTCGGGTGAGGAGGATGCCCAGGTGTGGGCATGTACCTCACACCTTATCTACACACAGATTAGGCAGCCTGGGATAACAGGTCATGCTCTGTGAACAGAGCATGTAGTGCTGTACACCTGTCAGTAATGTCTCAAAGCACAAGAAAAATAATGTTGTTTTATTAAACCTGAATGTCCTAGCAAATTTCTTCAAATAATGGACTTGTGATTCTTGATTTGTGGCTATTGTCTAGATGAATGCCATTTTATTGTTTGAACTTTCTGACCATAATTTGCAAATAGCCTATGTAGTGAGAAATGTAAAAAAAACAACACATTGCATGGTTGCTGGTACTTACTGTTGAATGCTGCAGTGATGAGAGTTGAGGGAGAGAGCCAGACATAGACAGAGTGATATAGAGAGATCAACACAGGCACCTTAGAGTAGCATCTCCAGGACTCTGTCTCCATGGGTCTGTCAGTGAACTCTCCATTCTCTGGATCTTACTGGACTGTAGTCCTGATCGAGAGTGGATCATCCACTGTCTGCACTCCTCTGCTGTCCGTCTGTAAGAAATTGTCCTCTCTCTCCTCTCTGTACTGCGTAATTGTCCTCTTCACTCATCCCTGCTCTCCTGTCCCGTGGACTGTGTCCAGTGGAGTTACTCAGTGTTCTCCTCTGACTCAATGCTGTCTCCTCTCCTTTCACCTCACTCTCCTTTGTGCTGCTTTGTTGTAAGGTCAGCTGCTTTGTTAGATGCTGACGTGAGTGTGTGCATGTGTAAGCCAACCCGTGTGCATTTAGATGTGTGAGCTGCTCCCAGCTGTGACAGTGTGTCTGCCTGCTGTGTAGATAAAGTCCTCCTCTCGCCCAGAGAGAAGCTGAGATGACTGGGACTGCTCTCCCTGCCACACTGCTCCAGGCCTGACTAGCCCAGCCACAGAATGAGAGGAGTGGGGGAGATGACAGGGAGGGCGAGTAAGAGAGAGGAATGTTAGAAACTGAGAGCAAATAGGGAAATTGGGATTTTAGTGGAGGGGAGGAGGGAATTCAGAAAGAAAGTAGGAGGAGAGCTATTTGACTTGACAAAGACACACTAGCATTACTCAACATTATTTACTCAAAGCGAAAAAGCCACATTATCACCACTCACTACTAGTGTGTTTGCTGAGCCAAATCATGCCTGTTTTGGCCAAGCCATTGTCAGACTGGATCCTTCACATGTCTGTTGTCTTGGAGATGGCTTTGGTTTGTGTATTTGAAATTAGACGAATGTGAAGAGGATGCGGCTGCCTAATATTAGTCCAATGGGGGGCATTTTGTTTCACCTAGCTTTGATACACTCCTACTCTCTTAGAAAAATAGGTGCTATCTAGAACCTTAAAGGGTCCTTCAGCTGTCCTCCATAAGAGAACCCTTTGAAGAACCCTTTTTGGTTCCAAGTAGAAAGAGCCCTTTTGGGTTCCATGTAGAGCCCTTTCCACAGAGGGCTCTACATGGAACCCAAAAGGGTTCTACCTGGAACCAAAAAGGGTTATACCTAGAACTAAAGAGGGTTATCCTATGGGGACAGCCGAGGACCCTTTTTTTCTAAGAGTGTACATGGACTTACAGAAATGCACTGTCTCCTTGATGCTTAAATGCTGATAAGTTTGGTTTTCTAAAAGGATGGGGTGGCTGGACATAAACACCATACAGCAATTTTCTCTTCTTGTTTGGCATGACCAAAAGAGTCATGGAACTGACATTAGTTGACTGCAGTGTGCACTGAAATGTCAGACTGACTTTTGATTTATCTGACATCTGTGTTTCTCTCTAGCCCTGCAAAAGCTCCCCAACAGCAGGGCAGCCCAAAGAGTGAAAGCGTGGGACTGAGGAACAAGACAGGAAAGCCTGACTTTTCGGCGAGTGAGTAACACGTTGATATAACTTTCTAAATAATTTGGCTTTCAATTGGATGCCTTTTTTCCCAACAATTTAAGAAAGTCATTGAGCAAACCTTTTTGTGTTCATCTCTCCAACTCTAGGTGCACCTCCACCCCCGTTGGCCAGTTATGACTACCCCAGCTTGCCCATCACAAAGAATAGACAGGAGGTAAAATGCTTTAGTAGCCACACACGCTTTAGGTACTCCTGCCATTTCAGGATATTTTCAGGTCATGGACTTTAACAGAGATGGTCATTGGCAACAGTTCCTCGGGTCATAACTCCACTCAAGGTTTTACTGTGCTTCAGATGAGCACTGATTCTATCTGATGGAGCCATAGGCGCAACAAGAGGGGAGACTCTTAACTTACTGTGAATGTCATCACATGCGGTCAAGTAACAGTCTGATGGAATAGGGCCGTTAGTTGGCCATTATTGAAGAGATCTGTGTTTCAGACTTACATTTTCTAATCAGATTCACATTTATTGTCCAAAAAGAGCAAAATCAGGATGTTTTGAATGTTATTGTGACTGTGAATATAAGCAACAGATTATAATACTTTATTATATACTGTAATTTAGATTGTTGAATCATATTTTGATATTCAGCTTTTAAATGGCTACAATTTAAATCATGTTCTCTCCTCTGTTGTGTTTGATATGTAGTTATGTGTTTGTGTATTTCCAGCTCATCTCTCTGATCGAGAACAACTCCGTGGTGATCATCCGTGGAGCCACAGGCAGTGGGAAAACTACCCAGCTGCCCCAGTTCATCCTGGACTACTACAGCGAGAAGAATGCCCCCTGTAACCTCGTAGTCACACAGCCTCGCAAAATAGGCGCCAGCAGCATTGCCCGGTGGGTCGCCAGAGAGCGCAAGTGCACCCTGGGTAGTCTGGTGGGATACCAGGTTAGTGAAAAATTCACACCACACTCACTCACACATACCTTGTTAATGATACCATTTTGATATCTATACCCCCCAAAACACATTACCATGCGTAATGTGTTACCAAGTCTGATTTGCAAACACATCCCTTGGTGGAAAGAAGAGGGAGAAAAATGATTCAGTGTTCAGGTTGCATAACAAGGAGCAGTGGACTGAGTCTAGCACCTCTAGCGATACTATTATCCCTCGATGAAGCTCTGTACAAAAAGCCCACTTGACGTTTCTCTCACAGAGAGAGGAGTGGAAGGAGTGGGGTGGACAGGCTTCCATGCTGGACTGTTTCCAGGCTGTCTGGTTGCATTGTGTCCAGCTCTGAAACAGGAGACACAGTCTAATTATAACTCCCTGCTCCTCACCACTGTCTGCTCTGCTGTGGACTGCAGCAGGGGTGATGATGTCACTGCTAGCAAGACAGTGAGTGAGGAGTGATACAGTGATGGGCTGACCTGATGAACACCTAAGGGCTTGAAATCTTGTCAGAATAAATATAGATGGGAGTACACAGTATAGTGCAGAGTGTGAGCTAATGAAAGATGGAGTGAAGCAGAGCTGTAGGAGACAGTGTGTACTGTACACTAGAAGATAATGGTAACCAAGGACCCATACTCTGCACCTTTTGGGAGCTATAAAGTGTAATTTATACCATTCATTTACTACCATATAATGATTATTATTCAATTGATAGGTTCCTACCACTGTAATGGTTCCAGTGGAGAGCTGGAGAGACTGATGGATTCCAGGCCTTGATGATGTATGGAGAGTAGTAACATGAGGGAGGGCTGCTTTTATCCAGTTCTCTTAGCTTTGGCTCTGTCTGTCCTAGGGGGATTGTAGTGGATATTTACTGTGCCTTCTCTCTCGATCTTTAGTTTCTCTTGAGAGTTTTGTGAAAGTCAAGCCGTAAGGGAATTTGTACTTAGAGTTGAGTAGCAGAACATGAGGTTATCTTCCCTTTGGGGGGGAACGTGGTTGTTAGGACAGGTCATTTGTCTGATAGAGTCATGTTGTGTGGTGAGTTAGCGCCCTGGGTAATGATTGTTTGACGTCACATAGATGGAAGCTACAGTAGATGTAGCATCCTCACATCTGCCTTTAGGCTTCACCTTTCCTCTTGACCCACATGGATGTGTATTTGTGTGTGTTTGTGTGTGAATGTACACTTGCCACTTAGCCATTATGTTTGTTTCAGGTTGGCCTAGAGAAGATGGCCACTGAACACACCAGACTCATCTACATGACCACTGGGGTGCTGCTGCAGAAACTGGTCGGAGCCAAGAGCTTGACTGAGTACTCCCACATCTTCATAGATGAGGTAACCGAGACTCCCTTTCCTGTTGAGACAGACTGGTCGTCATTTCAAAATAGTCTACAGATATGACTTGACTGGTAATAATGTTGTCCTATCTGGTGTACAGTGCATCTCTTAGTACCCAGTAACATCAAACTAGCTGAACGTGAGTAGTATCTTGTTGCCATGGCAGAGGATGTGCCAGTCAGTAAGCAGGGTGGTTCTGTGTATTTCAGGTCCATGAGCGGACGGAGGAGTTGGACTTCCTCCTGTTGGTTGTGAGGAAGCTCCTCCATTCCAACTCTCGTTACATCAAGGTGAGCCCACACTTCTCATCTCAGCACTCACCAACATGTGATCTAAAACCGTATTGACTGAACAGACACACACCGCCTCCCTTCTCCCTTTATGCAGGTCATCCTCATGTCAGCCACCATCAACTGCAGGGAGTTTGCTGAGTACTTTGGCACCCCTATCCGCAGCCAGATGAACCCAGCCTATGTGTTTGAGGTAAAGGGGGCTCCCTATGCCATCGAGGAGTTCTACCTGGATGACCTCTGCAGCCTTATTCCTTACAGGGTGAGCTGGGGAGCACCAAGCCTTGTCTGTGGATGTAGCTGGTACTCACAGTCTAGACTGACCTAGCACTGTCTGTGTATTATCTATCAGGTGGATACCCGCCATCCAGACGAACCTTACATCACCGTGGAGATGTACAACGTGGCTGTCAGCCTTATCCAGAGCTTTGACGAGCTGGAGGCCAAAGATCAGAGGTTAGGGGTCAAGTAGCTGTACTCTACATCTTAGTTTGCTTGATAAATTAACAATTTGTTCACAATTTGTTAATTACAATTGATTTAGATGGCCTATAGTTCTCCAATAATTGTCCTGGTGTGTGTATCTCAACAGCAGGACGGAGAGGGAGGGAGGCCTGTCTCTGCCAGACAGGGGCAGTGTGCTGGTGTTCCTCCCTGGTCTGGGTGAGATCCACTACATGCAAGAGGCCTTGTCTAAGCTGGTGCGCAAGAGGTGGGTGCTGTGTGTGTGTGTGTGTGTGTGTGTGTGTGTGTGTGTGTGTGTGTGTGTGTGTGTGTACATCTGACGTTCATTGGTCACGTCTCTGGGGCATGACTATGGTAGGTTGTGTGTGTCCGGTACTTAGCAGAAACTTGATGGTGCTGTTATGGTGTATGTTTCAGATTGCAGGTGTACCCTCTCCACTCCTCTGTCACTCTGGAGGAGCAGAACGGGGTGTTTCTGGTGCCTGTCCCAGGGTACAGGAAGGTAACTCTCACACCACACCCCACTCTACTGAATAGGACTTCTAGAACGTAACTCAGTTTTTTTGATGTTTCTGTCTCCACAGATCATCCTCTCCACCAACATTGCAGAGAGCTCTGTTACAGTCCCAGATGTCAAATATGGTGGGTGTTTTCTTTTTCATAATATTTACAGACATTCCTTGCTATATGTACTGCCATACTGTATTCACTCCGTATGTCTGAATTTGATGTATATGTTGACAGTGATTGATTTCTGTCTGGCGCGTCACATGGTCTGTGACAAAGAGACCAGTTACCAGTCCCTCCGCCTCACCTGGGCCTCCAAGACCAACTGCAACCAGCGCAGAGGTACAGTACTATGCAGTTCCACCTCACAGGCTGCCCATACTGCCTATCAGGGAGACAATTCCATTTCAAGAGATCAATTGATATTCCAATTCAAGAACAGAATTGCCAAAGAGGATTTGTGATTCCTCTCTCCCTTTCAGGCAGGGCTGGGCGAGTGTCTAAGGGCTACTGTTACCGGCTGGTGACCAAGGAGTTCTGGAGGAATGAGATCCCAGACTATGTGGTTCCTGAGATGGTGGTAAGAGAGTCATACATTAGGTCAGCCCTGATGGCAAAGAACCAAGCTCATAACTATGATTGATAGTATGATGTTTAACAACTGTGAAGTTGATGGATTCATTTGTTGATTGATTGATGCACTGGATGTGATTACTGAAAGACTAGGCAGGCTACTCTACTAGACCTATAAAGCTGCTAGTTTATTCTGACAGTAACTAGGATGTCTTTGTACTGTTCCCAGCATGCCCCCCTGGCCAACATCATGTTGAAGGTGAAGCTACTGGACATGGGGGACCCCCGCTCCCTCCTCTCCACTGCCCTCTCACCCCCCAACCTCAATGACATCGAGAGGACTGTGCTCCAGCTCAAAGAGGTACCTCACTGTGGACCTGCTGCCATCCTTATCACAAACAGCCATTGATGTCATTGGATTCCTGTATTTATGGAGAGATTTCAAAATGTGATTCTTACAGTGAACAAAAATATAAATCCAAGTTACAGTTCATATAAGGAAAGCAGTCAATATAAATTAATTCCTTAGGCCCTAATCTTTGGATTTCACATGACTGGGAATAGAGATATGCATCTGTTGGTCACAGATACCTTTAAAAAAAGGTAGGGGAGTGGATCAGACCAGTCAGTGTCTGGTGTGACTACCATTTGCCTCATGCAGCGCGACACATCTCCTTCGCGTAGAGTTAATCAGGCTGTTGATTGTGGCCTGTGGAATGTTGTCTTCAATGGCTGTGCGAAGTTGCTGGATATTGGCAGGAACTGGAACACTGTGTCGTACACGTCAATCCAGAGCATCCCAAAAATGCTCAATGGGTGACATGTCTGGTGAGTATGCAGGCCATGGAAGAACTGGAACATTTTCAGCTTCCAGGAATTGTGCACAGATCCTTGTGACATGGGGCTGTGCATTATCATGCTGAAACACGAGGTGATGGCGGCAGTAAACCGCTTTCCCACACAACGCCATACACGCCATCTGCCTAGTACAGTTGAAACCGGGATTCATCCGTGAAGAGCACACTGCTCCAGCGTGCCAGTGGCCATCAAAGGTGAGCATTTGCCCACTGAGGTCAGTTACGATGCCGAACTGCAGTCAGATCAAGACCCTGGTGAGGACAACGAGCACGCAGATGAGCTCCCTGAGACGGTTTCTTACAGTTTGTGCAGAGATTCTTCGGTTGTGCAAACCCACAGTTTTATCAGCTGTCCGGGTGGCTGGTCTCAGACGATCCTACAGATGGAGAAGCCGGATGTTGAGGTCCTGGGCTGGCGTGATTACACGTGGTCTGCGTTTGTGAGGCTGGTTGGACGTACTTCCAAATTCTCTAAAACGATGCTTAGGGTAGAGAAATGAACATTCCTGCAATGGTGGACATTCCTGCAGTCAGCATGCCAATTGCACGCTCCCTCAACTTGAGACATCTGTGGCATTGTGTTGTAACGTCTGCACATTTTAGTGGCCTTTTGTCCCCAGCACAAGGTGCACCTGTGTAATGATCATGCGGTTTGATCAGCTTCTTGATATGCCACACCTGTCAGGTGGATGGATTATCTTGGCAAAGGAGAAATGCTCACAAACAGGGATGTAAACAAATTTGTGCAAAAAACATGAGAACATGTGACAAACACTTTACATGTTGAGTTATATTTTTGTTCAGTATAGATACAGCGGTGCTGAACGACCAATTCTGTTACTGAGTGTTTGTGAAGTTGCAATGATTTCCTAACGTTGGTTCTGCTGTGTCAGGACCTCTGCGTCAACTAGCATTAGCTCTGTCAGTGGTGTTTGTGAGTGTGGTTGTCAGGTGTGATGGGGGGAGGTGTGTGCGTGTGCTGTGGATGGGCTCTTCAAATAAAATTATGTTTGTCACATGCTTCCTAAACAACAGGTGTAGACTAACAGTGAAATGCTTACTTACGGGCCCTTCCCAACAATGCAGAGAAAAAAATTGAAATAATAAAACAATTATAACACAAGAAATACACAATGAGTAACGATAACTTGGCTATATACACGGTGTACCAGTACCGAATTGATGTGCAGGGGTACGAGGTAATTGAGGTAGATATGTACATATAGGTAGGGATAAAGTGACTAGGCAACAGGATCGATAATAAATGGTAGCAGCAGCGTATGTGATGAGTCAAGAGTTGGAAAGGCACACACCTGTCTATATAAGGTCCCACAGTTGACCGTGCATGTTAGAGCAAAAACCAAGTTTGGAACCACCAAGACTCTTCCTAGCGCTGGCCACCCAGCCAAACTGAGCAATCGGGGGAGAAGGGCCTTGGTCAGCGAGGTGACCAAGAACCTGATGGTCACTCTGACAGAGCTCTGGAGTTCCTCTGTGGAGATGGGAGAACCTTCCAGAAGGACAACAATCTCTGCAGCACTCCACCAATCAGGCCTTTTTGGTAGTGGCCAGAAGGAAGCCATTCCTCAGTAAAAGGCACATGACAGCCCGCTTGGCACCTAAAGACTCTCAGACCATGAGTAATTATGGCGCCGGAGAAGATGGCTGCTGTTTTACAGCCCTCTAACCAATTGTACTATTATGTGTGTTTTTTCGCGTTATTTGTAATTTATTCTGTACATAATGTTTCTGCCACCGTCTCTTATGACCAAAAATAGCTTCTGGATATCAGGACAGAGATTACTCACCTCATATTGGATGAAGATTGTTTCTTCAACGAGTCGGACGCGAAGGATATCCTACAGACACCCGACAAGGCCGAAATCCCCGTCATTCGCATGAGAAAGAGACTGAGATATCGTGGACGTAGGTTGGGGTGCCTTGTAAGGATCTGACGGCGAGTGAGTAAACTGCCTCTTCCATCAATTCTATTAGCCAATGTTCAATCATTTTAAAACAAATTGGACAACCTACGATTAAGGTTATCCTACCAACGGGACATTAAAAAGTGTAAAATCTTATGTTTCACCGAGTCGTGGCTGAACGACGACATTGATAAAATACAGCTGGCGGGATATACGCTACATCGCCAGGATAGAATGGCTGACTCCGGTAAGACAAGGGGTGGCGGTCTGTGTATATTTGTAAACAACAGCTGGTGCATAAAATCTAACACAAAGGAAGTCTCAAGGTTTTGCTCGCCGGAGGTAGAGTATCTCATGATAAGCTGTAGACCACACTATTTACCAAGATAGTTTTAATCTATATTCTTCGTAGCTGTCTATCTACCACCACAAACTGATGCTGGAACTAAGATTGCACTCAATGAGCTGTATAAGGCCAAAAGTAAACAGGAAAACGCTCATCCAGAGGCAGCGCTCCTAGTGGCTGGGGACTTTAATGCAGGGGAACTTAAATCCGTTCTACCTCATTTCTACCAGCATGTTAAATGTGCAACCAGAGGAAAAAGAACTCTAGACCACCTTTACTCCACACACAGAGACGCATACAAAGCTCTCCCTTGCCCTCCATTTGGCAAATCTGACCATAACTCTATCCTCCTGACTCCTGCTTATAAGCAAAAACTAAAGCAGGAAACACCAGTGACTCGGTTAATAATAAAGTGGTCAGATGACGCAGATGCTAAGCTACAGGACAGTTTTGCTAGCACAGACTGGAATATGTTCCGGGATTCTTCAGATAGCATTGAGAAGTACACCACATCAGTCACTGGCTTCATCAATAAGTGCATCGATGACGTCGTCCCCACAGTGACCGTACATACCCCAACCAGAAGCCATGGATTACAGGCAACATCTGCACTGAGCTAAAGGGTAGAGCTGCCGCTTTCAAGAAGCGGGACTCTAACCTGGACGCTTATAAGAAATCCCGCTATGCCCTCCGACGAACCATCAAACAGGCAAAGAGTCAATACAGGACTAAGATTGAATCGTACTACACCGGCTTTGACGCTCGTCGAATGTGGCAGGGCTTGAAAACTATTACAGACTACAAAGGGAAGCACAGCCGCGAGCTGCCCAGTGACACAAGCCTACCAGATGAGCTAAATAACTTCTATGCTCGCTTCGAGGCAAGCAACACTGAGGCATGCATGAGAGCATAAACTCTTCTGGATGACTATGTGATCACGCTCTCCGTAGCCAATGTGAGTAAGACTTTTAAGCAGGTCAACATTCACAAGGCCGCAGGGCCAGACGGATTACCAGGACGTGTACTCTGAGTATGTGCTGACCAACTGGCAAATGTCTTCACTGACATTTTCAACATGTCCCTGACTGAGTCTGTAATACCAACATGTTTCAAGCAGACCACCATAGTCCCCGTGCCCAAGGACTCTAAGATAACCTGCCTAAATGACTACCGACCCGTAGCACTCACATCTGTAGCCATGAAGTGCTTTGAAAAACTGGTCATGGCTCACATCAACACCATTATCCCAGAAACCCTAGACCCACTCCAATTTGCATACCGCCCCAACAGATCTACAGATGATGCAATCTCTATTGCACTCCACACTGCCCTTTCCCACCTGGACAAGAGGAACACCTACGTGAGAATGCTATTCATTGACTACAGATCAGTGTTCAACACCATAGTGCCCTCAAAGATCATCACTAAGCTAAGGATCCTGGGACTAAACACCTCCCTCTGCAACTGGATCCTGGACTTCCTGACGGTCCACCCCCAGGTGGTAAGGGTAGGTAACAACACATCTGCCATGCTGATCCTCAACACGGGGGCCCCTCAGGGGTGCGTGCTCAGTCCCCTCCTGTACTCCCTGTTCACCCATGACTGCATGGCCAGGCATGACTCCAACACCATCATTAAGTTTGCAGACGATACAACAGTGGTAGGCCTGATCACTGACAACGATGAGACAGCCTATAGGGAGGAGGTCTGAGACCTGGCTGTGTGGTGCCAGGGTAACAACCTCTCCCTCAACGTGATCAAGACAAATGAGATGATTGTGGACTACAGGAAAAAAAGAGGACTGAGCACGCCCCCATTCTCATCGACGGGGCTGTAGTGGAACAGGTTGAGAGCTTCAAGATCCTTAGTGTCCACATCACCAACAAACTATCATGGTCCAAACACACCAAGACCGTCATGAAGAGGGCACGACAAAGCCTATTCCCCCTCAGGAGACTGAAAAGATTTGGCATAGGTCCTCAGATCCTCAAGAAGTTCTACAGCTGTACCATCAAGGGCATCCTGACTGGTTGCATCACCGCCTGGTATGGCAACTGCTCGGCCTCTGACCGCAAGGCACTACAGAGGGTAGTGCGTACGGCCCAGTACATCACTTGGGCCAAGCTTCCTGCCATCCAGGACCTCTATACCAGGCGGTGTCAGAGGAAGGCCCTAAAAATTGTCAAAGACTCCAGCCACCCTAGTCATAGACTGTTCTCTCTGATACTGCATGGCAAGCGGTACCGGAGCGCCAAGTCTAGGTCCAAAAGGCTTCTCAACAGCTTCTACCCCCAAGCCATAAGACTCCTGAACAGCTAATCATGGCTACCCAGACTATTTGCACTGCCCCCCCACCCCACCCCACCCCCCTCTTTTACGCTGCTGCTACTTTGTTTATTATTTATGCATAGTCACTTTAACTCTACCCACATGTACATATCACCTCAATTACCTCGACTAGCCGGTGCCCCTGCACATTGACTCTGTACCGGTACCCCCCTGTATATAGCCTCCCTACTGTTATTTTACTTTACTGCTGCTCTTTAGTTATTTGCTTTTCTTTTTAAAACTTTTTCTTTAAAAAAACTGCATTGTTGGTTAAGGGCTTGTAAGTAAGCATTTCACTGTAATGTCTACTATACCTGTTGTATTCGGCACATGTGGAAAATAAAATTTGATTTGATTCATCTGGTCTGATGAAAACAAGATTGAACTCTTTGGCCTGAATGCCAAGCGTCACGTCTGGAGGAAACCTGGCACCATCCCTAAGGTGAAGCATGGTGGTGGCAGCATCATGCTGTTGGGATTTCTTTCAGCGGCATGGGCTGGGAAACTGCTCAGGATCGTGGCAAAGATGAACGGTTTAAAGTACAGAGATCCTTGATGAAAACCTGCTCCAGAGCGCTCAGGACCTCAGACTGGGGTGAACGTTCATCTTCCAATAGGACAACGACCCTAAGCACACAGCCAAGACAACGCATGGAGTGGCTTCAGGACAAGTCTCTGAATGTTCTTGAGTGGCCCAGCCAGAGCCCAGACTTGAACCCGATCAAACATCTCTGGAGAGACCTGAAAATATCTGTGCAGCAACGCTCCACATCCAACCTGACAGCGCTTGAGAGGATCTGCAGAGAGGAATGAGAGAAACACCCCAAATACAGGTGTGCCAAGCTTGTAGCGTCATACCCAAGAAGACTCAAGGCTGTAATCGCTGCCAAAGGTGCTTCAACAAAGTACTGAGTAAATGTCAAACCTGTTTTTGCTGTGTCATAGGGTATTGTGTAGATTGATGAATAAGGCTGTCACGTAACATAATGTGGAAAAAGTCAAGGGGTCTGAATCCTTTCTGAATGCACTGAATAAAAATAGAAACACAACATGTAAAGTGTTGGTTTCATGAGCTGAAATAAAAGATCCCAGAAATGTTCCATATGCACAAAATGCTTATTTCTCTCAAATTTTGTGCACAAATTTGCTTGCATCCCTGTTAGTGATAATTTCTTCTTTGCCAAGATAATTTTACATTTACATTTAAGTCATTTAGCAGACACTCTTATCCAGAGCGACTTACAAATTGGTGCATTCAACTTAATCCATCCACCTGACAAGTGTGCCATATAGAGAAGATGATTAAACACTATGATCATTACATGTGCAGTTTTGTCACACAAAACAACGCCACATATGTCTCAAGTTTTGAGGGAGCGTGCAATTGGCATGTTGACTGCAGGTATGTCCACCAGCGCTGTTGCCAGAGAATTGAATGTTCATTTCTCTAACATAAGCCACCTCCAACGTCGTTTTAGAGATTTTGGCAGTGCGTCCAACCGGCCTCACAACCGCAGACCACATATAACCACGCCAGCCCAGGACCTCCACATCCGGCATCTTCACCTGCGGGATCGTCTGAGACCAGCCACTCGGACAGCTGATGAAACTGATTAGTATTTCTGTCTGTAATAAAGCCCTTTTGTGGGGAAAAACTCATTCTGATTGGCGGGCCTGGCTCCCCAGTGGATGGGCCTGGCTCTCAAGGGTGTGGGTCTATGCCCTCCCAGGCCCACCCATGGCTGCGCCGCTGCCCAGTCATAATATTGATTTTCTCATTTGACTGATTTACTTATGTAAACTGTAACTCAGTAAAATTGTTAATTGTTGCATGCTGCATTTTATATTTTTGTCCAGTATATTTACCAGTCTTTATGGCTTGGGGGTAGAAGCTGTTCCAGACATGGTGCATCGGTACCGCTTGCCGTGCGTTAGCAGAGAGGACAGTCAGGTCTCTTTTGGCTGGAAGGATTGATGGATAGAGACATTTTGACTGTGAATCAGTGTGTGTATGTGTGACACTAAGCATTTTTCCAGTCAGTTATCATTGAAGGAATGAGAATCGTCATGACGTGTGTGTGTTTGTGGTGTAGATGGGTGCACTGTCTGTGGGGAACGATGGGCACGGACAGAAACGTTTTGATGGAGAGCTGACGTTCCTGGGTCGGATGCTGGCTCACCTGCCTGTGGACCTGCACCTGGGGAAGATGATCGTACTTGGCCACGTCTTTGGCTGTCTGGAGGAGTGCCTCATCATAGGTTAGTGGGGTTTGGGTTTCTGCTTTGTGTGTGTTCGGTCAACGACTCCTCTCCATGTGTGTGTGTGTCTCTCTCTCTTAGCCGCCTCCCTGTCTCTGAAGAGCTTCTTTTCCATGCCCTCCCTACAGCAGCTGGCAGGATACAGGTGAGTCAGCACATTAAAATGTATACATTTTCTCTCATTCAGCAAAAAATATATAATTGCACTTCTACACTACCTACCTAGACACTGCCATTTGAGCTATTGTCTGCTGTAACTAGGGCTGTGACTGTCTTGGAATTTGAGGTTATGGTAATTAGCCAGGCCAATGTACACAGTCACCAACATAACCGTTGGGGGGGGGGTCAAAAAAGGGTAGGTCACAATTCTGTTTGCAGACTTGTTTACATGGATATGCTTCTTAATAAAACCTATTTGAAACATGCCATTACACTTCGTTATTACCATGGCATTTCATTATTATTCAGGTTATTACTTATAAACATCAATCAACAAATTAAGAAATGCCAGGTTGGAGAGGATCTGTAGCATTTTCGTATTGACACAGCATTAACGGAGTCAAAATAAAGATATGCCTACAATTTCCTTGTCTGTTGGCCTTTTCTGCATATAATTTTTTTTATACAGATCGTATTTCAACGCACAAAACCATTCAAACGAAGCCCTCTTTTCCCGAACTATTCGCATAACATCACAAACCCTGCTGCTGCAGTCATTCGATGGCATTGGCATTTGTTCTTCAAAGAGAGGATGCCGTATTGAGAGAAATAATGTAGCCTAAGCTACTGAAAATAGGCATTTTACAAGAAATGGAGTCCAAACAGGCTACTTTAGGAAACTTTGTGAATGGACATATAGGACTATAGAGAGAATCAGCGAACCCGCACACCCCTGTAAAGTCACCTGTCAATCAAAGCCACCAGCTTATGTCAGAGACTAGCAAATATTTCTCCTTTCCTTAAAACGTATTAAAAAACCTAGGCCTGACTACCTTTCCAAAAGTAGGCTATAAGATAAGGAATTTACAATGAAAGTATGAAGGGGACAGCTATACTGTAGTATGAATATGAAATTAACAATTTTTAAAATAGAAACAAATACACACAGCATGTCCATAGCCTATTTATCAGCGACGCTGATTATCGAGGTGGAGAGAGTTTAAAATATTTTTCAAATACTTTGAGGAACTATTATAATTTGCATTAAAAAAAAGAAAATACTTTGACTGAGGAGCTCAGCTGGGCACTTTCCTACATTTGACATTTGCGAGAAGCAGGCCAGGTACTTCTCAGGCGTGCACCGTCAACATTAACAGGACAGAGAAACCAGACACATGCTCACATGGAGCGTGTAAATGATGGGAAGAAATAAACCACAGGTGTGGCAGGTTGTGATCTCTGGAAACAGCGTTTCCACTCCGAGAATGACAACGGTAAATTACTGTAAGTAATACATGCATTAACATAAATTAATTTAACCAAATGACAGTGGTTAACGGTAAATTGCCTGTTTTACAAATGGTAGGCTACCACATGAATTGCGGGCAGACGCTGTATAGCCTAGGCTACTATTTGCGGGGATAGGAGGGCGTATTTGTTTTTGGGTCTCTCCTAGGGCGCCATATCGGCCAGGACCGGGCCTGATCAGCGTTGATTAGTCTATAAATTAAGAAAAGATTCCATCTCAAATTATACCATGCCAGGTTGGAGAGGATTGGCACATTGTCCATTTGACACAACATTAGGGCATTAGGCTATTGGCCTCAGAGCCAGAACAACCTTTTATTAATGAATAGTCAGACACATCCAACCTTTTTTAAAATACCAATTTATTTATTTACTAACAAGCAATGAAAACATTCATTGTATAAAAGAAAGTCCACACACAAAAAATTAGTTTTAGTGAAGTGCCATGGCCTATAGCGCTCTACACCCCCGGACATCCAGCCGGATTAGCTGCTTGAGCATCAAAGGACAGTTGGAAACAGGAGATGTAGAAAGTTGAATAGACTAAGTTAGCAAAACAATTGCCTATGATCATTATTAAACACTCCCGCTATTAGGTCAAGTTTACATGAATCTAGGCCTATTTAAAAGGTTTTGACGGTTATTTTATTTTCATGAGTCTTCATCCATAACTGTCAGTTACAGTTATTAAATTACCATCACAGCCCTAGCTATAACACTGTCATCCCTGTCCTCTCTTAAATGTTTGAATATTCAGGAGCAAGCTATCCTTCGCACACAGTGTGCCAAGTGATTCTATTGCTTTTGTCAACGCATTCAAGGCTTGGCATACATCCAGAAACAAGGGAGAGTTGAGGCACCCAAAGGTGAGCGAGCATTTAGATCGTTATGTTACATAAATTAACTTAAAACATGGATAATACATAAAGTGTTTGTAATAAAGGAGGTACCTAAAGACATTAGACAAAGGTTCAGTATCTGCTGAGATGCCTGCAGTAAGGTGTGTGTGTTCTTCCTCCCAGGATGAGCTGGAGTGGGGCAAGGAGAACTGCATCCAGATCAAGAGGATCAGAGAGGTATAGAGACCAGCATCTCACCAAACACATTTTACATTTACATTTTTTGTCATTTAGCAGACGCTCTTATCCAGAGCGACTTACAGGAGCAATTAGGGTTAAGTGCCTTGCTCAAGGGCACATCGACAGATTTTTCACCTAGTCGGCTCGGGGATTAGAACCAGCGACCTTTCGGTTACTGGCACAACGCTCTTAACCACTAAGCAACCTGCCACCCACAAACACACACCAGTTGACCCCAATTTCTGACCACCTGACCTGACCTGACCCAGACTCTGTGACCCCCCCCCCCCCCCCCCCAGGTGGCCGAGCTCTATGAGGACCTGAAGAAGAGAGTGTCCCAGTTCAATATGCACGTGATTGAGAACCCAGTGCCCATGGACTACTCCAGCCTCCACAAGCAGAGATTCATCCTGCAGGTGAGACCGAGGCACATGCAAGCATTCTGGAGCTCTATACCTTACTTCCAACTTATCTCTCTCTATTCACTCGAGGGCAGGCTTAACTGAATAGCGTAAGCCTTCATTTAAATACATCACAAGATTGGTGAGAAGAGAGCAGGTTGATTATTGCACAGGTATGCCCATAGGTTAATTAGCAAGCGTGGTAAAATTGCATTATTCAGCTGTGCTCATTGGCTGTAGTGTAATAGGTGACTGACATTTTGCACGTGGCTAATTAATAGTAAAGGAGGAAGAGCGACATGACACTGCTGTTGATGAGAACATTGTAAACATTAGATGTAAATTCCCGCTGTGCCCATAGAGGAAGCAATGTGAATTATATTGTGCTTACTGAATGAAGTATAGTGAGCTCTCCATTCAGACCAGCCTTACTGATTGAACCTGCGTTATCAACTACTTTATGATTATTGTTATGACACCTGGTGTACCTAGCCCTTCTATACAGAATATCACTCCGCAGTGCTAACTCTGTAGCCCTTGTCTATTTGATAGAATCTCCTCTTCTTTCTTTCTCTCAGGTGGTTATCGCTGGTGCCTACTACCCCAACTACTTTGCCCAGGGGGAAATGGATGAAGAGCTGGCCTCCAAAGACCTGTCCGGCCATGATCCCAAAACAACAGTGCTGGTATGATGCCATTATCCCCTATCCCTGATTTATCAAGATTCCTATACATGAACCATGTTGTGAATGCTAGCCCACTGACAGGCTCTTTGACTGTCTGGTCTCAGGTGAGGAACCTGCCCCCCTATAGTTTCCTGTACTATAAGCAGCTGCAGTCCCTCTTCCGCCAGTGTGGCCAGGTCAAGTCCATAGCGTTTGATGGATCCAGGTAACAAACTAATGGATGAAACCTCGACTAGATGTAGCATAACTCATCATGTTACCTGGTTCATAGATAAATACTTCTTAGATGTTTTGACCTAAATGGTCTAACAGCATACCCATAGTTAATTGGTAAGATGATGAACATTTGTTGTGTGTTCGTTCAGGGGGCATGTGGAGTTCTACCGGACAACTACCCGGGGGTCGGGGGTGCTCCCTGAGGTGTCACTGGCCCTCCTCCTGGCCCACCAGAGGCATCCTCTGGACCTGTTTGTGCACCCCAGTGACGAGGTGGAGGCTCGTGCTGGGAGCAGGACCATCTGCCACATGAGATACGCTCGGTAGAGAGCCTGTACATCCTTCTCACACTAATAATACTCTGCTAGGAGCTGTGGTTTTAATCCTCTCGTATGCTACAAAATACTGTTTTCTGCATTGGTGAAGCATCTTACCCCAACTTCTCAAGAGAAATGTGTTCAGCGGTCAGTTGATGCCTAGGTAATGCCAGCTCTGGCTCAGGGCCAGATACTTCTTCAGGGGGGTGGAGGTGTCCTGTCAGTGGTTGTCTGGGTTTGGGGGAAGTGCGTCCTGCAGCCACCCACAGGCTGCACCCCTCCACACTGGGCCTTGATGTAACCTGACGTGCTGGCACTATGGTTGACCCTCCACAGCCATCACACAGCCTCTGAGAGGGGATATTTAGGCAGAGCCAGACCCCTCCCCCCTCCTTCTTACACACATTTAGAGATTGGCTGTCATGAGTAAGTTACAGTAAGTTGGGTCAGTCTCATAGACTGACTCACTGATGCAATGAGGCAGCTCAGTGACTCTGAATGTTACACTAGCACTGTGTTCCCCCTTGGAAGGATCCTCCAGGTTTTTTGCGCATCACTGAAATTTGCATCCTGTAGCACTAACTCCAAAAAGTTTTGGGACACTGTAAAGTCCATGGAGAATAAGAGCACTTCCTCCCAGCTGCCCACTGCACTGAGGCTAGGAAACACTATCACCACCGATAAATCTACAATAATCGAGAATTTCAACAAGCATTTTGCTACAGCTGGCCATGCTTTCCATCTGGCTACCACTAACCCGGCCACCAACTCTGCACCCTCTGCTGCAACTTGCCCATGCCCCCCCCGCTTCTCCTTCACACAAATTCAGACAGCTGATGTTTTGAAAGCGCTGCAAAATCTGGACCCCTACAAATCAGCTGGGCTAGACAATCTGGACCCTTTCTTTCTAAAACTAGCCGCCGAAATTGTCGCTACCCCTATTACTAGTCTGTTCAACCTCTCTTTCATAACGTCTGAGATCCCCAGAGATTGGAAAGCTGCCGCGGTCATCCCCCTCTTCAAAGGGGGTGACACTCTAGATCCAAACTGCTACAGACCTATATCCATCCTGCCCTGCCTTTCGAAAGTATTTGAAAGCCAAGTTAACAAACAGATCATCGACCATTTCGAATACCACCGTACCTTCTCCGCTATGCAATCCGGTTTCCGAGCTGGTCACGGGTGCACTTCAGCCACGCTCAAGGTCCTAAACGATATTATAACCGCGATTGATAATAGACAGTACTGTGCAGCCGTCTTCATCGACCTGGCCAAGGCTTTCGACTCTGTCAACCACCGCATTCTTATTGGCAGACTAAATAGCCTTGGTTTCTCAAATGACTGCCTCGCCTGGTTCACCAACTACTTCTCAGATAGAGTTCAGTGTGTCAAATCGGAGGGCCTGTTGTCTGGACCTATGGCAGTCTCTATGGGGGTGCCACAGGGTTCAATTCTTGGGCCGACACTTTTCTCCGTGTATATCAATGATGTCGCTCTTGCTGCTGGTGACTCTCAGATCCACCTCTACGCAGACGACACCATTTTGTATACATCTGGCCCTTCATTGGACACTGTGTTAACAAACCTCCAAACGAGCTTCAATGCCATACAACAATCCTTCAGTAGCCTCCAACTGCTCTTAAACACTAGTAAAACTAAATGCATGCTTTTCAATCGAACGCTGCTGGCACCCGCCCACCCGACTAGAATCACCACTCTCGACGGGTCTGACCTAGAGTATGTGGACAACTACAAATACCTAGGTGTCTGGTTAGACTGTAAACTCAACTTCCAGACTCACATAAAGAATCTCCAATCCAAAGTTAAATCTAGAATCGGCTTCCTATTTCGCAATAAAGCCTCCTTCACTCATGCTGCCAAACATGCCCTCGTAAAACTGACTATCCTACCGATCCTTGACTTCGGCGATGTAATTTACAAAATAGCCTCCAACACTCTACTCAGCAAATTGGATGTAGTCTATCACAGTGCCATCCGTTTTGTCTCCAAAGCCCCATACACTACCCACCACTGTGACCTGTACGCTCTTGTTGGCTGGTCCTCACTACATGTTCGTCGTCAAACCCACTGGCTCCAGGCCATCTATAAATCACTGCTAGGCAAATCCCCGCCTTATCTTAGCTCATTGGTCACCATAGCAGCACCCACCCGTAGTCTGCGCTCCAGCAGGTATATCTCACTGGTCATTCCCAAAGCCAACACCTCCTTTGGCCGCCATTCCTTCCAGTTCTCTGCTGCCAATGACTGGAACGAATTGCAAAAATCTCTGAAGCTGGAGACTCTTATCTCCCTCAATAACTTTAAGCATCAGTTGTCAGAGCACCTTACCGATCACTGCACCTGTACACAGCCCATCTGAAATTAGCCCACCCAACTACCTCATCCCTATATTGTTATTTATTTTGCTCTTTTGCACCCCAGTATCTCTATTTGCACATAATCTCTTGCACATCTAGCATTCCAGTGTTAATACTATTGTAATTATTCTGCACTATAGCCTATTTATTGCCTTACCTCCATAACTTGCTACATTTGCACACACTGTATATATATTTTCTGTTGTATTTCTGACTTTATGTTTTTTACCCCATATGTAACTCTGTGTTGTTTTTATTGCACTACTTTGCTTTATCTTGGCCAGGTCGCAGTTGTAAATGAGAACCTGTTCTCAACTGGCTTACCTGGTTAAATAAAGGTGAAATAAAATAAAAATAAAAATAAAAACTCATTCTGTCTATTCCTGTGGTTTGCAGGGTGAATGTGGACTTCCAGGACAACTCAGTCTACCCAGTGGGGGTGCTGAGCAGCACCATCGACCCAGACAAGCTGCCCTCCAACCCCATCTTTGTGGTCAACATCACAGAAGTTAGTCATCAGGCTGAAACTCCTCTTTCAGTCACGTTTCTGGGAGTTATTTTTGTGTAAATTAGTAATCTGGTGAAGACTATATCGAGAGGAACTGTATTTAGGTGATCACATACCGTCCATGTTGGCTATGTACAGTCTACAGTGGAGGTGGTAACCAAGCATTGCCCCCTTCATCTTGGCTCCCTAGGTGGTGGAGGTGGGCCACTTCTGGGGCTTCCAGTCGGGCGAGGCCAGCATGGAGAAGCAGCGCTATCTGACAGCTGAGATTAATTCTCGTGAGCTGTGTCCAGTTCCTGTCTCCCTCTACCCCAACCTGCTGTGCCTGGCACCTTTCTCTGAGGGCGACGAGCAGGGCCTCTACTACCGTGCCAAGATCCTGCATGTCCGCGGCAGCTCTGTGGAGGTACAATCACATGCTCACCAAGCTCACTAGCACACGCAATCACTCCCTTTCATACACTTAAATACAGGTTAATTACAGTTGCAGTTATAATGGATGAACTATGTAAAGATTGTGTTCTGAATGTCCCAGGTATTCTTTTTGGACTTCGGAAACACCACCCTGGTGTCATGCAGCTGTCTGAGGGAGCTACCTGCTGATATCATGGCCCACCCATTGCAGGTACAGCTGCAACATCTATATAGGCAACATACTGTATCTTCCTGATCCAGCCTATTTTGGCCACATCCTAACCAGATGAAATTAGCCTGTATTCTGGTATGACTGCATTCTGGTATGGCTGTGTTTTGCCATGTATTCTGGTATGACTGTGTTCTACCCTGTGTCCTCCTCAGGCCCAGGAGTTTCGTATCTCGGGGATGCATCCATCGGCCCAGTCCATGATCCTGGGGGACCAGTGGAGCAGCCGCGCACGCAACCGCTTCATCACACTGGTGAACGGCCGCTCACTCATCGTCTCCCTGTTTTCTATCCTGCACGGCGTCATGCACGTGGAGCTGCTCATCAACACTGACACGGTCACCTCCAGCGTGGCTGACATCATGATACAGGAGGGACACGCCATCAAGGCAGAGGAGAGCTTTGAGTCCAAGGTACCTTAAGAGACACAGACCAGCTTTCTGTCATCACTGCAGCTTTTAGGAATGAAATGCCATGTATCTTTTTGGAAAGTTGTGCTAATGGGGAATTGTTCGATTGTGGTATTCCTGTCGGGCTTGGCTATAAACATATATACAGTTGAAGTCGGAAGTTTACATACACCTTAGCCAAATACATTTAAACTCAGTTTTTCACAATTCCTGACATTTAATCCTAGTATAAATTCCCTGTCTTACGTCAGTTAGGATCACCACTTTATTTTAAGAATGTGAAATGTCAGAATTATTTATTTCAGCTTTTATTTTTTTCATCACATTCCCAGTGGGTCAGAAGTTTACATACACTCAATTAGTATTTGGTAGCAATGCCTTTAAATTGTTTAACTTGGGTCAAAAGTTTCGGGTAGTCTTCCACAAGCTTCCCACAATAAGTTGGGTGAATTTTGGCCCATTCCTCCTGACAGAGCTGGTGTAACTGAGTCAGGTTTGTAGGCCTCCTTGCTCGCACATGCTTTTTCAGTTCTGCCCACAAATGTTCTATAGGATTGAGGTCAGGGCTTTGTGATGGCCACTCCAATACCTTGACTTTGTTGTCCTTAAGCCATTTTGCCACAACTTTGGAAGTATGCTTTTGGTCATTGTCCATTTGGAAGACCCATTTGCGACCAAGCTTTAACTTCCTGACTGATGTCTTGAGATGTTGCTTCAATATATCCACATAATTTTCCTTCCTCATGATGCCATCTATTTTGTGAAGTGCACCAGTCCCTCCTGCAGCAAATCACCCCCACAGCAGGATGCTGCCACCCCCGTGCTTCACGGTTGGGATGGAGTTCTTCGGCTTGCAAGCATCCCCCTTTTTCCTGCAAACATAACGATGGTCATTATGGGCAAAAAGTTCTATTTTTGTTTCATCAGACCAGAGGACATTTCTCCAAAAAGTATGATCATTGTCCCCATGTGCAGTTGCAAACCGTAGTCTGGCTTTTCTATGGCGGTTTTGGAGCAGTGGCTTCTTCCTTGCTGAGCGGCCTTTCAGGTTATGTTGATATGGGACTCATTTTACTGTGGATATAGATACTTTTGTACCTGTTTCCTCCAGCATCTTCACAAGGTCCTTTGCTGTTGTTCTGGGATTGATTTGCACTTTTCGCACCAAAGTACATTAATCTCTAGGAGACAGAATGCGTCTCCTTCCTGAGCGGTATGACGGCTGCGTGGTCCCATGGTGTTTATACTTGCATACTATTGTTTGTGCAGATGAATGTGGTACCTTCAGGAGTTTGAAAATTGCTCTCAAGGATGAACCAGATTTGTGGAGGTCTACAATACTTTTTCTGAGGTCTTGGCTGATTTCTTTTGATTTTCCCATGATGTCAAGCAAAGAGGGACTGAGTTTGAAGGTAGGCCTTGAAATACATCCACAGGTACACCTCCAATTGACTCAAATGATGTCAATTAGCCTATCAGAAGCTTCTAAAGCCATGACATCATTTTATGGAATTTTCCAAGCAGTTTAAAGGCACAGTCAACTTCTGACCCACTGAAATTGTGATACAGTGAATTATAAGTGAAATAATCTGTCTGTAAACAATTGTTGGAAAAATTACTTGTGTCATGCACAAAGTAGATGTCCAAACCGACTTGCCAAAACTATAGTTTGTTAACAAGAAATTTGTGGAGTGGTTGAAAAACGAGTTTTAATGACTCCAACCTAAGTGTATGTAAACTTCCGACTTCAACTTTGTATATATATATATATATATATATATACATACAGTGGGGAGAACAAGTATTTGATACACTGCTGATTTTGCAGGTTTTCCTACTTACAAAGCATGTAGAGGTCTGTAATTTTTGTCATAGGTACACTTCAACTGAGAGATGGAATCTAAAACAAAAATCCAGAAAATCACAATGTATGATTTTTAAGTAATTAATTTGCATTTTATTGCATGACATAAGTATTTGATCACCTACCAACCAGTAAGAATTCCGGCTCTCACAGACCTGTTAGTTTTTCTTTAAGAAGCCCTCCTGTTCTCCACTCATTACCTGTATTAACGGCACCTGTTTGAACTCGTTACCTGTATAAAAGACACCTGTCCACGCACTCAATCAAACAGACTCCAACCTCTCCACAATGGCCAAGACCAGAGAGCTGTGTAAGGACATCAGGGATACAATTGTAGACCTGCACAAGGCTGGGATGGGCTACAGGACAATAGGCAAGCAGCTTGGTGAGAAGGCAACAACTGTTGGCGCAATTATTAGAAAATGGAAGAAGTTCAAGATGACGGTCAATCACCCTCAGTCTGGGGCTCCATGCAAGATTTCACCTCGTGGGGCATCAATGATCATGAGGAAGGTGAGGGATCAGCCCAGAACTACACGGCAGGACCTGTTCAATGACCTGAAGAGAGCTGGGACCATAGTCTCAAAAAAAACCATTAGTAACACACTACGCCGTCATGGATTAAAATCCTGCAGCGCACGCAAGGTCCCCCTGCTCAAGCCAGCGCATGTCCAGGCCCGTCTGAAGTTTGCCAATGACCATCTGGATGATCCAGAGGAGGAATGGGAGAAGGTCATGTGGTCTGATGAGACAAAAATATAGCTTTTTGGTCTAAACTCCACTCGCCGTGTTTGGAGGAAGAAGGAGGATGAGTACAACCCCAAGAACACCATCCCAACCGTGAAGCATGGAGGTTGAAACATCATTCTTTGGGGATGCTTTTCTGCAAAGGGGACAGGACGACTGCACCGTATTGAGGGGAGGATGGATGGGGCCATGTATCGCGAGATCTTGGCCAACAACCTCCTTCCCTCAGTAAGAGTATTGAAGATGGGTCGTGGCTGGGTCTTCCAGCATGACAACGACCCGAAACACACAGCCAGGGCAACTAAGGAGTGGCTCCGTAAGAAGCATCTCAAGGTCCTGGAGTGGCCTAGCCAGTCTCCAGACCTGAACCCAATAGAAAATCTTTGGAGGGAGCTGAAAGTCCGTATGGCCCAGCGACAGCCCTGAAACCTGAAGGATCTGGAGAAGGTCTGTATGGAGGAGTGGGCCAAAATCCCTGCTGCAGTGTGTGCAAACCTGGTCAAGACCTACAGGAAACGTATGATCTCTGTAATTGCAAACAAAGGTTTCTGTAACAAATATTAAGTTCTGCTTTTCTGATGTATCAAATACTTATGTCATGCAATAAAATGCAAATTAATTACTTAAAAATCATACAATGTGATTTTCTGGATTTTTGTTTTAGATTCGTCTCTCACAGTTGAAGTGTACCTATGATAAAAATTACAGACCTCTACATGCTTTGTAAGTAGGAAAACCTGCAAAATCGGCAGTGTATCAAATACTTGTTCTCCCCACTGTGTATGTATGTGTATGTGTATGTGTATATATATATATATATATTAGGGCTGTCAAAAATAGCGCGTTAACGACGTTAATTAGTTGTTTGCTGTTAATTACGTCAATTTTTTTAACGCATTTCACGCATGCGCAGTGTGACAAATTATTCAGGTCAGGAAAGTGGTTGGGAGCTAGAGGCGAGATGGAGCAAGGTGAGCAAAGTGGGCCTATTGACGGATTCAAATATAAAAAGAATGATGATGGTACAGTTAACAAGTACAAGGTTATTTGCAAGATTTGTAAGAAGGAGTTTCAATTTCACCGGAGCTGTTCAAGCTTGAAGTACCATGTCAACGCCAAACATGCGTTTGCTGGGCCGTCAGATTCAGCAAGTGGTTTGCGCCAGACCACGCTGAATGTTTGCAGGCAATTAACAAAATCAACCTCAGATAATTTGACCAACACAATAGCAAAATGGATTGCAAAGGATTGTAGACCCATTAGCATTGTAGAAGACTCAGGTTTCCTTGATGTTTTGCAAGTGGCGTCTCAAGACTCATTCTATAAGCCACCGTCAAGAGCCACAGTTATGAAGAAAATCCACGAGCTCTATGAAAACGAAAAAGAAAAAAGGAAAGAGGTCTTGGCTCAAGTAAATCATATCTTTATTTATCTTTTGGTATGCATTTCAGAAAAAAAATGGTTAGGATTCAGGTGTACAGTAATTGCAAATAGTGATTAATCATGATTAATCCACTGAAAATTCTGATTAATTTGATTAAAATTTTTAATCATTTGACAGCCCTAATATATATATATATATATATATATATATATATATATATATATATATATATATATATATTATATATATATATAATTCAGTGTTTCCTAGGTGTCCAGCAGTAGAAACACAGGCTGTGACCCTGACAGTGCTGTGTGGTTGTGTGTCTTGCAGCAGAGCCATGAGGTGCTGGTGTCTCTGTACAAAGACTTGCAGGACGGAACCTTCACCCCCAATGCTACCAGCAGCTCCTGGAAGACCAACAAGGAGAAAGAGAAGCAGCTCATCGACAGCCTGCTCCAGTCCTTCTCTAAGACCAGCCAGTCCTCTCTGAAGAGCAAGGCAAGAACACTGGCCTAACGGCTCACTCACATTTCATAGACTGCGTTCAATAGACTCCCTGTCTGGTTCAACCAGACAGTGTTGTTAGTAGTTCTCCACAAGATGGCGTCATCGTCTTTCTACATGCCTTGTTTTGTCCAGAGGGTGGAGACATTTTGGTAGCATGTGAGCTGGTGTACATTTTGTTCTACAGTGTATTAGTGGGCCAGGGCCATACCTTCCTGTCAGGAATTCCTGGAATACAATAGGTATCTGGGGATTTTTCCTGTTATTTAACATGTATAAGGGTCTTTCTGTAAATAATGGGGCAAATGTGTGACATTGGGCCAAACATTTCTAAATCGTTTGAAACAAAGGATTTTCATGGAGATCCACGTATGTACTTAGAGGAATAAAAGTGAATATATACAAATTGGCCCATAACTCCACCTATACAACAACATAGGATTAAACTTTCTTTAAGCAGGGTTCATACAGACATTGGCAAGTCAAATTCAAGGACTTTCAGGGACTTTTCCAAGCACTTCATTGTAACTTTCAAGGACCTCTGTTATACAATTGTACAGTACCAGACAAAATTTGGACACTCCTACTCATTCAAGGGTTTTTCTTTATTTGTACAATTTTTTTACATTGTAGAATAAAAGTGAAGACATCAAAACTATGAAATAACACATATGTAATCATGTAGTAACCAAAAAAGTGTTAAACAAGTCCAAATATATTTTATATTTGAGATTCTTCAAATAGCCACCCTTTGCCTTGATGACAGCTTTGCACACTCTTGGCATTCTCTCAACCAGCTTCACCTGGAATGCTTTTCCAACAGTCTTGAAGGAGTTCCCACATATGCTGAGCACTTGTTGGCTGCTTTTCCCTCACTCTGCCGTCTGACTCATCCCAAACCATCTCAATTGAGTTGAGGTCGGGGGATTGTGGAGGCCAGGTCATCTGATGCAGGACTCCATCACTCTCCTTCTTGGTTAAAATAGCCCTTACACAGCCTGTAGGTGTGTTGGGTCATTGTCCTGTTGAAAAACAAAGGATAGTCCCACTAAGCCCAAACCAGATGGGATGGCGTATCGCTGCAGAATGCTGTGGTAGCCATGCTGGTTAAGTGGGCCTTGAATTCTAAATACATCACAGACAGTGTCACCAGCAAAGCACCCCCACACCATAACACCACCTCCTCCATGCTTTACGGTGGGAACTACACATGCGGAGATCATCCGTTCACCCACACCGCATCTCACAAAGACAGCGGTTTGAACCAAAAATCTCCAATTTGGACTCCAGACCAAAGGACAGATTTCCATTGCTAATGTCCGTAGCTCGTGTTTCTTGGCCCAAGCAGGTCTCTTCTTCTTATTGGTGTCCTTTAGTAGTGGTTTCTTTGCAGCAATTCGACAATGAAGGCCTGATTCACACAGTCCCCTCTGAACAGTTGATGTTGAGACGTGTCTGTGACTTGAACTTGAATTTTTGAGGCTGGTAACTCTAATGAACTTATCCTCTGCAGCAGAGGTAACTCTGGGTCTTCCATTCCTGTGCCGGTCCTCATGAGAGCCAGTTTCATCATAGCGCTTAATGGTTTTTGCGACTGCACTTGAAGAAACTTCACTCTAAGTTCTTGACATTTTCCGGATTGACTGACCTTCATGTCTTAAAGTAATAATGGACTGTCATTTCTCTTTGCTTATTTGAGCTGTTCTTGCCATAATATGGACTTGGTCTTTTACCAAATAGGGCTATCTTCTGTATACCACCCCTACCTTGTCACAACACAACTGATTGGCTCAAACGCATTAAGAAGGAAAGAAATTCCACAAATTAACTTTTAAGAAGGCACACCTGTTAATTGAAATGATTCCAGGTGACTACCTCATGAAGCTAGTTGAGAGAATGCCAAGAGTGTGCAAAGATGTCATCAAGGCAAAGGATGGCTATTTGAAGAATCTCAAATATAAAATATATTTGGACTTGTTTAACACTTTTGGTTATTACATGATTCCATATGTGTTATTTCATAGTTTTGATGTCTTCACTATTATTCTACAATGTAAAAAATAGTACAAATAAAGAAAAACCCTTGAATGAGTAGGCGTGTCCAAACTTTTGACTGGTAGTGTATAATTTATATAATTGTACATATAGAGCCTAATATAGAACCCATACGCACAAAACACTTATTTCTCTCAAATTTTGTGCACGAATTTGTTTACATCACTGTTAATGAGCATTTCTCCTTTGCCAAGATAATTCATCAACCTGACAGGTGTGGCATATCAAGATGCTGATTAAACAGCATGATCATTACACAGGTGCACCTTGTGCTGGGTACAATAAAAGACCACTCTAAAATGTGTAGTTTTGTCACACAACACAATGCCACAGAAATCTCTCAAGTTTTGAGGGAGCGTGCAATTGTCATGATGACTGCAGGAAAGTCCACCAGAGCTGTTGCCAGAGAATTCAATGTTAATTTCTCTACCATAATCCACCTCCAACGTAATTTTTTGAGTATTTGGCGGTATGTCCAACCGGCCTCACAACCGCAGACCACGTGTAACCACGCCAGCCCAGGACCTCCACATCCGGCTTCTTCACCTGCGGGATTGTCTGAGGGGAGGGGGGAGGGGTGCTGAGGAGTATTTCTGTCTGTAATGAAGCCCTTTTGTGGGGAAAAACGAATTGATTGGCTGGGCCTGGCTCTCCATTGCGTGGGCTTATGCCCTCCCAGGCCCACCCATGGCTGCGCCCCTGCCCAGTCATGTGAAATCCATAGATTAGGCCCTGGTGAATTTATTTCAATTGACTGATTTCCTTATATGAACTGTAACAGCAAAATCTTTTAAATTGTTGCATGGTTCATTTATATTTTTGTTCAGTATATTATTACATTCTAAAATGTGAGAATAATGTGGACATTGCCTGACTAAATAGATTGGATACATGCATGGCGATTTTTCTGTAGCCTATGTGGCTGCCACAGGCACGCATAAAAGCCATGAATAGTGGTAGCATTAATCTCACCATTTGAATAAATGTAATTTAATAGGAATAGCGTTGGGTGTTGCACAATAGTCTATCCTACACAGTAGACTGTGTCTAATCTGAGGCACAAAGATATATGAACACATTACCTTGATGCTTTCTCTGTTAAAACTAACGAGACACTGCTGTAAATCAATCAGACAACAGATGATCAACATCAATACGATAGGGATATTAGATCCAACGTGGATCCAGGCACCACTGTCTTCACTGCCGAAACAAATGAGACAACAAAATATTCTGGACATTCCTCGCAAACACCTTTTTTGCAGCTTGGGCTGTTGGCGCACGCGATGCAACATCACAAAAGCTGTTCGTCACTTGACTCTCATTCGGAAAATTATTTCCTGGATCAGATGATGATGTGTGAAAATATCACGGCGTTACTGATCAGCTGGACACCAAATGCTCATCCAACAACTATTATGTATAATTATTGAAGCACCACGTTAATGACGGTATTGATTTAGGTTTGACGTATTAAGGTAAGGTGACTCAGTTAGAAGCATTCGATTTTGCAATAGTTTTTATTATTTTGGGTTTGTATGCCCATTAACTGTTTTCACACCGCGTAACATAAGGAGACACAATGTTACGTAGTTACACTGCATTTCTGAGATCTATACAAAAAACTGTCCAACAGCTAGATCCAGGATTTTTACACAGTTCAATGTCTAATTTAACTACTAAATGCTTAATATATGCTATAACGACAACTTACACTGCCACAAATGCAAAGACACGATGTTGGACAAATCCATCAAGACAACAACCAAGATAAAGGGTTAAATAGTTTTTAAATGAACTTGTGAATTGTATTGGATATAGCTATGATTCCCCCCCCCCCCCCCACCCTTTTTTTTTTTTTTTTTTTTTTTTTAGGGGGTAGATCAGCTTTAATATTACAGATATATTGTAACTTCCATCAATGTAATTGACTGCATCACTTCCAATCCCCCATATGTTTTTTTTATTCTCGCATATATATATATATATATATATATATATATATATATATATATATATATATATAGTGAGGGGAAAAAAGTATTTGATCCCCTGCTGATTTTGTATGTTTGCCCACTGACAAAGAAATGATCAGTCTATAATTTTAATGGTAGGTTTATTTGAACAGTGAGACAGAATAACAACAAAAAAATCCAGAAAAATGCATGTCAAAAATGTTATCAATTGATTTGCATTTTAATGAGGGAAATAAGTATTTGACCCCTCTGCAAAACATGACTTAGTACTTGGTGGCAAAACCCTTGTTGGCAATCACAGAGGTCAGACGTTTCTTGTAGTTGGCCACCAGGTTTGCACACATCTCAGGAGGGATTTTGTTCCACTCCTCTTTGCAGATCTTCTCCAAGTCATTAATGTTTCGATGCTGACGTTTGGCAACTTGAACCTTCAGCTCCCTCCACAGATTTTCTATGGGATTAAGGTCTGGAGACTGGCTAGGCCACTCCAGGACCTTAATGTGCTTCTTCTTGAGCCACTCCTTTGTTGCCTTGCGGTGTGTTTTGGGTCATTGTCATGCTGGAATACCCATCCACGACCCATTTTCAATGCCCTGGCTGAGGGAAGGAGGTTCTCACCCAAGATTTGACAGTACATGGCCCCGTCCATCGTCCCTTTGATGCGGTGAAGTTGTCCTGTCCCCTTAGCAGAAAAACACCCCCAAAGCATAATGTTTCCACCTCCATGTTTGACGGTGGGGATGGTGTTCTTGGGGTCATAGGCAGCATTCCTCCTCCTCCAAACACGGCGAGTTGAGTTGATGCCAAAGAGCTCCATTTTGGTCTCATCTGACCACAACACTTTCACCCAGTTCTCCTCTGAATCATTCAGATGTTCTTTGGCAAACTTCAGACGGCCCTGTATATGTGCTTTCTTGAGCAGGGGGACCTTGCGGGTACTGCAGGATTTCAGTCCTTCACGGCGTAGTGTGTTACCAATTGTTTTCTTGGTGACTATGGTCCCAGCTGCCTTGAGATCATTGACAAGATCCTCCCGTGTAGTTCTGGGCTGATTCCTCACCTTTCTCATGATCATTGCAACTCCACGAGGTGAGACTTGCATGGAGCCCCAGGCCGAGGGAGATTGACAGTTATTTTGTGTTTCTTCCATTTGCGAATAATCGCACCAACTGTTGTCACCTTCTCACCAAGCTGCTTGGCGATGGTCTTGTAGCCCATTCCAGCCTTGTGTAGGTCTACAATCTTGTCCCTGACATCCTTGGAGAGCTCTTTGTTGTTGATTGCTTCTGTGGACAGGTGTCTTTTATACAGGTAACAAGCTGAGATTAGGAGCACTCCCTTTAAGAGTGTGCTCCTAATCTCAGCTCGTTACCTGTATAAAAGACACCTGGGAGCCAGAAATCTTTCTGATTGAGAGGGGGTCAAATACTTATTTCCCTCATTAAAATGTAAATCAATTTATAACATTTTTGACATGCGTTTTTCTGGATTTTTTGTTGTTATTCTGTCTCTCACTGTTCAAATAAACCTACCATTAAAATGATAGACTGATCATTTCTTTGTCAGTGGGCAAACGTACAAAATCAGCAGGGGATCAAATACTTTTTTCCCTCACTGTATATATGTACACATACATACATATAAATACATATCCATACATACATATAAATACATATCCATACATACATATAAATACATACATATACACTACCGTTCAAAAGTTTGGGGTCATTTAGAAATGTCCTTGTTTTCGAAAGAAAATCATTTTTTTGGTCCATTTAAAATGACATCAAATTGATCAGAAATACAGTGTAGACATTGTTAATGTTGTAAATGGCTATTGTAGCTGGAAACGGCTGATTTTTAATGGAATATCTACATAGGCGTACAGAGGCCCATTATCAGCAACTTGAGACTAGTTTGAGTATCTGGAGCATCAGCAATTGTGGGTTCGATTACAGGCTCAAAATGGGCAGAAACAAATAACTTTCTTCTGAAACTCGTCAGTCTATTCTTGTTCTGAGATATGAAGGCTATTCCATGCGAGAAATTGCCAAGAAACTGAAGATCTCGTACAATTCTGTGTACTACTCCCTTCACAGAACAGCGCAAACTGGCTCTAACCAGAATAGACAGAGGACAAATACTGAGCAAGAGGACATGTTAGGAGGACAAATACATTAGAGTGTCTAGTTTGAGAAACAGACGCCTCACAGGTCTTCAACTGGCAGCTTCATTAAATAGTACCCGCAAAACACAGTGAAGAGGTGACTCCGGGATGCTGACCTAGGTAGAGTTGCAAAGAAAAAGTCCAGTGTCTGTGTTCTTTTGCCCATCTTAATATTTTCTTTTTATTGGCCAGTCTGAGATGTCTTTTTCTTTGCAAATCAGCCAGCTACAATAGCCATTTACAACATTAACAATGTCTACACTGTGTTTCTGATCAATTTGATGTCAGTTTAATTGACAAAAATTTTGCTTTTCTTTCGAAAACAAGGACATTTCTAAGTGACCCCAAACTTTTGAAAGGTATACATATCCTTAAAAAAATTATATTTCCCTTTATTACTTTCCAACCCCATCACCCCTTCCCTAATTGGAGTAAACTAGTGAACAACAACACTTAGGCCTCTACTTCCAGCTTATACATACTATATACATTTTATGGACACAGTCAATTGTACAATAATTATATTTTGTTTGTTTTTACTCCTGAACTTCCTCTACCCTCAACCTCTCCGATAATTTTCATGATGTCCATCCTTATCCATATCTTTCTAACTGTGCTCTTTCACAAAAGCTCTCAACCTATAACCTACAGTGGGGAAAAAAGTATTTAGTCAGCCACCAATTGTGCAAGTTCTCCCACTTAAAAAGATGAGAGAGGCCTGTAATTTTCATCATAGGTACACGTCAACTATGACAGACAAAATGAGAGAAAAAATCCAGAAAATCACATTGTAGGATTTTTAATGAATTTATTTGCTAATTATGGTGGAAAATAAGTATTTGGTCAATAACAAAAGTTTCTCAATACTTTGTTATATACCTTTTGTTGGCAATGACACAGGTCAAATGTTTTCTGTAAGTCTTCACAAGGTTTTCACACACTGTTGCTGGTATTTTGGCCCATTCCTCCATGCAGATCTCCTCTAGAGCAGTGATGTTTTGGGGCTGTCGCTGGGCAACATGGACTTTCAACTCCCTCCAAAGATTTTCTATGTGGTTGAGATCTAGAGACTGGCTAGGCCACTCCAGGACCTTGAAATGCTTCTTACGAAGCCACTCCTTTGTTGCCCGGGCGGTGTGTTTGGGATCATTGTCATGCTGAAAGACCCAGCCACGTTTCATCTTCAATGCCCTTGCTGATGGAAGGAGGTTTTCACTCAAAATCTCACGATACATGGCCCCATTCATTCTTTCCTTTACACGGATCAGTCGTCCTGGTCCCTTTGCAGAAAAACAGCCCCAAAGCATGATGTTTCCACCCCCATGCTTCACAGTAGGTATGGTGTTCTTTGGATGCAACTCAGCATTCTTTGTCCTCCAAACACGACGAGTTGAGTTTTTACCAAAAAGTTCTATTTTGGTTTCATCTGACCATATGACATTCTCCCAATCCTCTTCTGGATCATCCAAATGCACTCTAGCAAACTTCAGACGGGCCTGGACATGTACTGGCTTAAGCAGGGGGACACGTCTGGCACTGCAGGATTTGAGTCCCTGGCGGCGTAGTGTGTTACTGATGGTAGGCTTTGTTACTTTGGTCCCAGCTCTCTGCAGGTCATTCACTAGGTCCCCCCGTGTGGTTCTGGGATTTTTGCTCACTGTTCTTGTGATCATTTTGACCCCACGGGGTGAGATCTTGCGTGGAGCCCCAGATCGAGGGAGATTATCAGTGGTCTTGTATGTCTTCCATTTCCTAATAATTGCTCCCACAGTTGATTTCTTCAAACCAAGCTGCTTACCTATTGCAGATTCAGTATTCCCAGCCTGGTGCAGGTCTACAATTTTGTTTCTGGTGTCCTTTGACAGCTCTTTGGTCTTGGCCATAGTGGAGTTTGGAGTGTGACTGTTTGAGGTTGTGGACAGGTGTCTTTTATTTACATTTACATTTTAGTCATTTAGCAGACGCTCTTATCCAGAGCGACTTACAGGAGCAATTAGGGTTAAGTGCCTTGCTCAAGGGCACATCGACAGATTTTTCACCTAGTCGGCTCGGGGATTAGAACCAGCGACCTTTCGGTTACTGGCACAACGCTCTTACCCACTAAGCTACCTGCCGCCTCTTTTATACTGATAACAAGTTCAAACAGGTGCCATTAATACAGGTAATGAGTGGAGGACAGAGGAGCCTCTTAAAGAAGTTACAGGTCTGTGAGAGCCAGAAATCTTGCTTGTTTGTAGGTGACCAAATACTTATTTTCCACCATAATTTGCAAATAAATTCATAAAAAATCCTACAATGTGATTTACTGGAATTTTTTTCCTAAATTTGTCTATCATAGTTGACGTGTACCTATGATGAAAATGACAGGCCTCATCTTTTTAAGTGGGAGAACTTGCACAATTGGTGGCTGACCTAAATACTTTTTTTCCCCACTGTATATACTTATTATGGACACAGTATGCTTTACATGAGTTATCTTGTTGTTATTAGTTGTTTTTAGTTGTTATTAGTCCCATCCCTATCTTAATGTAATGACATTGGGGGAAGAAAACTGGTTTATTATCAATGACTTATCAACAGCTGTAACAAGCTGTCCAGTGTAGGAAATCCTCACTGGAATCGTAGTTTATAGAAAGACCCATAACATAAATGTGTATGAATGTTAGTGGCTACAGAATGCCCATTTTGAGTCTTACTGCTGATTAAGTAAGTGTTGCTGATGCTGTTCCCAACAGGTTCCTGTGCATGGCCCATCCAGCCCTAACAAAGTCAACTTCCACAGCTTTTGCAACGTCAGCCACTACAGGTTAGTCACTGTCACCCAGATCAGGTTAGAGTTTGGCCCACTTCTGGTGACACTATATCTCAGTGCTAATGAATGTGTCAACTCCTTTCAGGTCGGTACTCATAGAAAAGGACAGCATCAACTCAGTGGCGTTGAATGACAGTCCTCAGGACAGCCATCAGAGGATGCTGGTGGCCGGCTCCGTGTCTGTCAGTGCCACAGGTACAGGACTGGGAATGGGATCTGATCTGGGATATAAGCAGACTCTAGAACAGGGGTATTCAACTCTTACCCTACGAGGTCCGAATCCTGCTGGTTTTCTTTTCTACCTGGTAATTAATTGCACCCACCTGGTGTCCCAGGTCTAAATCAGTCCCTGATTCGAGGGGAACAATTAAAAAATACAGTGGAAATGGCTTCAAGGTCCAGACTTAAGTTTGAGGGCGCTAGAATAAGGATTAGACCCTACCAGACATTTATATTTGTCTTTGTTATAACAGTAAGATACTTATGTGTGAATGTGTGTGCTGCTCTAGGCGCATGCATTCTACTGAAGGAGACCACGCTGATGCCTCACATCCACGGCCTGCCTGCTCTCATCACCATGCTCTTCAGCCCTGTCATTGAGCTACGGTCAGTCTGCTTGAAGATAGTATGCTCCTCACCACATTCACATTTAATCAAATTACCTATCAGAAAACCTTACCCTAAGATCCTATAGGGAATGTGAAATGATTGGGGTTCTACTAAGCTAACATATGGAATTGTTTGAAGATGGTCATACCAAGGATAATTGAGCTATTTGATTTTAAATTAAGGTATCAAATGAGAGATATAAGAAAGATCAGGAAACAATAATAATAATTTAAAAAATGGACATGTATTTAACCTCTTATTTTAAGCACTAAACTACACTATATATACAAAAGTATGTGGACACCCCTTCAAATTAGTGGATTCGGCTATTTCAGCCACACCCGTTGCTGACGGGTGTATAAAATCGAGCACAGAGCCATGCAATCTCCAAAGACAAACCTTGGCAGTACAATGGCCTTACTGAAGAGCTCAGTGACTTTGAACGTGGCACTGTCATAGGATGCCACCTATCCAACAAGTAAAATATCTGCCCAGCTAGAGCTGCCCCGGTCAACTGTAAGTGCTGTTATTGTGAAGTGGAAACGTCTAGGAGCAACAACGGCTCAGCCGTGAAGTGGTAGGCCACACAAGCTCACAGAACGGGATCGCAGAGTGCTGAAGCACGTAAAAATCGTCTGTCCTCGGTTGCAACGCTCACTACCGAGTTCCAAACTGCCTCTGGAAGCAACGTCAGCACAAGAGCTGTTTGTTGGGAGCTTAATTAAATGGGTTTCCATGGCCGAGCAGCCGCACACAAGCCTAAGATCACCATGTGCAATGCCAAGCGTCGGCTGGAGTCGTGTAAAGCTCGCCGCCAATGGACTCTGGAGTAGTGGAAATGCGTTCTCAGGAGTGATGAATCACACTTCACCATCTGGCAGTCCGACAAACTAATCTGCGTTTGGTGGATGTCAGGATAACCCTATCTGCCTGACTGCAAAGTGCCAACTGTAAAGTTTGTTAGAGGAGGAATAATGGGGCTGTTTTTCATGGTTCGGGCTAGGCACCTTAGTTCCAGTGAAGGGAAATCTTAATGCTACAGCATACAATGACATTCTAGATGATTCTGTGCTTCCAACTTTGTGGCAACAGTTTGGGAAATGCCCTTTCCTGTTTCAGCATGACAATGCCACCGTGCACGAAACGAGATCCATACAGTAATGGATTGTCGAGATCGGTGTGGAAGAACTTGACTGGCCTGCACAGAGCCCTGACCTCAACCCCATCGGACACCTTTGGGATGAATTGGAACGCCGTCTGTGAGCCAGGCCTAATCGCCCAACATCTGTGCCTGACCTCACTAATGCTCTTGTGGCTGAATGGAAGCAAGTCCCCGCAGCAATGTTCCAACATCTAGTGGAAAGCCTTCCCAGAAGAGTGGAGGCTGTTATAGCAGCAAAGGGGGGAGTAACTCCATATTAATGCCCATGATTTTGGAATTAGATGTTCGACGAGCAGGTGTCCACATACTTTTGGTAATGTAGTGTATCTCATATATATACTTCCATTTATATTTTTTTTCATTGGTACCCGGCTTAGGGCTGTTCCAGTGACCATATTACCGCCACACCGGCAGTCATGAGTCATGACCGCAGTAAAATTCCACATGACTGTTAAGTCACGGTAATCTCCTGTTATGCACTCTGGACATGCTTTGGTAGTACCCAACTTGCTAATGACCATCAGGTCTTAATGGCCTGGTACTCAGGGCTCTATTGTCCTTCTAACCACTGACTCTGACATCAATGCAAATGCAATCAAAAATCACATCAAACACTTATCAAAACAGTATCTGCATTTAAAACTCACCTCACTGTGATGATCAATTTGAAAAAATAAGTTCAACAGCAGGTTGAAACTGATTGTAACACATGGTCGTTTGGATGTTGTTTCAAAGCCTAACACAACGAAATGAACAGTGCTTTCTAAGGTGATGATTAATTCAAAACACACATGCTCATATTAGAACCTGAATTAATATTATGATTGTGCCGTTGTACAATACATAGCCTACTGCATATTACGCATGGCAGAAAAACATAAAACTAAACTGATTTAAGATGTCTTTGGTACATAATTGGTCTAGCCTATACTCCAAAGTTAAACAAATTAATGTGATCGCCTTTGAGTGTGGACTGTATTATTATGCATACTGGATGGACTGGTTACCTTATGCTACTCTCCAAAATGTCTATCCACGAGTCTGGGCGAGAACATATAGTACTAGGCGATGCTGTTGGTTCATTGATTGTGCAGGGCAGCTTACAGTAAGCCTACAATTATATTTAATTAGATTTTTGAATAGCCTAGTAATAGGGATTTTTTAAATGTCTTTTCATAATTAATTGGGTGACACATTACCTTTTAGCTATTGTGGTGGTAATTCTAACGCAAAGGAGAGAGACTGTATTCTTCAAAACAACTTAATTTGCAAAAATGAAGCAATAAACGACAATCACTCAACAGTGCATCGTTAGAAAGCCCAACGATCATAGTTGGGTCTCAGCTTATATAGAAAAAGTACGTCCTATTCTGTCTACGTGACAGTTTAGCAGATGGGTGGAAACAGGGCGAGGTTGATAACACGAGGGCTCAACCGTATAACTGCGTTCGTGACAGTTCACACTATAATGTGCTCCTTCCTGCAACTTCCCATAGAGCTGACTTCCTGCAGAAAATAAAATCACAGGATGTGTCACATGCTGCGGTCGCACCCAAATGGCTCTTATCTGTACGCCCAGACTTACAGTACCAGTCAAAAGTTTGGACCCACCTACTCATTCCAGGGTTTTTCTTTATTTTTACTATTTTCTACATTGTAGAATAATAGTGAAGACATCAAAACTATTGAATAACACACATGGAATCTTGTAGTAACCAAAAAAGTGTTAAACAAATCAAAATATATTTTAGATTTTAGATTCTTCAAATAGCCACCCTTTGCCTTGATGACAGCTTTGCACACTTTTGGCATTATCTCTACCAGCTTCACCTGGAATGCATTTCAATTAACAGGTGTGCCTTGTTAAAAGTTAATTTGTGGAATTTCTTTCCTCCTTAATGCGTTTGAACCAATCAGTTGTGTTGTGACAAGGTAGGGGTGGTATACAGAAGATAGCCCTATTTGGTAAAAGACCAAGTCCATATTATGGCAAGAACAGCTCAAATAAGCAAAGAGAATCGACAGTCCATCATTACTTTAAAACATGAAGGTGAGTCAATCCAGAACATTTCAAGAACTTTTAAGGTTTCTTCAAGTGCAGTCGCAAAAACCAACAAGCACTATGATGAAACTGGCTCTCATGAGGACCGCCACAGGAAAGGAACACCTAGAGTTACCTCTGCTGCAGAGGATAAGTTCATTAGAGTTAACTGCACCTCAGATTGCAGCCCAAATAAATGCTTCACAGAGTTCAAGTAACAGACACATCTCAACATCAACTGTTCAGAGGAGACTGTGTGAATCAGGCCTTATTCTACAATGTAGAAAATAGTAAAAATTAAGAAAAACCCTGGAATGCGTAGGTGTGTCCAAACTTTTGACTGGTACTGTATATATATTTATATTCCGTTTTCTGACATTGCTCATTCTGATATTTCTTAATTTCAGAATTTTTTGGGAATGTGTGTGTTGTGTTTTTTGTTAGTTTTTTTGCTAGGTATTACTGCACTGTTGGAGCTAGAAACACAAGCATTTCGCTTCACCTGCGATAACACCTGCAAATCTGTGTATGCGACCAATATAATTTGATTTGATTACAAGACCAGGAAGCAGCTCCTCCAGTCGGCCCCTGCCATCCACCCCCTCCCCTGCAGGAGGCTCTGGACCTAATTAGGCATCTTAAACTAAACAGAGCTTTCACACTCCAGTCCTCTCATTCATCACGCTCTACTCTAGCACAGAGAAAACTGTACTGTACACAGCCACAGAGACAGCAGTATGGATAAAGTTAAGGAAGTACTAGTGACCAGCTCCTTGACTTGACTGAGAGTTACAAGTATGTTTCTATTGCACATGAGATCATCATGTCCTATTATAAGCTAGGGGTGGTATACAGAAGATAGCCCTATTTGGTAAAAGACCAAGTCCATATTATGGCAAGAACAGCTCAAATAAGCAAAGAGAATCGACAGTCCATCATTACTTTTAAGACATGAAGTTCAGTCAATCCGGAAAATTTCAAGAACTTTGGAAGTTTCTTCAAGTGCAGTTGCAAAAACCATCAAGCACTATGATGAAACTGGCTCTCATGAGGACCGCCACAGGAAAGGAAGACCCAGTTACCTCAGCTGCAGAGGATAAGTTCATTAGAGTTAACTGCACCTCAGACATGGCAGCACAAATAAATGCTTCACAGAGTTCAAGTAACAGACACATCTCAACATCAACTGTTCAGAGGAGACTGCGTGAATCAGGCTTTCATGGTCCAATTGCTGCAAATAAACCACTACTAAAGGACACCAGTAAGAAAAAGAGACTTGCTTGGGCCAAGAAACACGAGCAATGGACATTAGACCGGTGGAAATCTGTCCTTTGGTCTGATGAGTCTAGATTTGAGATTTTTGGTTCCAACCGCTGTGTCTTTGTGAGACGCAGAGTAGGTGAACGAATCATCTCCGCATGTGTGGTTCCCACCGTGAAGCATGGAGGAGGAGGTGTGATGGTGTGGGGGTGCTTTGCTTGTGACACTGTCTGTGATTTATTTAGAATTCAAGGCACACTTAACCAGCATGGCTATTACAGCATTCTGCAGCGATACGCCATCCCATCTGGTTTGCGCTTAGACCCAACACACCTCCAGGCTGTGTAAGTGCTATTTGACCAAGAAGGAGAGTGATGGAGTGCTGCATCAGATGACCTGGCCTCCACAATCACCCGACTTCAACCCAATTGAGATGGTTCGGGATGAGTTGGACCGCAGAGTGAAGGTAAAGCAGCCAACAAGTGCTCAGCATATGTGGGAACTCCTTCAAGACTGTTGGAAAAGCATTTCAGGTGAAGCTGGTTGATAGAATGCCAAGAGTGTGCAAAGCTGTCATCAACGCAAAGGGTGGCTACTTAGAATCTAAAATATATTTTGATTTGTTTAACACTTTTCTGGTTACTACATGATTCCATATGTGATTTCATAGTTTTGATGTCTTCACTATTATTCTACAATGTAGAAAATAGTCAAAATAAAGAGACTCTAGAATGAGTAGGTGTGTGAACTTTTGACTGGTACTGTATGACGAGACAAGCCTGTATCAGCAAAAAATACTAACAGAAAACAGTTCAATTCTCTAAGTAAAAACAGGATATTATGTCTAATTAAACAGTATAGTATGAAATGAATATTACATTTCCTCCACACTATACAGAATATCTCGCCACCGTGCGTTTCCATCTCCTCTCTCCTTTATTTCTTTCTCGAGCGTGCAGAGGGGATGTCAACAGTTTAGTGAAATATGTTTAGTTGCGTAAACATGTTACTATTGATGTTCCCGAACAGATTTCACTTAGTTTCCTAAATTAAGCACTGGGTAGCTGCAGGAACAAGGTTGGAGAGCCCATGGCATACAGAGTTTGGGCGGAATATCACCTGTTGTGCAGCGAGAGCATTCTCCTCAAACAGTGGTTGATGCGTGGAGTGAAATAAGTGTCCTCATATTTCTTTCTTAGCTGCTCATATTAAGCACATGCTCCGCTATAAAACCAAAGAAGCCTACCCGGCATCATTGAAAAACGGACCGGCAGGAAAGCGCAATTCGCTATTGGAGTGCATACAGATGACGGCTTTTTCCCCCTACCCCTCTATAAACTGTTTAGCAAACCGTTCAGATGCTACAGACGTGTTCGTGAGAAGACCGATATTTGGTCTCATGATCTGACAAACACCGCTCTAGCTCTGCCACCCTTCACCACAGATGCGGAAGGGCGACATCGGCGGATGTGGTGGATTGAGACGCAGCCTATGCAAATAAACATGTTTCTAGCTCAAACTGACAGATTTGTTTTTTTTGCTAATTACATTTCCGCAGGGGCGTGGACATCAACTCTAGGGGGCTAAATGATAATATAAATAATGTGTTGTAATATTCACTTCAAATCATGCATTTAGTTCTACAGGTCTGTTATGTAACCGTGCCTGTTCTCTGCAGCACCAACGAGGAGAGGAACAGCTACACTGGCGCCCTCTGTGGTCTGGGGTGGAACGTCCAGTCTCAGGAGGCTGTCTTGCCTGAACATGACATGGAGCTCGCTTTCGATGTTAAATTCGATGTAGAGGACATCACAGAGGTAGCTAACACCCTTGGAGTTCCTGCGTCAGACCATTCATATCCATATGTATCATGTTATAAAACATGAGCATCAACTTTCCACACATAACCGGTGTGTTTTGTGTTGGATCAGATCAATGCGTTGCGTGGTGCCATCAACCGTCTGGTGTGTGAGGGGCCCAACGGTCCTCTGCACCTGGGGCCTGACAGGATCAACAGCCTGCAGGAGGACTGCCGCGAACGCCTTGTCAGGTTATTTACAAAGTCGCCCCCTCGGGAAGACCTTATTCCTGTGTACTATGAGGAACCAAAGAAATGGAACCAGGTATGGCTTGAATTCATGGTGTAATGCTCTTTTTCCCCACTTCAATCGAATCAGTCCAGATTTTATATAGAGCGTAAGGCCCATACTTAACTATAATGTCTAGTGTTCAAACAATTTATATTGAACGTGTATGTGTGACCATTTTGTGTGCATGGTGTTCGTGTGCAGGTGGATCCCAGTCAGAAGATGGAGATTGTCCAGAAGGAAGATGGAAAGAGCAAAGGGGTCCTGTTCCAGCTACACCCCGTCACACTGCTAAACATGTGAGGCTATTCTAAAGCAGCAACCAGAAGCACAGCATGCTGTTCTGTTTTCACCTCCACTACTCTTGTTTTACAAGATTTTCTTCTTATGGAACCCTCAGGAAGGACATTCTCTTTTGATAATTGTGGTATATATTTTGATAATTTATTACTGTTACAATTATCATTTTTACACATGGTCCTGCCATGCTTCTCATGTCCTGGGTTTTTCTGTTATTCAGCTTCGCTATAGCTGTGTTAGATGTTTGGAAAGTATAACTACACTATCATCTTTTGATATAAATCATTGATATTCAAGGAATGGCACTCCTTTTCTTTTGTATAAATGAATCCAACTTATAGTCAAGGTATGGTACTAGCTTTAGTTCAGTGACCTGACAGCCAAGTTAAATTTGTCACCTCAGCATACTGACATGCAAGCACACACACAACAGGAAAGGGCCTTCTGTGCCAGAAGGTATCTACGTGTATTCATGGAATGTAATTTCAAATCCCTTTGGATATTTATCCAGCGTGGTATGCACTGTGTACCCCTACAAAACACAACACCTCATATGTCCTCATATTTCTAACTCAAGACGAGACTGCCCTCGTCAAACTTTTGACTTGGACCATATTTTCAGTAATGCATCTGAAAAATGATAACATTATACATTGAGGAACATTTATTTTTCTGATTCTGTAATTAAATACATACTGTAAGTGCAAATAGTTAGTCCAGGGTCTAAGAACTACATTGAGTATAGGTGAACATAGTACAAAGTTGGACAGTTAATTCAGACAAGCTAAATATCATCAGATACTCCTTGTCTTCATAGTAGTTGAACAACAGTACCTAAGACATGAGCTTGTGTATAGTTCCATAGTTATGCAAAAAGAAACTACAATTACCACATCTAAAACGCATATTGTCAAATGAATGTGCTTGAAAACACAAAGGAAATCATTTTGATATTTATATATATTGACATATACTGAGAGAAGCCCCAACAGCTAACTCAGAAACATGAAGCAGTTTTTAACATTGGCAGCAGAGCATTTCTGTAGGCATATCGCTTTTTTGTACCTAACCTTAGTTTGTTGTAAGTGCTGAAGGAAAAAAAACTAGTGAAAACTGCACGAAAGATACAAAATAATATTTACTCAAGGCTTGACTTCATGCACTTAATAACAAGCAACACAAAATAAAAATATTTTTTCTTCAGAATTGTGTACTTGTCTACCTAGACATACCTTGAACATGAGTGATTTACTTCTAGACAGTTTTGGGGTCAGGGCTTCTCCAGTGGTTGGTTTTAGAGAACACCTTCTAGATGACATAGTACTACCCCCAGATAATGACAAGGCTATCCAACAATGATCAAGCTGTCTGCCTCTGAGTCTGAGCTGGACTCCTGTTAGCTAGACTCAGGTCTACTCTTCCTTTCGCTTGGCCCCGGGGATCTTCGCCTGGATCCTGTTGAGACAAAACATGGAGGTCACCACTCTGATACAGTGTCGTTAAACTTTTCTAGTTTGTATCAAGATTAACATCATTACAATCTATTTCTTAGTGGGATGTTCCAGGGAGTAGTGTGTTCATTCTCGAGTAAAAAAGGTCATAACTACTACTCACTTCCCCACCACAGAGTTCACTTGGGTCCGTATTAGTCCCACATATTGGTCAATCTGTGCCTGAGGGTGAAGAGAAAAAACAATTTAGATTACATTAAAAAATATATATTCTTTATCCCATTACTCAACAATATGAAAGTAGAACTAATTAAATGGAACGATCTTTCCATAAATCTAACGGGTAGAATACACCTATTCAGAATGGCATGGCTGCCAAAGTTTATACTTATTCTCTGTAATACCAATTACCCCACTGAAGACGTTCTTTAAAAAAAAGTATACTCTGTCATAAGACTTTATATGGGCAAATAAAACTCATAGGAAGATTTAAAACGTTTCTTTTTATTCTGAGTCTGAGGGTGGTTTTACTTGCGACATATAGTTAAATGTACTGAAGAGGAACAATGGGTACCTATTGAAGATGCGCATGCTTATCCCCAGAATATTTGTACGTGTATTTTCAAAGGATAAAGCTAAGAACATTAACTTAATTGTTAACACTATAACAACAGGGAAGAAAATAAAATGTATTCTACAAGAACCAATATCACTCCGTAAAAACACAACCCTATGGAGCAATCCTTGGATAGCTTTTCAGAATTACCTATTGGAACCAAGACTTAAAAATAACTGATATTGGCATAAAATGGAGGGTATATTGGAACATAACTAACAAAATTACAGTTAACTAAAATGTACGCTTAATCCAGTATAAATTGATGTATACAATTTATTATACAAGACAATATTCATGTCTTAAGTGTAAAACTAACAATGACTATAACATTCCCAGAAGGCATGGATTATTAAGTCCAAAAGTTATAGCCAGCGTTAGAAAGTTGGCTGTCAGAAGTATTACAATGTACCTTTACTTTTAATCCGTCTGTCTGCATATTTCAAGACATGGCATATGAGGGTGCAGTGAGATACCCGATGGGTTGGATGATACTTTTCTCGTCAATCATTTAAAAAAAACGATACTTAGCTGGAAATCAACCAATCCTCCATGGTTAACACAATGGAAAGGTCAAATGCTTTATCTAAATGTTGAAAGTGTGCGGGCGACAGAGAGAATCAAAATGGTGCGCTTTGAGGCCATACGGCGGAGAGTGTGCGAGCACTGGAGATGGGGGTGTGAGTCTGGGCAGGTGTGATGTTGATGTTTGTATGTGTATGTTTTGTATTGTAAAAAAACAAATCGTACAAAAAAAGTACATGTATTCTAGAGTGAGGGTAAGTTCTTACCTGGTGTTTCTCATAGACAATGGGCATGCTGAACATGGACACCACGGCTGTAGGGGAAGAGAGTGAGCGCATGTTAAAGCAGTTTGACCTGGAGTGTCCCCCTTGGAATATACTCATGTACACATTGTGTCAACAGAGCCCCACCCCAGCTCAGAGACATATCTACAGTAGGTAAATAGAAACATAACAAATATATGAGATCCGTTATGTCTTCAGGTGTGAATGAATCCTTTGAACAAGGCCCTTCATGAATTGACCTCTGGAAGTTCATCATATGGATCTTTTTAGGATGCGACTAATCCTAATGTAGGAAATCAATCGTTTTTGCTCAAAAGGACAGAACACTCAATAATCCACTGTGATACAGAATTGATACAGATTTCAGTAAAACTGTCTCTGGTTCCATGAAGAACCATATGTTGTGATGAGGCAACCATCAGGCTGTCTGAGTTGATCTTGTCATGTCATGTGGGACATGTTGCCCTGCTCCACAGCGTATGTTCTCTCTGTGTTGGGTTAATCATTGACTGACAATGGGGTACTTTGGGTTAATCATTGACTGACAATGGGGTACTTTGGGTTAATCATTGACTGACAATGGGGTACTTTGGGTTAATCATTGACTGACAATGGGGTACTTTGGGTTAATCATTGACTGACAATGGGGTACTGTGATGCTTGCTTATTACAGCCCACTCCCCTGATTATAGTACAAACTCACAGACTGGCTCCGTGATGGTGTAGATGGAGAGAGGTTTCAATATGATTCATTATATTACATTTTATAAAATGTTAGACAGCTGAGATAAAATATGAGCTGTATGTCAGGCTGAACATGGTGTGCAGTAGAGAGGTGCAGAGCTGAGTATAACAGCTACAGTAGCCAGTCGGAGAAGAATCCTCACCCAGAATAAGCAGAGTCAGGCCATTGAAGAGAGCGCCCACATAGGTCAGCAGCCACATCAGTACAGCAAACTGCAACACAGGGTAAAAACATGTAACTCTTGGCACTGTTTAAACAAACACACCCCAACAATGTATGGTATGTGTATATGACGTTTGACTGAAGGTATGTCGTGATAAAAGTATTAATGTTTTAAGTGTAACGTGTCCATTTGATGTTTGACAGCAGGAATAGTACTGAGATTACATACATTAAAGAGTAGTGTTGGTAAGGTGGTTGTGTCCACCATGTCATTATTATTATTTATTATTTTAACCCCTCTGGCCAAACCCTCCCATAACCCGGACGGCGCTGGGCCAATTGTGCGCCGCCCTATGGGACTCCCGGTCACGGCCAGTTATGACACTGCCTGGGATCGAACCCGGGTCTGTAGTGACGCCTCAAGTACCTTAGACCGCTGCGCCATTTGGGAGACCATGTCATTATTTTAAGCCCAGAGGTGAGAGAGAGGCTGACCTTCAGTGAGTCGATGAGGTCCTGGACCAGGAACAGCCTACGGAGCTCCTTCATACAGGTGTTGGCGTAGAGCAGAGCCTTGTCAGCATATTTACCGATCTGATCCTGGGACAGAGAGATCTCCACCTCCAGATAAGATCTGTAGGTAAGAAGTACAACAGACTATTAGTGTCCAGGCTAAAGTGGCATTGCAAAAAAGATGAGTGAATGTTTAAATGTCAGATTATTTAATGTGCTGAGTAAACACAGATCCTCTATCCTCCCTCACTCACTTGAATGGGTGCCCTTCATCGGTCTTCTGCACAGCCTGAAGCACAGACTTGTAGATCCTGAAGCTGATGCTGGCAGAGAGGGCAGCCAGGGCTAAGTAGGCTCCCACACTGACCACACTGAACTGGGTCAGAGAGAAGAGCAGCAGGAGCACGCTGCCGAACACAGCTCCAGACTGCTTCACATTCCTCCAGTAGAGCAGGTCAATGGCTGGGGGGAGAACAGAGACAGTAGAGCAGGGTTAGGATCCAGGGTTAGACCCAGCATTACACACTACAGCAGGGTTCCCCAACTGGCGAGCCGAATTTGGCCCCCCAACTGTTTTGTTGTTGTTGTTCGACATAAGACTAAAAACACCAGCAAATCAGCTCCAAGTGATTTTAATCTCGGAAATCTGTTCCAAAGTATTCCCACGCATAATAGAGAGATATGTGATCGTACACAAATATAAGCAAGGTTTGAAATGTTTATGTTTTAGTCAAATATCTGTTTGGGCTTCTTGCGGTCAATTTGCAGTCTACAAATTCTTTGTAATTATCTTCTGGCCCCCTGACCATCCGCTAAGAAATAAAATCGGCACGCAGCTCAATCTAGTTGATGATCCCTGAACTACAGTATGACCAAGACCCATGATTACAGAGACCGTATCTGTGGGGTCACCTCAACATTACAAAGTATGACCCAACCGTAGGGTCACCTCAACATTACAAAGTATGACCCAACCGTAGGGTCACCTCAACATTACAAAGTATGACCCAACCGTAGGGTCACCTCAACATTACAAAGTATGACCCAACCGTAGGGTCACCTCAACATTACAAAGTATGACCCAACCGTAGGGTCACCTCAACATTACAAAGTATGACCCAACCGTAGGGTCACCTCAACATTACAAAGTATGACCCAACCGTAGGGTCACCTCAACATTACAAAGTATGACCCAACCGTAGGGTCACCTCAACATTACAAAGTATGACCCAACCGTAGGGTCACCTCAACATTACAAAGTATGACCCAACCGTAGGGTCACCTCAACATTACAAAGTATGACCCAACCGTATGGCCACCCCAACATGACAAAGTATGACCCAACCGTATGGTCACCCCAACATGACACAGTATGACCCAACCGTAGGGTCACCCCAACATGACACAGTATGACGCAACTTTAGGGTCACCCCAACATGACCCAACTGTATGGTCACCCCAGCATGACACAGGGATAGAATAACCACAGTGCTCAATAGTGTTCCTTACCACGTCTACGTTGTGATATAATTGACAGTACGGTAATCCTGTGTATCCCAGGCATTTAACTCCGATAACTGGAAGTCCATAGCAACCAGAAATCCTCAGAGACCCCTGACGTGTGTGATTTTGCTCTAACCTATATTTTATTGCGTTTGATTGAGTTGTCGATTAAACGTAGATGTGAATGTGTCAAAGTGAAAACATTTCTATCCGGCTTCCTTTCGCCTATATATATAGAGTGACCTTTGCAAACGATAATAGTGAGCTGACTCTTACTTGTCAAACAGGCGTCACGCAATTCATGTTGCCACACACCGGCACTGCCAGTGAAATGTGTGATTGTCTATAGTAGTGGTCAGCACCTGGTCTGGTCTCACACACACAGTGACCCTGCATTACCCTAACACAACCTGGTTCCCCAGTAGCACAACTGTACTGGCCATTCACAGAGCTGGGTTAATCATTGACCTGGGGGCCTGTGGAGACGGTGGCAGAAATAGACGCTGTATCAGCAGTGTCCAGAGATAACCGGTGCGTTCGTAAATTCACTCTGGCTATCTACTCCGATTTCAGAGCACTCTCGTATGAGTGTGCCAGAGCGCAGAATAACTGATGAATTTACGAACGCTCAACACCCGTTGAATATGGCCGGTGTCAGTAAACGTCGGCAAAAAAGCGTAACTAAATTGTTGCCAGGAGCACAGTTACAGTCATCAACGCTTTGGATAACATGAAAACAGCCTAACCAGCTCTGCTAGAGCGAGTAAAATGGTCAGTGAGGTGTTCTCTCATTCGTGTCTGGAAGTAGCTAGCCAAAGTTAGCCAGATAGCTTGGGTGCTTGACTGCCGTTGTGAGGTCAGAACACTCGGATCAACCCTACTCCTCGACCAGAGCGTCCAGTGTGCGCTCTGAATTTATGAACGGACAATCTGACAACGCTCTGAATGTACAAACGCCCTGGCACTCCAGATTGATTTTATGAACACACCCAACAGCTCAAAGTGACCTGGTCATTCTAGAGTTCTACGTTTAGAGGAACGTCATCACAGTGACGGATGACGGGCCCATTTGGGACCATTGGAGTGAACAAACTGGGCTACATCATAAGGCTGACTGGTAAACACCCCAAGGGGATATAGGCAACCTAAATAAGCTTTATTTTAATCTACCATTTCATACATTGAACAGAAATATAAATGCAACAATTTCAACGATTTTACTGAGTTACAGTTCATAATTTAAATAAATAAATTAGGGGCGTGGATCAGAAAACCAGTCAGTATCTGGTGTGACCACCATTTGCCTCCTGCAGTGCGACACATCTCCTTTGCATTGAGTTGATCAGGCTGTTGATTGTGCCGTTGAATGTTGTCCGACTCCTCTTCAGTGGCTGTGCGAAGTTGCTGGATATTGGTGGGGACTGGAACACGCTGTTATACGCGTCAATCCAAAGCATCCCAAACATGCTCAATGGGTGACATGTCTGGTGAGTATGCAGGCGTTGGAAGAACTGGGACATTTTCAGCTTGTGTACAGATCCTTGGGGCCGTGCATTATCATGCTGAAACATGAGTTGATGGCATCTCGTCACAGTATCTCTGTGCATTCAAATTGTATTTGTTGTCCGTAGCTTATGCCTGCCCATACCATAACCCCACCACCACCATGGGGCTCGCCCACACAACGCCATATGCCCGGTACAGTTGAAACCGAGATTAGCACCTGAAGAGCACACTTCGCCAGTGTGGCAGTGGCCATCGAAGGTGAGCATTTGCCCACTGAAGTCGGTTACGACGCCAAACTGCAGCCAGGTCAAGACCCTAGTGAGGACGATGAGCAGTCAGATGAGCTTCCCTGAGATGGTTTCTGAACAGAAATTCTTCAGTTGTGCAAACCCACAGTTTAATCAGCTGTCCAGGTGGCTGTTCTCAGACTATCCCGCTGGTGAAAAAGCCAGATGTGGAGGTCCTGGGCTGGCGTGGTTACACGTGGTCTGCGGTTGTGAGGCCGTTTGGATGTACTGCCAAATTCTCTAAATTAACCTTAAATTCTCTGGCAACAGCTCTGGTGGACATTCCTGCAGTGAGCATGCCAATTGCATGCTCCCTTGTGTGACAAAACTGCACATTTTAGAGTGGCCTTTTATTGTCTCAGCACAAGGTGCACCTGTGTAATGATCATGCTGTTTAATCAGCTTCTTGATATGCCACACCTGTCAGGTGGATGGATTATCTTGACAAAGGAGAAATGCTCACTAACAGGGATGTAAACAAATTTGTGCACAACATTTTAGAGAAATAAGCTTTTGTGCATATGGAACATTTCGGGAATCTTTTCTTTCAGCTCATGAAACATGGGACCAACACTTTACATGTTGCGTTTATATTTTTGTTCAGTATACATCCAATTCAATGGTGTCTTAAAAGACTGGTGCCATGTCCTGCTATCTATGTTTTTTTTGGCATAAGACTCGGTACGTTTCAGCCCCCAACAAAGATGGCAGAGGTTTGTCACCCCTGGATTAGGCCTGAGTCAGTGTACCATTCCAGCTCAGCTCAAGTGACCCATACAGCCCTCTCCTGTGTTGGCTGGAAACACAGGCTTGTTTCCATGGAAAAGGGTCTGGTTCACCCACAGTAGTGAGCCGGCTCCTCCACATCCAGTGACTGTGGCTCAGTGTACATTCATGTATTTCAATGTTCAACTGTTGATGTAACACCTGCAAGCCCTCTGTTTCACAAGGAAGAGGAGAAGACCAAGCCTGTTCCATTGATTTTGTCCTCCTGTTCCATAGAGTGAGAAACTGCTGCGTCCTCTGGGTGTCTTCTCCTTCCTCCCTAAGCCCTCCTGCCTGCCCATCCGCCTTCCTGCTCTAATTTTAGCTGTGGAGCTGTGAGCAGCACAGAGATGATGGCCATCTTTATTTTCTAACATAGGCATCTGCGGATGCCTAAAAGGTGTTCTAAAACAGGGTGCTGAAAGGACACTCATTTTACCACCACTGACTCTCTCGTTTTGTGAGGGACAGGTGCACATTTTGCCATACCCCCATAATCATCTGCCCAAATCATCAAGACTGAGCTCCCCTTCTCAGTAACCAATACGGACTGATCACTTTCCCTGTAATCAATAACTAATCAATCAGGCTGGATTACCACCCCTTCATCTATAATCTTCCATTTATATCTGACTGAGTGCCACTCCCTATAAACCCACTGTCACGGTCACCAGTCAGAAACTCACTCTATGATATGCCATTTATCTACAGTATTGCTTAAAATGGAGATGCAAAAAAAGAAATAAACATTCACACGCACCAAGCGAAGCAGCCGTAAAACAGACAGGCAGGACAGCAATGCCAGAGAGACTTGACATACAGTAGCATATGTGCATTGTAATCTGATCTACAGATTGCACAAAGAGAGAAAAGCTTTAGCTAGTACGGTAGAAGCGTGTGTACTGACCTGCGGCTCCCATGGCTGAATAGGGACAGAGGCAGCTGCTTTATCCACAGACAAAGGGAGAGCAATGAAGGGAGGGGCCACGAGCACACAGCCTAGTCATTGGTCTGGGGGCGGTGGGGGAGCTGCGATCCAGCACATACTCATACACACACCCTCTCAGTGAGCTCTTTTATACCCTAGCTTTAAAGCACAGCCCCACTGACAAATGACACAAGACTGCCAAGCAAGGACAAAATTAAAGTGACGATCTTATTCAAAATGGTGGATGGGTATCTCCCTCCACCAGACAAGAAGATGGAGTTCTTTCCGATCATTTATTTATTCTCTTATCTATAGTCCGCAGCATATGACTTCATTGGCAGTATACCAACTACTGAGTGGGTGTCGCAGCAGATCTGCAAGGTCTGTGAGGGTGTTATGTGACCGATAGTGAGGATGAAAGATGCAGGCTGAAATGTACTGCTCTACTAAAATGCTTCAGCTCTGTGAGGA